ATCCCCTGAGGACAAAGGAGATGCGGGGGATCAGGAAGGTATTGAGGGCATTGATCTTTTGCCAGGGGGCGAGCAGGGAGGAGTCGGTTTGGGCTGCATCCCGCAGGATCTCCTCAATGGTGTCTTCGGGGGTCTGTCGGACGCGAACTCCTGTGGGTATGCCCAGATGTTGGTATACCTCTCCCTCTTCGAGGGAGGTCATGGGCTCGCCCTGGATCAGGAACCGTGACGCCCGGACCAGAGCCCTGGCACCACCTTCGACTTGGAGGGAGGCGCACTTTTGGGGTTGAAGCAGAGGCCCATCCACTCGGTGGCTCGGTTGGCAACGTCGAGCATCCCCTGGAGGCTTTCCGAGCTGTCAGCGACCAGGGCCAGATCGTCCGCGTAGGCCAAGATGCTGATTCTCTTGCCATGCAGGTTGAAGCTGGCCAAGCCGCTGGAGACTGCTCGGATGAGCAGTTCCATGGCCAGGTTAAAGATGATGGAGCTGAGGGGGGCAGCCCTGTTTCACGCCGCAGCGGATGGGGATGGCGTCCGTCTCTCCGTCCGTGGCGCAGATGGTGGTGGTACAGTCCTTGTAGAGGTCCTGGAGGATCTGGATGAAGGTTTCTGGCATCCCGAACTCTCCCAGGGTGGCGAAGATGTGATGGTGGGGTATGGACCTGAAGGCGTTGATCAGGTCGAGCCATGCTACGGCGCACTGCCTCCTGGCCTCCTAGATGGCTGTCTGAAGAAGAAAGTTGTGCTCGTAACATCCCTCACAGGACATAAAGCCCTTCTGCGCTGAGCTGATGGGGCCCCCGCACATTGACCAGTCCGTGATCCTTGCTGCGAGGCAGCTGGCATACAGCTTGTAGATGGTGGAGCAGAGGGATATGGGCCTCCAGTTGCTGGGGTCATCTCGTTCGCCTTTTTTGTGGATGAGCACCGTCATGGATTTTTTCCAGGCGCGGGGGGCGCGGTGGAACAGCTTGCATTTGTTGAAGATGGCAGCAAGCACCAAGCAGCTGGGGTCTCGCTTCTTCAGCAGGTGGTAGCGGATGCCATCTTTTCCAGAGATGGTGTTTTTGGTCCTCGTCAGCCTCGCCAGCACCACCCGCGGGGAAAAATCTTGCTCCAGGTCCTCTGTGAGGTTGATCAAGGGTAGCGGTAGAAGGCACTCTGGGCGTCGCACATCGGTCTGGGCCTCGCGATCAAACACGTCCTTGAAATAGGAGTAGAGCCTCTCGGTCTGGATGGCACAGTAGGAGGAGGTCCCGTCGAGGATCTCCCTCATGGCTTTCGAGCAGTTTGTCCTGTATAGTTTCTGAATATGGGATGCAGCCGCCGGATTATAGCGGCTGCTGGCATCCCCTCTCCTGCCTTCTCTGGCAGTGTTGTTACGGCTCAGCGCAGGGAATCTGCGAGTGGTCCGTGTGCCCTCCTGGGATTCCCTCCTTCTGGTTGTGATTTCTAAAGGCAGTTCTGTGGTCAGTCTGTCCATCAGGGTGTGGAAGTTCTCGAAGTTGTCAGCCTTTGCCAGCTCCTCCATCCAGACGGATTGCCATGGTGTGGCGACCCTGGCTCGCGGCCGTCGCTCCTCCTGCTGCATTGTCTCCACAGGTTCAGGTGCTGTGGGGACGGTCTGTGGCCTTGTTGTCTCTCGGACTGGGGAACGGTGTTCAGGTGGATCTTGAGGCCGGGGTCCTGGCGTGGTGGAGGGGGCAGCTCTCCGTGTCTCCGAGGCAGTGCTGGATCTTCCAGGAGGGAGTGGGGTTCTGGAAGCACCGGTTTTGGACTCTGGGGGGATGCAGTCGTGTCTGGAAGCGCTGGGGATGATCCTGGTTCTCCTACAGGCAGTATCCGGCTGGGAGGTCCTCAGTGGGGCATGGGAGGCAGAGGAGGGGCAGAGGAGGAGGCCTGTAGGGATTGGGTCCTGGAGGTAGATGCAGTCATCTTCCCCTGCCTCACCCTCTGTGGGGCAGATCTCTGCTGTGCCTCGCACAGGTGGTTCCTCTCGGTCTGGTAGAGAAGCTTGAGGAGGTGAAGTCGCTCCTGGGAGGGGGGCGCGGACTCGCTGGCCATGATGTCTCTGTCTGGAAGGACAGCATGCGGCATCGAGATCTTGGGCTGTGGAGTGCGTTCGCTTTGGAGTGGCGTTCCTCTGGGCAGCAGGGTAATCAGTAGTTTCAGGGTCCTGGGTTGGGGAGGTGGTTCCTTCGGGAGCATCCCTCTGTGGAGCAGAGGGGCAGTGATCAGCATCCTGGTCGTGGGTCGTCGGGCGGGCTCTTCTGGTAGCAGCTTTCTCAGGAGCAGCAGGGCAGCGATCAGCATCCAGGTCCTGGGCAGTGGGAGAGGTTCTCTGGGCATCCTCCTCCTGAAGAGCTGGCGAGATGTTGTTGCTCCTGGATGTGAGGTCCCGAAGAGCCATCCTCATGGTGCTAGGTGCGGGAGTTTACTGGAGAAAAGAAAAAAGAAAAAGGGCAGAGGCCCTTCTCATTATTCTCCACTAGGATGTTCCAGGTGGTATGAGGAACACCCTAGCCCCTTTTTTAAGAATCTAATTGTTTTATTGCTCTGAGATCCTTTTTACCACTTGCCAAGATTTTAATAAACAAAGAATTAGAAGAGCAATGAAAATAAGGGTCCAAAATTGGATAAGGCAGAAAAAAACAGCTAGTGCTATAGGGTCAAAAGGTATATAAGTTTTATTGGTCATAAGCGAGATAGAATGTTGTGAATAAGGATTATAAGTTACACACCATGAGACTTTTGCAAGATTATACTAATCTTTCTTACATACAAAAGAAGAAGAAACTTCAATCAAAAAAGTTCTTAACTTAGATATCTGCAATCAGGAACTCATCAACCAGTTAAAATGATCAATCTGACAATCAATTATTTGAGCTCTTTTATCATTGACTCTCTCATCAATTTTTCCCCAGATACTCACGCCTAGGTAGTACATAAGCTCTGGCCAGGAACTTGTCAGAGATCCTTAGAAGAAAGTCGGGGTACTCAGCTTTTGGAAAGAGGGAGGCGAATTGATCCACCAGCCAGAGAGCAGACTCTCCGGGATGTATCCTCAACATCACACTCTCCCTTGCCTGTAGCAGGTTTATATGGCTTGTTGCCGCTAGCCTGCTTGATGTGCTCTAGCCAATGAGGCCTTGAGATGTGGGCATAGTTTAGGGTAAGTTTGTTTGATTATCTTAATGTATGCATTGCTGCTTAACTTAACGTTAAGGGCCAATTGCTGCTTTGCCAGTACAATTTGGTTTCTCTTTTGCATTTTTACCGCTGTACCTTGTGTTTTTTTGCTATGCTGATTGCCATAGAACCGGTATTAGATTGCTGAAGCTGATCTTTCCTTAACATATGCAAGTATTCTACAATTATAATATATATTCAGTTGATTTCCGCTAGACACTTTATGCAGCGCTACTTATTTCGAGAGGATGTGGTTTGTGGCCATCTACGTTTCGGGGTTTAATCTGCTTAAACAGTAGTAGATCTTTGTCCAGCAATACAAACTACATTTGGATCAATCAGAGAGCTATCCACTGAAAAAGTACAGGAAGAAGCAAAGACTTCAGTCCAGAAGTTGAATAATGAAGGCATTTATATTGAATCCTTAAGTGAAGAGGACAAGAAGTGTTTGTTAAGACAACTGAAAAAGTACACAGAATTGATTCTTAAAAATCTACAACAGCGACTTCTAGATTCTACTCAACCTCTACGTAGCTTTTACAGATCGCTGTTCTATAAAACACCGATAGTTGAGTGGAGTGAGGCACTACCAGCAATGGGACTGCCGTGTGCTCAGGACAGAATAGAGAATTTGAACACAGAGTGGAATATCATACGACGAATGAATGAAGATTTGACTTCAACTTCTTTTTTATCATTGCTAGTGGCTCGACCTGATCTTTGTGCTGTGTTTCCTGGGCTGCAAGAAGTAGGAATTCATCTCTTGCTACTCCCAGTCACAACAGCTACAGTTGAGCGTTCTGTTTCATCATTGAATAGAATTTTGTGTTCTGAGAAAAGACGAAGTACTGGACACATGAGAAGCCACCAAAGATGAATGCATTGCATTCAAGAAGTTCATTAACAGAGTTGTGCAAAATTATAACAAGAAACCAAGAAGGCTGTAGACATAGTGCTTCATAGAAGGCTTGAGTAGCCAACTTTAATTTGTGTGATGATTTTAAAACATGAGTTAAATCTAATAAAGTGTTTTTACTAAAGATTTCTGTGGAGAGGAACATTTATGAGTTTCTACCCAATTTTTTGATATTTTGCTTCAGTGAGGCTGTTCCCTATTGTGAAAAGAGGAGATTTGTGTTTTGATTTTCCTACTTGAACTTCTCTTGATAGCTAAAGCATATATTGTAAAAAAACCCTGGATTTTTAAAAAATATTGTTTGCAATATACAGTGTTTAGAACTCGATGTGTTAGTGAGATGTTTTTCCAGTGGGGGGCTATTTTGTGATCTGTATTCATCTAGCTGTTTGGTTTTGTATGTTTTTGGTATTAGTAATTTGCTAAGACAAGGCTTGCATAATGTAGAAAATAAATGTCAGATATGTTTTCAAGTTTCATTTTTTTCATGCATGATTCCCAAATGAAAGAATTAGAATAACTAATCCCCATGCTTTCTGTGTTAATATTTAATGGTACAAAAAGGGTATTCATACTGGCCTATCTGGTTATTCTGGATGACCTTATGCAGCAGAGCTCATTAGCAATTAATTTTTTCAGCTCCATGATTTCCTGTAAGAAGGCCAGAGTGGGTCAGACCAACGATCCATCTACCCCAGTGGAGTGTACTGAACCAGGAAATTTGGAGTGATCGATCCACCCTCATCTTCCACTCCTGGTCTCTGTGGAGTCAGAGATTTAGGGCTTGACTCAAGCATGGGATTGCATCACTGACCAACTTCACTAATAGCTCCTGCTGGACCTAGTCTCTATGAACTCATCTCATTCTCTGTGGAAGCCAGTGATACTTTTCGCCCTCACAACATACCATGGCAGGGAGTTCGGCATGTTAATTTCGTCAGGTGGGTCCCCCGCACCTTTACTATATTGTGGGAAAGGGTGAATAACACTTCGCTCTTCACTTTAGCCACATCATTCATGGTTTTATAGACCTCTCTCACAGTGGTCCTCAACCTTTTTATTTACCGGGGGTCCCTACAAATAAATACACGGCCCTGCGGATCCCCAACCAGAGGTGAAGCAGGGGGAGGCACACAGGGTCACCTGCTGCCCCCCCAACATTCTGCCTCTCATTTTGCCATGCTCCCTGAAATGCTAACGTGGCGGGGCGGAGCAGTGGCGTGTCTCCTTGGCTAGCTGCTGCCCGCTCGTGGGGTCAGTGGCTGTGAGGCAACCCTTCCTGGTGGCAGGGGGAGAGCTCTCTGCTGCAGTAATACTGCCATTTTTGTTGTGCCCCTCCTCCCCCTCACAAACCAGGCAGGCAGGCTTGGTGGCCTGCTGAGGTGAGTCAGAGGTGGGTCAAGCCCAGGTTTCTCTTGGCAGACGGCTGGTTGAGAACCGGTGCTGTATCGTATCCCTCCTTAGTCATCTCCAGTCTAAACTGACCAGCCCTAACCTCTGTAGTCTTGTCTCATACTTCGGAAGCCTGCTATTTACCCCTTTCTATTGTAAAAACTGACTATTTATTCCTACCCTTTGTTTCCTATCTGCTAACCAGTTACTGATCCATGAGAGGGCTCGAGACGTCTGGAGTAGCTCATGATGAACACCCTTAACATGGAGCCACAGACAGCCCCCTTGGGAACCCTGAATCTATCTTGCCACCCAGATGAGCCTGCCTTTGTGACAGATGGTCCCTTGCACCAAAAACCATACAATAGTCTGGTCACTCGGACCGGTCACTCAGCCAGGTCAATTGCACCTCAGATCTCAAACTGAAGACAACGTGCGTCACCAATCCTATAATAAACTAGCTAAATCCTATAATAAACTAGCTAAATCTTGCTGAAGTGCCGCCTCTCTCAGTGCCCTCTGTAATGTTTCTCTCAGTTTGTCACTTCGGCCAGGACACCTGGTGGGGGTGAGGCTGGCTGCGGGGCTCTTGGCACTGAAAAGCCGGGGCTGGCCAGGGGAGTGCATCCCGGCCCCAGGCAGGCAGGAGGAGGGGCCTAACCAGAGGGGCGGAGCTGTGTGAGCACGTATGCAGATATCTGTACGAGCAGAGCACTGTGGGAGTGGGAGCAGGCTGCCGAGCAGCGCCCAAATTTGGCACCCGGGGCTGGGTGTGGAGAAGGGTGGGGCCCTGCGGCCATGTCCGGGCAGCTCGCGGCAGTGGGGGCCGGTGTGGGTGGGGCCGTCAGTCAGGGCGTGGCAGGCCCCACCATGGGTTGAGAGTATGGGGCGAGCGAGGGCGGGCGGCAGTTGGGCATTGAAAGCTCATACTTATGTGGTAGTGGAGATACCATGATCATGAAGAAAAGGAGGACTTGTGGCACCTTAGAGACTAACCAATTTATTTGAGCATGAGCTTTTGTGAGCTACAGCTCACTTCATCAGATGTATATGATCATGAAGGTAGTTTTCTTAGTTTGAGGCTCATCCATTGCACTGCAGGTGTGCTGACCCCTGTGATTTCCCCAAATGTGGGAAACTCAACTGTATAATTTGTGGTAGTGGGGGACTGCGTTCACGCTCTTCCTTAGTGTTTGGTCAAAACCAGAAAAATCTCAGTGAGTAAAATCTGTGTTTATACTTACCCCCCGCTGAAGCTGTTCCTTCCCTGTTACTGTGGGGTTTTCCCCATTTCTTTATGACTACAGGTTGGTCTAGGAAGTCTTGGTCTGTGCCCTAATAATGAGGCTGAAGAGAATGTTTTCTGTTATAGCATATTCTACTCCTTGGGCAGTGTATTCTGAAGCCTGAATGAAGCAGCGTCAGCTCAGTGTAGAGTAGATATTGCCCTCTCGGTCAGTGTTACAATTTACAACCACCTCTGACTATTCCATGAACTCCGCACTCAGCAATGACTTGTCATAGCTGGTGATCATAGTTCTTGCTTCTTTTCAGCCACTAGTAGTGAAGCTATGCCTGTTCCAAAGTGGGTGGATAGTTTTTGTGGGGGAAAGGTAGCAGTTTCCCTAGCAGCAGCTCCAATCCCCAAATACCAGCTGCATTCAGAGAGGATTTTCTTTGTCATGTCTAAGAACTGCAGACAATAAATAATTGGCACTCCCATGCTGCATTATGCACTAAGAGGTTGTTACTTTGTTTTGTAGAAAATATAAAGCCAGGTGATATTCATGGCTTGGAGAAACACCGCCTTCCTTTTGCTGTTTCACTTCACTACACCAGGTAAAATTTAATCCCCAGTAAAAAGCAGCTCAGTGACATTAATGGGCGTTTTTGCCCTCAAACATTTGTGAGAAAACTGCTAATTGTCTCCCCAGGAGTTTCCTTTTGTAAAGTCCAGGTTATTAAATCCCTTGAGCTGTGATGCCAAACTCTGAAGACGTTTGAGAATCTCTAGTTATTTTATACTAGAAAATGCTGCTAAAATATGTCTAACAATACAGGTTTTTATAAATGGCCGTACTCATTACAACTACCATTTGGGCTGCTAACTACATAGACGTTTGTCTATCTCAGTGGTTCTCAAACTGTGGGTCGGGACCCCAATGTGGGTCACAACCCTGTTTTAATGGGGTCACCTGGGCTGTCATTAGAGTTGCAGGGGTCCTGGGCTGAAGCCTGAGCCGCACTGCCTGGCGCTGAACTTGAAGCCTGAGGGCTTCAGCCCTGGGTGGCAGGGCTCAGGTTACAGGCCCCCTGCCTGGGGCTGCAGCCCTTGAACTTCAGCTTTGGCCCCCCACCTGGGGTGATAGGGCTTGGGCTTTGGGTGGTGGGGCTTAGGTGTGCTCAGTCTTCAGTCCCCCCTCCTGGGGTTGAATAATAATTTTTCTTGTCAGAAGGGGGTCATAGTGCAATGAAGTTTGAGAACCCCTGGCTATCTACTTGCCCTTTAAAATATATTTAACTATAAAAGCATTTTGACAGTTTTTTGTCATAACAAAGAAACAAGGTTCTTGACTCAACAGACTTAAACATTTTCTTTCTACCAATGTGTGAGGGGAAAAAATCTGATAAAAGGCTGTAAATACAAAAAAGTACAATCCAACGCCATCCCCCCAAGTAAGATACCATAGAAGCCACTGTGAGTCTTGTTCTTACATTAAGCATTTTTGTAGCATAAAAACAGTATAAAGTAAATAATAGCCTGTGGAACTCTTTGCCAGAGGATGTTGTGAAGGCCAAGACTATAACAGGGTTCAAACAAGAACTAGATAAATTCATGGAGGATAGGTCCATCAATGGCTAGTAGCCAGGATGGGCAGGGATGCTGTCCCTAGCCTTTGTTTGCCAGAAGCTGGGAATGGGCGACGGGATGGATCACTTGATGATTCCCTGTTCTGTTCATTCCCTCTGTGGCACCTGGCATTGGCTGCTGTCGGAAGACAGGACACTGGGCTAGATGGCCTTTGGGCTGACCCAGTATAGCCGTTCTTATATTCTTATAATCTGTACACCCACACGAGCAAATAGCCCCTGAGTGTGAAAAGAGCTGCTTTTTTCGGAATGTGGGGGACAGGGGATGTTGGGGTCCTTGGTTACAGGAGCTGTTCTGGTGGACATGGCAACCTCTGCAGTTCAAGTGCATCAAAGTGAAGTCAGCACAACTGCTGTTTCCCAAGAATTTCTCAATCATAAATTGCAGCGCGCAGATGTCAGATAGCTGCATTTCCGTCTGATCCCACCTTTAATCTCATTTTGACCTAACCAGTTTTCAAACAATATGTCTGACAAACAGCTTGAAGTTTAAGTGAAATTCACTTTTCTGTGAACTATGGGAAAAAACCCTAATTCTTTAGAATTTGCATAAATCCCCATCCCCAAAAAACTAACAAATTTGTTAAATTAAAAACATTTGTTCCAATGGCTTATAAAAACCAACCATTTAACTCACGGCTGTTATGAATTATTGTATAGTGATCAAATAAAAATTGTACCTACTTTTTACAATAATTTGCCTCACTGAAATGAGGCGTCCAAAAATTACATATAAACCCATAAAGGTTCAGCTCAATGGAAATCTTAAATAAAAGGCAAAAGCTTCATTCACTCTGAAAAACTCCCCCCAGTGTAAACAGAAATTAGAGTAGAAGCATTAACAGTATAGGACAGGGGTGGCCAACCTGAGCCTGGAAAGGAGCCAGAATTTACCAGTGTACATTGCCAAAGAGCTACAGTAATACATCAGCAGCTCCCCCACCGCCCCGCCCCGCCCCCAGCGCTTCCCACCCACCGGCAGCCCTGCTGGTCAGCACCTCCCCCTCCCTCCAGATCAGCTGTTTTGTGGTCTGCAGGAGGCTCTGCGGGGGTGGGGGCCAAGGAGCGAGGGCACGGGAGGCTCAGGGGAGGAGGCGGGAAGGGGTGGAGTGGGGGCAGGGCCTGGGGCAGAGCCAGGGGTGGAGCAGTGAGCACCCCTGTCCCATTGGAAAGTTGTTGCCTGTAGCTCCAGCCCCGGAGTCGGTGCCTAGACAAGGAGCCGCATATTAACTTCTGAAGAGCCGCCTATGGCTCCAGAGCCCCAGGGTGGCCACCCCTGGCCTAGCAGGAGAAGAACTAAGAGTGCAGCACCCCCTGGATTGCAGTGGTTTCCACTATATACAGGGTTTACAATTCAATTCAATTCAATGGTTCTCATCACCCCTTACTATAAAAATTGTTTCACCAGCACCCCTGATTACCAGGGGAGGAAGGACTTGTGCACAGAGTAAGCTGACTTTTGGGGGGAAACTAGGAGTTCTTCTAAATCATTTCATTTTAGGGCTCCATGTTTTGTGCAGCCCAGTCCCCTGAAGAGTAGCTGAACAGAAATTGGCACATCTTTCAATGGACACCAAAATTCTCAAAGAAAGGCTTTTCAATGCACAATGCGTTGTGGGTTTGCAGATGAGCTGGTACTCCCAACCTGAGAAGGGAAGAGAATCTCAGCAAGGTCCCAGTCCACAAGCCTGTCTGTGCTCTGCTCCCAGACCCGCTCCAGCCCTCCCTTCTGCTGTGAGCTGTGCAGAGAAGTGCTGGGCGGGAGCTGCTTCTGGTCTCTCGGCAGCTGCCCTGGGGGTGGTTGGCTCTGCTGCTTCGTGTACAGGCAGCAACATAGGCGCCTAAGGAACTTTTCCTGCAAAACTGTGGGTGCCGAGTTAAATTAGATGTCTACAAAGTTCAGCAGCAGCTGAGTAGGGGTTTTGGGAATCCCAGTGGGGCCTGATTCTGGGATTTAGGTGCCTAAGGTAATGATTTGGTGCATAAGTCCTTTTGTGAATCTAGCCCCAAGTGATCAAAGAACCAGGGTCAAGGATGCACTGTGCCCAGGGGATAGTTGTGGGTAATGAATATGTTGTAGCCAAGGAAATGACTGAAATGTGTTTGTTTGTGTGCTGATTTTATTAGGAATTGATACTACGGGTGGATGTTACATAATTTGTGGGTTGCGCTGTACCTCAATTACCTTTTTCAGCTGAGTTCTACCCCAAAAAATTGATTGAATGAACAAATAACGTAGGGAATACATAACTACTTGATTTAAAAAAACAGTAAACTAAGAACACAGTACAAACCTGAGGCCAGTGGAACTGTGGCATGGCCAAACTGAAGGCTCAGAAACTCCTGTAGGTGATGTGTTTGAAGGGGTTCTCCTTCTCAATATTAGTAGGGTGACCAGATAGCAAGGGTGAAAAATCGGGACAGGGGGTGGGGGATAATAGGTACCTATATAAGACAAAGCCCCAAATATCAGGACTGCCCCTATAAAATTGGGACATCTGGTCACCACATCCTGGTAGGTGGATTGTTCTGGAAGGAGTTGTAAAGCTTGAATGAAATGGTTGTCCCTGTCTGGTGTGTTCCCTATAGTCTGCTGGACATTGCAAGGTTGGGGAGCAGTGCTTGACCTTTGTCACAAAAGGTGCTCCAGCCGTGCTGTGTGAGTCTGCATCATGTCCCTTTCCAAGGCCATGCACTCTACTTTGATGCTTTGTGATTGCACCAGGAAACCTTCCCTCCAAACTTCTGCCTTCAAGGCCCTCTGTTGGGATGCAGTCACTAGTTCCTGGAACATTTCCTCTCTTGTCTTTTTTTTCCAGCCTCTCTGCAGGTGCTAACTTCCCTCTTTGCACAGGCCGTGGCGTTAAAGGTGCTAAAGGAAACGAGAAAAAACACAAGGCCTTACTGTCCCCAGTTCTAGTCTCCATGCCAACAATGATACAATGTTTCTTTTCCGACCATTTTGGAAGGCCATTCCTATCTTCTCTTCCCACCCTGGGGTTCGCTTCCAGGTGGTAAGACATTTTCTAAATTACTTCCCCTTGTATAGGACTCCTGTCAAAATGCTGGGTGGGTGGCCATGGTGTACTTAGATGAGTGTTGGCTGTGGGGTGGGTGAGTGGCTGTGGAGGTTTTGGGGGGTAGAGGGGGCTGTTGGGTCGGTGAGGGGCTGCAGGGCGGAGGTTAGTAATTGCCAGTACACCCCTGCAGGCTGCCCTTATGTTGGAGGATATTACCCTTGGGCCACTTCACAAGAGACATAGCAGAGTCTTGTTCAAAAAGGGCGCTGGGCAAAACCACAAAGATATGCAGCCTTGCTATTTACCAGGAGGATTCCTCCAGCTGATGCAGGGGTGAAAGGGAGACATGGGGAGTCCTAAGAGAAATCAAGTGTGTCAGAAATCAAGGCCAGCAGCAGAGCAAATCTCTGGGCAACTTCATGTGCGCAGCTGGCTTATAGTAGGCTGCCTGATTGCTACACCGCCTGGCTGGAGGGAAAAAGCTCCAAAACTCGTCTCTCTCACCAGAAGAAGTTGGTCCAACAAAAGATATGACCTCACCCTCTTGCCTCTCTAATATTCTGGGACGAACAGGGCCACAATAACACTGCATACAGTAGTGCTGGGAGCGTCATTCTGAAATGCCTCTTGCACTCTGGAAGTTAATTTCACAGCCCGAAATGCCTGAAGCGCAGGAGCCCTGTTCTACACCACACCCACAACGTGGGGATGCAGTTCAGCCCCGTGCAGAGGCTGACGGCTGCAAGGGCACCCTGCCGGCGACCTTCCCCTTGGCCAGGCCGAACCCAACCAGCTGCTGGCACGCGACACAGGGAAAGACGCCGCTTTCCAGCTTTCACTGTAAATACACGAAGGTGTTTGTAATGTGACCCCCCTGCTCCAGGAGACAGCAACGAGTCCAGGCTGGGGGTGGAAGTGGGGTGGCCAGTGACTCAGGGGGGCACATGCTGAGTGGGGGAGGGGTTCTCTGGAGTGGGAATCACTGTCCCCTCTTTTCCATTATCCCTGATTATTTGGGTCCTACAGGCAGGGTCAGGGCCTTATTTCCCCATCCCTCCCCGGTTGCCCCTCGCCTGCAGGCCCGGGGCCCGGACAGAGGGGGAAACCCTGCCAGGGGTGTCAGCACCACGTGTAGCTGGGCAGGTAGACCGCGCCGCCCTAGAAGGACCACATCTCCCAGGGCGCACCGCGCGTGGAGGCCCCGCAGCGCTCTGAGTGACGGGCCCGCGGCATGCTGGGAGTTGTAGTTCCCAATAGGTGCACCGGCCCGGCGCCCCTTCGGCATGCTGGGAGATGGAGTTCCCTGTACACGCACAGCATGCTGGGGCTTGTGGTTCCGAGGCCGCGTTTCCCGGTAGGCCCTGCGGCACGCCGGCGCGCGGAGTTTAAATCGGCGGCGGTTGCGGGGGGCCCGCCGTGCCCAGCTGCTGATTGGACGCGGTACCGCTGGGCCCACGGACCCCTTCGTGCCTCCCCTTGGTCCAGCGGCCCCGAGGACCCCCCCCGGCGCTATGGACTCCGCGGTCTGCAGCCGCCTCCAGCCCGGCCGGCTTATTAAGATTCAGCGGAGCAACGGTGAGTGCGGGGGGAGCGCGTGTGGCGGGAAGGGGGGGGGGTTTCTCTGACAGGATTGACCCCCGCTGCCTTCCGTACCGCCCGCTTCCTCGAGGGCCTGGCTGGAGGGGCCCGCTCAGCGGGCGGGGGCGGGCTGGGTCTTTGCAGCACCGTTACATCGCTGCCTCCCGTTTGCTTTGTGATCCGCGCTTCCCCCGGATCCCTGTCCCCGGTGCTGCTTCCCGGGCAGGGCCTGTCCCCTTCCGTCGTTGCGCCCTCGGTCTTCTCCCTGGGCGCGGGGCTTTGCCTGCAGCCGTCTGGGCTTCCAGCCCCTCTCTCCCGCTTGCCCAGCTCCTGCTGCTGACTTCTCACCCTGGCCTCCCAAAAGCCTTTGCAGCCCCGCCCCGCCGGGTGTCCTCTGCGAGCTCGGTAGCGGGGGTGCACTCTAGGCTGCTCCCCAAGTCCTCGCTGAAAGTGTGCACTCGAGCCAGCCCCAGGCCAGGTCCCCACTCCAGGGGCCTGACTGGGAACCACTGGTCGCTAGAGGACCACCCATGAGTGTGGTTTTCCAGCCTTGTCCTAGGTTCATCTGGGATCTATTTCCCCAGTTTGCTTATGAGACGGTCACATAAGACGGTATCAAAAGCCGTACTAAAGTTGAGAGATATCATATCTACTGCTTCTTCCTATCCACAAGGCTTGTTACTCTCCTAAAGAAGGATATTAGGTTGGTTTGACTTGATTTTTTTTTCTTGCCAAATCTGTACTGACTGTTACTTATTACCTTATCTTCTAGCTGCTCACAAATTCATTGTTTGCTCCATTTTCTTTCCAGGTACCGAAGTTAAGATGACTGATCTAAGTCCTCTTTTTATAAATGGGTACTATATTTGCCCTTTTCCAGAGCTTTGGGATCTCTCTCTTCCTCCACAAATTCTCAAAGATAATTGTTAATGGCTCAGGGATCTTTTCAGCCAGTTCCTTAAAATATTCTAGGGTGTATTTTGTTAGGGCCCGCTGACTTGAAGATATCTAACTTGTCTAAGTAAGGCCTGGTCTAGAATAGAAAATTAGGTCAGAGTAACTACATCTCTATGGGGTGTGAAAAATGCACACCCCTGAGCAGCATAGTTACACCAACCAAAGTCCTGTTGTAGATGGCGCTAGGTCAACTGAAGAATTCTTCTGTTGCCGTAGCTACTGCCTCTCGGAGAGGTAGATTACCTATGTCAACAGGAGAATCCTCCTGTTGCCATAGGTAGTGTCTATGCTGTAGCATTTTAAGTGTAGACATACCTTAATTCTTAACTTGTTCTTCACCTATTTTAATCTTCGCTCCTAATCCATGTACACTAATGTTCACTATGTTAGTCGTACGATCACTGCTAATCTTTCTGGTGAAGACTGAAACAAAAAAGACATTTAATAATTTGGTCATTGCTGCATTTTCTGTTGTTGTCTTTCCTTCCTTATTGCGTAACGGGCCTACTCTGGCCTTGGTATCTTGCTTCTAGCTTATTTGTAAAATGTTTTCTTGTCACCCTGTATGTCCCTAGCTAGTTTAATCTCATTTTTGTGCCCTGTCTTTTCTAACTTTGTCCCTTCATGCTTGTGTTTTTTGTTTTGTTTTATATTAATCCTTTGTAATTTGATCTCCTTTCTAGGGATGTAAAAGGTTAACTGGTTAACCGTTAACCCTGGTGGCCCCATGTGGGGTCAGAGGGAGCGGCCCCAACCACAGCTGTGCTGCTTCTGCTGGGGTCCCGCAGGCTCAGGCTCAGCCGGGAGAGGAGCCTGGCCCTGGCTGGATTGGCCTCAGCCCCCACTGTTTCCCCACAACTACCACAGTTAGCGGTTGACCAGTTAAACAAAATCATTTAAATCGTTTAACCGGTTAACTTTTTTAACTGATATTTACATCCTTACTACTTTCTTCTACCTTTGACTCTTTGCGTTTCAGACCATTAACGCCAATCTATCATACTTCCTGTCTTTCCAATGCATTCAGACAGTTTGTTTTTGTGTCCTTAATAATGTCTATTTAAAACTGCCAACTCTCCTGAGCTTTTTTCTCCTAAGATTGGCTTCCCATGGGACCTTACATACTAGTTCTCAGAGTTTGCTAAAGTCTGCCTTCTTGAAGTCCATTGTCTTTATTCCGCTGTTTCTCCTTCTACCATTCCTCAGCATTCCCCACCTCTGGGAAGCAGCCTCTCTATTGGGGGTGAGGGGTCAGGAGGAGAGCCCCCATCCACCTTGGACCTCTGGGTTGCAGCTGGGACAAGTCCCTTTCTCCCCTGTCCTGTCATCACTGGGTATGCAGTAAAACTGTAAGAGCTCCATGCTCAAATGGGGCTGTCATATTCACTATGGATGTGTGCACACCCCCTTCCCCCAATGTGTGCTTTTTCCCTCTGAGGCATCGGATACTGGGCTACATGGATCATTGGTCTGACCCAGGATGGTTGTTCTTATATTCTCACTCTTGCCTTTGGTTGCCTCTGTTGGACTCACTGCTTGTGATGCCCTAGGGGACTGGTCTTCTTACAGACTTGGCTTTTTTTCCTTTCCGTTATTGATGAAATCTTTCCAATGACACAAGGCATATATGAGACTCTGTCCTTTCCAAAGGAGATTGAAAATGAAAGGATGCTGTAAACATGTTGTTTAGTAGACTTCAGTGCTATTTAAAAAGTGGTTTCTGGTCCTAAACAGACCCTTGAACTCCCCCAGGCTATCTTTGTGTGTGTTTTTTCTTTTTTATGGGACTGTTTTTTCCACTTCAAAAAAAAAAAAAATTCTTTCCCCTGGTTGCTGTGTAGGAAAACCCCATATAAATGGGAAAACACCTACTAAGTGCTGCCAAAATAAGCTAAGTAAGCCAGAAGTCTTTCAGTGTTCGGGCTCTATAGCACATAACACCTTTTCTGGCAGGGATGTGGTCTTTAAGCTGCTATTGTCCCTTTGCTGGGGCATTAATTTCCTTTGGGCAGCTGGGCCCTCAAGGGTGTTGGTACTCTTAGGAAATTGCTGGCTGACAGCAGAGTTAACAGCTTCATTGCTTTTTTGTGTCTTGAATGTTTATCCAATATTTATAGTATGAAGGCCATTCCCAGATTTTAACAATGGCTCATAGCTTTGGATACGGAATACTGGCAAATTTCTCTCTGAAAAACTATTCTTCCAATCTTGAATTGGTATTACAGAGATGAATATGAGGATTTGTTCTCTTCAGCAAAAGTTAATTGTGTTGTGTTGAATGACCTGATGAAATGTGAATTTATCTTTAATCCTTAGGCTTAATTCACAGTGCAATTATAAAGACTGTAAATGTTGAAAGGCTGTCTGTCTCGGTAGAATGGTCCGAAGGGGAATCAACCAAAGGAAAAGAGGTGAGTGTGAGAGGTGTCCCCAGGCTCACTCTATCTGGAGTAAAGGAGCATCTTTGAATTGCATAGTTATAAAGCATGGGGCTGAAATCCATGACTCTCTTAAATAAAGATCCTTTGGGCTTAAAGCCAGTTTTCTTACATGTGTTTCATAGAATTCCATGGCTCATTAAACTGAGGGTTAAAAATATAATAATATTTCTGTCACCTAGGACAAGGAGAACAGGTTGGGCAGTTCACTTTTTGTTTGTGGTATGTTCTAACTCTTCAGATTCAAATGCATAAAAGTTGTAATATTTGGTTTGGAAATGCTGCAGATGAAGGTTTATCTGTTAATTTTCTTTGGAATGTAATGTAAGATTTTATTGGCCTTACAAAAACTAAGTCTGTTTTTACGAATCCTGAATTTTGGGCCATGTTTGTCTTTGGCTCTTTAGTTGGAATACAGTGGTCTAGTTTACAGAAATGAGCGATAAGGGGTTTTCACAGTTTTCCTACCCTCAAACTAATCACAAATAATAATTGCAATAGTATTGCTGACATACACTGCCTCTGAGGGCAATGTTTTTTTATTTTTTTTCTAGTAAGAATAGTTGATTCAGAATAAAACTAAATGCGTATGTATTTATATACATACATTTGTTTTACGACTCATAAGTGATGAGTTATGACTTCTTCATTAGTGTTGTACTGTCATGCTCTTAACAAAGGCCTGACTTACGCAACCTTGGCAGCTCTCTATTGGTGTTCAGCACCTTTAATGATCTCTCAAAAATTTTCTGGAAGAATTTCCTAACATATGGCAAAATGTGAGATTAGTTGGATACTTTGGACATCCCCTACCCACTTATGCATTAAAACCATACTTAAAATATCTCCATTGTCTTTGACAGACAAGCTGAGAAAGAACTGGAGGTATTTCTAATATTCTGCCGGACATCTTCCCGCTCCATTGGCTGTAGAAAAGGGTTTTCCTTGTTTCCCGTTTGTTTTGGAATCTGACTTCGTAAATCTCCTCCCAGCTTGCACAATTTACCACATTCCTTTTTTTAGTTCTGCTTATTTTATTTTCACTCAGGGAAACTTTTGCTTTTCCTGAAACTTAGTGGATGTTTATACTGAGGAGCTTGCTCACGAGATCCCAGATGTCTTTGCAACAGATGGGGAATTAGCCGTGAGGTTTGGGCCGGAGTCCAACTACTAATTGCATTGTCTGAGACTTGAAACTCTTATCAGATCTAGGCTAGTCAGAAGTCTAAATATGTACCGGCAGGTAGAGGAAGATTTGAAAGATGAGGTGGCGCTCTGACATTGAAGCTGGGTATGCTATGTCATGCATAATCACCATTAATAGACGTTTTGCAGGCAAATTAGTTTGAACTCTACCAGTGCAAACCCATGAGCATAAGATCAATGAGGTTGCACAGGTATCATGGGGGCCTAGGTTTTTTGACTTGCAGAACCTCCAAAGTGATCTGCTATCGTAATGGGAAGAAACCATGACTGTCAGAGCCCAGGTGAGTTGGAGGGACTGGCATTTACCAAGGTCTCTCTTAGAAGTGAGTAAACTTGATGATTGTCCTGGGTTTCCATAATACTTGGAGACAATCACATATCTAGAAATCTGTTTTTTAAAAATCTGGTCAATACTTTCTCTCTTTTGTATGAGAACAGTTAATATTGTGTATTTGCTCATTTTACAGAGGATTAAATGACATAGTTGTTTTCACTTAAAACCTCTAAAAGGTTAATATTTAATATATAAACTTAACTTACTTGTGCAGAATAGGTACTATTTCAATATCAAAGGCAGCTTAGTTTCGGTGGAGGATGAAGTGATAATTATACAACTATGTGGCATACAAACTCAGTGTTTTATAAGGTTATCTTTACACAGTAAAAATAAGGGGGAGAGACTCAGTTTGTGCCTAAGTTTTCTCCTTCACAGCCCAACTCCTCACTACCCCCCTCCTCCCCCACAGACACTTGTGACATCACACTTTTTCCAGAGCTGCAGAATGTTGTAGATAAAGGATTATGACTTCACTACAGGGTAAAGCAGGAGTTTGGCGGTTGAGGTGAAATCACTTATTTACTCCCACTTGCAAATAGCAGGAGGGTGAATATGGGGAAAATGCAGATGAATTTAATTGTTTTGGTTTAAATGTTGAATGCTTCATTTACCTCCGTGTGAGTAGCTTTTTAATATAATTATTTCAACAAGCACAACTATATTGTAAACTCGTAATGCTCTCCTAGAGCAGAAATCATGAAGTGATTGAGAGCTTTACTAAGATTAGCCCCAAGAGATTAAAACGGTGACAAATGTGCTTTGCTAGTATTTTCAGAAGTGCCCAATGGCTCCTGCGGAACTGAGTGGTGGTTGGCAGATGCTGGTAGATGGTCTCGCTAGCAGATTTCTATTATAGTCCGATTAGACTGCTCAAGTGGAATTTAAAATACTACATTACTAATCAAGGCAACCCTAATTTTCCACATCAAACAAATGAATGGCTTATATTTGGTTGTCTTTTATTTAAGGTTTATGTCAAGCTATTTGTCTTACATTGGAGTTAGAACAGAAATTGTCTACTATGTAAATCTTGTCTTTGCCTTTGTAGATTGAGATTGAAGATGTGATAACAATAAATCCAGAGATTTTAGAAGAAATTCCTTCTGCTTCTGATGTGAAAGAGAACCTGCCTCTGCAGGAGAATGTAACTATACAGGTATGTAATCCTTAAACTCTTCAGACTCTTGTTATGGTACTAAAATTCAAACCGCAGCATGTCAGAACATAAATAAGTACAGATTATTTTTAAAACTGCTTTGATTCTTTCACTTACTTTCCATTTTAAACTTTGAGGTCTCTGGGTATGCATGTTTTGTTCCATATGGATTTTTTTGGGGCTTCCTGTACTGCTTTCTATAAAAGAACAGGCACATCCTTGTATTTGTTACCATATCTTAATTGTATAATGCAAAGAGCATGGTAGATGCTTCAGACACTTACTGTAGTGGCTTTAACTTTTTGCAGAAACAAAAACGTAGAACAACGCTTTCAAAAATTCCTGCTCCAAGAGAAGGTAAAAATGACTCTTAATTCTTGTCTATAGTCAGAAGACAAAAATTATGCTGGAGATTTACTCTAATTTAGGCAACACAACACTACAAAATGTATTAGTTAAGCAATTGTACTTTATGCTGGTTCCTTATTGAAATCTGAGTTTTAAATCATTAGTCCTAAGGCATTCTGAGGCTTTTCTGTGTCTTGGAGGGTTCCTACCTTGGGTACCCTAATACAGGCCTACTGCCAGCAGGCTGCTTTTGTGCATCTATGAGCTGGCAAGCTGGTAATTGTAATTTGCCTTTTATCACAACAGTGGTTTTTTTTTTCCCTCTTCCAAGTTGTATAGTTCTACAGGCTTCAGGGGAATTCTTACTACAGCTAATACTAGTAAATTCTACTTTGCAAATTCCATAATCCAATGGAAAGTGAGTGCGTAGAGAGGCTCCGGAATAGGGTCAATGGTTCTTGTGTCAACAGAATAAAATGTTTTGAACAAAGCTAGTTGAGGATTGGCATGTTGCAAGGGAAAGTGGGGTCCATAAGAGGTTATTCTTCCTGGGCTGGAAGGTATGGGGCTAGCTGGGAAATACACCAGACCCTCGCTAGAACGAGCGTCTATATAGCGCAAATTCACATATAATACAGTCGCAGCCATGGATCCCAAATTTAATTACTTTAATTGCAATTCGTTTTAACACAATCCCCGATATAACGCGGTACCACACATGGATCGCAAATCCTGCATTCTAGCGAGGGTCCGGTGTAGTTCCCTTCCCATATCTAACTTTAACTTTCAGATTTTAGTTGACTAATTTATTTCTTGGGGCTTTTTGTTAGTTTGGGGAGGAAAGATTACTAGAGTGTGTACAGTTTGCCACCTCAGTGCTCGTGGTCACAAGCAATGTTCCCTCTAATTTTTGACAGGCCGTGTGTGCAAAAAATTTCTTCTATGCAAATTTGTGTGTGTTTTGCCGTGTGCATGGGGTTTAGGATCTGTGTGCACGCGCACAGCTTAGAGGGAACAGTGGTCACAAGTGTGACTAGCTCTCCATAGAATTCTAAGTTACGAATTAGCATCCTATGCTAGCTATGTTCTCCTTGCCCCCTGCCATGTTGGCTCTGCCTTCCTTCCCTCCAAAAGTGCAGCAAGCCTCTTGCTTGCTACCATTTGTCCTGTCCAGTACAGGAGTGCTAAGCTTTGGAACAGGAGGCTTTCACCCCAGCTGCTACTGGCTTTCTGAGCTCTCTCTCTTGGCTCTCTGTGTGACCTTGGAGATGGAAGGCAATACAAATCTTGTTGCAGGGAGTGGCAGATCTGGCAGGAACCCAGGCATCCCAAACTGTCACTAATCCAGGGAACTCTCCATAAAACGGGAGACTGGAAATTGTACTAGGAGTTATTGCCTCTAGGCTGGTCACTCCCTGGAAGTGAATGGCTAGCTGACCAATCAAGTGCTCTTAACCCAGCCAGTTACTGACAGATGGGCAGTGCCCTCCCTAGAGGTACTCTGACGCATACAATATAAGTGAAAATTTGCAGTGCATGTTGCCTGGCTATTGTCCCAGTGTTTTAGTGCAGTGGTTCTCAACCAGGTACTTAGAGGTCTTCCAGGGGTACATCCACTCATCTAGATATTTGCCTAGTTTTACAACAGGCTACATAAAAAGCACTAGTGAAGTCAGTACAAACTAAAATTTCATACAGACACTGACTTATTTATATTCCTCTATATACTAGATGCTGAAATGTAAATGATATTTATATTTCATTTGATTTATTTTATAAATATGATAAAAATGAGAACAAGCAATTTTTCAGCAATAGTGTGCTGTGATACTTTTATGTATTTTTGTCTGATTTTTGTAAGCAAGTAGTGTTTTAAGTGAGGTGAAACTTGGGGGGGTACGTAAGACAAATCAGACCCCTGAAAGGGTTACAGTAGTCTGGAAAGGTTGAGAACCACTGTCCTGGTGCATAAAGAAAGACCAGTTCTGAATCCAGCAAGAAAGCAAAGTAGTGTGTGTTCTCTTTTGCAAAACATCTATGCTACAGTAGCAGGGACCAATATCCTCCTATTTTGAGCCCTGCATTAAACTGATTAGAAAGCTCAACACTTTCAGGTCCTGCAAACCTCTTTGGCTGAGCACATAAAAGGAAGCAAAGTCCCCATCAGTGTGTGTTGTGTACTACTGCATCAGCTCCTGAGGGAAGCTAAAATAAATGGTAACTTTGAAAAAAAGTTAATTGTAAAACTGGTTCTGCCTAAACTAATCTTGCCAGTCTTCTGAATTATGGTATTCTGTCCTGTAAGGGAGCAGTGGTGTCACGATACCGCATGCCATTTCTTTCCGTAATGAAGTGACCAGAGTGCTGGAGACACTGAAAGTGTTTCTGGTGAACTCCGGTTTGGAAATTGTTACACTTCACAAAGGACACAGCATTTAATTCCATCTCCAAGCATAATGGAAGTACAATTCTTTTTTGTTCCTAAAGTGGCAACGGTGACCCCTAATGTCTCTGCGCCCGAGCAGCAGCAACCAGGTAAAGAATTCTGGTGTGATCTGCACTGAGCTTCATGGGCACAATTACAATTCCTGTGCACAGGGTTTATCCACTATTCTAATAAACATTTGGTGTGCAATAGAAATCTTGTCTTCACATGAGAATACTCATTGCTCTATTCTGGATAAATTCCTACAATTGTTAGAGGGGATGATAGATCCAATTTTTATATTGCACTCTAAATTTTTCATGTAAGATTTGCTTTCTTCACAAAAAAGGTCTATTTTAAACTATTTGAATGGGTGATATAGCCTTGGCATAAAAGCTCTAAAAGAATTTCCAGGTAAGAAGCTAGAACTATTTTAAAGTAATAGAGATTTAAATGTGTGACTGCTAAGACATTAATTCCCTTGCAGCTTGCATGGTAAATCTTGAGATAGTGCAGCTTTTATTAGTCAGATGCTGTAATCATAGCTTTTAAGTGAATTTAGCATTGGTGGAAGTTTCCACACTAGCTCTAACTGTACTTAAGTGCCATGGTGATGCATGATACCTCCTCAACCCTCACATGGAGAGACTATGATGACAAAGAAGCTGTCTCCATGTGTATGCTGTCTTTGGAAGTCTCCACAGAGACTTTAACCGAGGTGCTAATTTTGTGATGTGTGGACTAAGACAGATAAATTCCTGTCAAATAGTCACTGGATTTATAACACCTTCATCAAGATTGATTGATTGATCCAGTGACCAGGAGTATGAAGATGAGCCTTCTGGTCCCTTTCAAGAATGGTAGTTCAGGAACCTCAGCATAAATTAATGAATCCTAATTTTCTTTTTAATTAAAGTGGAATAGGAAAAGGAACCCATTAGAACTGCAAATCTGGAGTTAATTATTTATCTTCCACTAGTGGCATTTTTTCAAGAACACTCCACCAAAGTGAGCACCCTGCCTCACCCTAAACTTCTCGAAAGGGTCAGAGAGCCTGCTGTGAATGGTATCTCTTTAACCAGGCTGCTTTCCTTATTGTTCTTTACTTTCATGAGCATACTGATCTTTTTTGAAGAAACTGGGCTGCTGTTGTCAGTGCTCAATACTGACCTTGAATTCTTTATTTCCTAAGTATTACGTAGCCGTTCTACCAGGATGTCTGTTATCACAGAATCCCAGGGCAGCCTCCAAGATAATGAGATGGAGGTGGATCCCTCCACTTCTACACAAACAAGAAACCATTCAACAGTGCCTGGTGAGTGGAGACAAGCCCAGTAAAATGTGATTAAACTGAACTGAATGTCTTATGTGTTTCAAAATGCTTATCTCATGGGTGTGCAAACTGTAAAAGCAGAAAGAACTGACCAAAATCTCTTCCCCTTTTAAACAGAGAAGAGAAGAGACCACAATAGGTCCATGATCATGCATTTTACATAGGGCTTCTAATTAAGAGGGATTTCCAATAACCAGAAATTCTCCTGATGTTGAAAAAATAAATCACTTAATCCACCACATGCATGTCTTGGGATGAATCTGACATCTGTTTAACAGTGCACAATAGCATACGTAATGCTAGGATGGGAAGTGAAGTATCTGCTCTCTTGGAAGTGGAAAGTGTATTTTTACCTACATGGCAATGTGGTTTGAATGGCAGGGGTAATGGCCCTACTCTTGCTAAAAGAGCTATTAATAGTGCATTTTATATCTCATCTGAAAGACTTAGCAAGGATAACTTAAGATAGGGATAATATTTGGGGGCAAAAAAAGCTGGATTGCCTCTGAGCTGTACTGCGTTGACAGATTCCATTAATTGGGGATATGGATGTACTTGAGTGTAGCTAAAGTACTTCAAATTCTGCAGCAGTATTGATTACTGGTACAGTCACATGTATTTACACCTATTGGGTAAGGAAAGTATTTGAGCCCTGCTTTGTTCTTTTGGAAATGCAGACTTAATGCTTTATTGGTAGCTACTACTGTTCATTTTGCTACTTCACACAGCAAAAGCATGTGTGCTGCATGTTCAGTATCGGCTTTCATGATGGGCCCTGAACTTTAGAGAGGTTGTTTGTTAAAACTCAGTCTGTTCCATGCAGACTTTGGGCTATGGCTTTGAAAAAGTAGTCTTAAGTGTAACAAAGTTGATTTTTTTTTTTAAATTGCCTGTTGCACATGTGTGACAAATGTGGGAACTAGGAATTGGAGTCCTATATATGCCTCAGTTTCTCTGTGTGCTTTGCATTGCTATGTACAGACACTGAAAGGTTAAATCAGCACTTGGGGCAGAGCAGGAAACATGAGGTGCATTGTATCACATAACAGTCTGGGGTGAAATGAATGGGTGGTTAAAGGTCTGGCTGAAACAACCCTATCAGTGGAGAATCCAGAAGGACAATGAGAACCCCAACAACTGAACAATTGACAACTAGCCACAGGAAACTCTGGCAGGCAGAACATGTGAACTCAGCATGAGTCTGCAGGAAGAAGGCAGTGTCCTGGGGTGACAGGAGGCTAGGGTAAGAGTTGTGTCTCTCGAAAGGCCAGGAGCTCACCTGGGATGGACAGACAGGCCTGATCTACATCTAAAACTAACTACGTTGCTCAGGGCTGTGAAATTTTGCACCCCGTGCTCTGTATTAGATCAACCTAACGACCACTGTAGACACAGCTAAGCTAGGTCAGCAGAAAAATTCTTTGGTCAACCTAGTTACTGCTTCTTTGGGGGGGTGGATTTACTGCAGCACAGGAGAAAACCCACCAGTCACCGTAGTAAGTGCCTGCACTACAGCAGTGTAGCTGCAGCTGTGCCCCTGCAGCGCTCGTACTGTAGGCATAGCCAGAGAGAGGAAACCACTATGGGAGCTCTGGCTTGGCCGGTATGGACTGTCTCCACCTTTGCTTCTCCATGGTAACCGAAGGACTTCGCAAGGCTGTGTTCCAGTTGACTAATAAACCCTGCTCTGCTTTGAAAAGGCTGCCTGGTGTCACTGCAAATACATGCTGAGGTGCACCGATCCCTGAAGAGCAAAGTGTCTCTGAACAGGAGTCTTCCCCAGTTTCACACCATGAGCTCTGCTCAGAGAGTCTAACAAGTGCTGGAGCCCAGAGGCTCAGTTGTGGAAGAGTTGGACCCCTTGCTGGTCTGGTACATGGAAGGGGTTCCTCCAAGGGACCGTGTAAAAGCTGGGGCATAGCACAGATCCATGGCTCTGAAACAGCATGTACAACTAATTTTAAGGCTAGACATGCATCGTTATGCAGATGCAAAACATTTTCTTAAGTACAGTTCTCAACTAGTTTGCTTTAAAGTTACACTGCTTAAAGTAGGCAAATGCCCTAATCTTCAGACTTTTATCAATGAGATCCATAAACTGAAAAATGTAGCCAAGGCTGAAGGCACTGCATAGATCTTGAAACTTGATTTCATTTAAATCTCAGACCTCTAATAGGAGTCAAGCTTGATAGGCACTTTTTTCCCTAGCCAGCACTTTTTTTGTAGCTTCCCAAAATCTTTTTAAGAAAAAATCTAAAAGTCCTACCCTATTCTCATTGAAATAAATGGCAAAGTCTCCATCTACTTCAGTGGGAGCAAGATCAGGTTCTAAGGCTACTCAAGCATCATAAATTACTTTAAGGCTTAAAGGAGACGGTGGGTGAGGCAATCTCTCTTTTGCCAACAGAAGTTGGTCCATTAAAAGATATTACCTCACCCATCTTGTCTCTCATATTTAAGCCTTTACATGAGTTATGCTGCCAAATTCTCTAAACTCTTTTTGGTAGAGGAGAGATTGGAATGGGGTGAGAAGCACTTGTGCCTCACTTTAAAAACAAAACAAGAGAAAACCTGCACACTTCATGCATTTAAATAACCTACCTTATGTGGAAATATATACTTGACCTGCAATTTGGACACTGGGCAAACCTTGATTTTAAGAAATCCAGTGCAAAAATCTGTATGAAAACAATGTTAAGGCTGTACAGGTAAGTAATAAAGATGGGAAATGCAGAAGCTAAGGTATGGTGCATAGATATCTTCACTACAGGTTTCAGAGTAACAGCCGTGTTAGTCTGTATTCGCAAAAAGAAAAGGAGTACTTGTGGCACCTTAGAGACTAACCAATTTATTTGAGCATGAGCTTTCATGAGCTACAGCTCACTTCATCGGATGCATACCGTGGAAACTGCAGCAGACTTTATATACACACAGAGAATATGAAACAATACCTCCTCCCACCCCACTGTCCTGCTGGTAATACTTATCTAAAGTGATCATCAGGTTGGGCCATTTCAACCTGATGGTTTTATGGTTGGATTTAAACTTGGAGAGTGGTCAGTTTGGATGAGCTATTACCAGCAGGAGAGTGAGTTTGTGTGTGTATGGGGGTGGGGGGGGTGTGTGAGAAAACCTGGATTTGTGCTGGAAATGGCCCACCTTGATTATCATGCACATTGTAGGGAGAATGGTCACTTTGGATGAGCTATTACCAGCAGGATAGTGAGTTTGTGTGTGTGGTTTTTGGGAGGGGGGTGAGGGGGTGAGAGAACCTGGATTTGTGCAGGAAATGGCCCAACTTGATTATCATGCACATTGTGTAAAGAGTTGTCACTTTGGATGGGCTATCACCAGCAGGAGAGTGAATTTGTGTGGGGGGGTGGAGGGTGAGAAAACCTGGATTTGTGCTGGAAATGGCCCAACCTGATGATCACTTTAGATAAGCTATTACCAGCAGGACAGTGGGGTGGGAGGAGGTATTGTTTCATATTCTCTGTGTGTATATAAAGTCTGCTGCAGTTTCCACGGTATGCATCCGATGAAGTGAGCTGTAGCTCATGAAAGCTCATGCTCAAATAAATTGGTTAGTCTCTAAGGTGCCACAAGTACTCCTTTTCTTTTTATCTTCACTATAGTAATCTTCAGTTCCATAGTCAAGTATTTAAGTAACTTTATCTTAGATCATATACATGCAAAGATGTGATCATATAATTGGCGGTACCATAGTGCACACAAATGAGAATAAAGCTAAAGGTGTGTATAGTACAACCTTACAGCAGAATTCTGCACTATCCTATTACATTGTTATATGTTGGCCTATTAAAGGAAACACTTACAGATTGTGAACTATTATTAGATTGGCAGTTTTTTATACTAAATTACTATGAAATGGCCACTGGGTGCCTGCATCCCGTACAAGTGCTGTACCTTCTGGGTTAGCCCTATCTCCCTCACCTGCCATAGAATTGGAGAGCAGGGCAGCTCATGGCCTAACTCCTCTCCCTCCCCACCCTCTACTCTTGTCTTGGGGCCCTACAAATTGGAAGGCTGTTCTCCCTCATTTCTGAGGTCTAACAGATACCGTTCCATTGACCTGCTTTCTTTCAACAGCTGGCCGAGCCCGAACTACCAGGCCACATTGTGCTACAGAATCCTCACTGACAAATGTACATGAAGTTATAGAAGAACATCCATCTATCAGAAGCAGCTCTTCAGCAAATCCAGGTAAATAAGAACTATTGTCTGAGGGCTGGCTGGCTCATTGACCAGCATTGCATCTCTAAGCAGCGTCAGTTAAGATTGTTTCTCCATGTGCTCAGAGATTTAATATGACTTCCTGGAAAGTGGCTTAGCAGCAAAAGGAAACATCCTGATGACTTCAAATTGAAATATGGTACAGTTCTGATATTCAAATAGATCTGCCAGGAAGGACTGGCTCCACCCCAGAATAGCAATACAATGGCTTTCTAACTAGCTTCAGTAGCTGGTAGCTATACTTTGTGACGACACCACTGGTCACTGACTTTTTTCTTTTTTTCTTTGTTGCTGGGGGCACGGGAATCACCAACACCAATAAGGTGACCTCCTACCTTTTAACTTTAGGTGCCTTAATGCTGTGCTGTGGCTTGGAGCCCTGACACTAGTAGCCAGCCCACAGGCATAAAGTTCTCCGCTGGCTTCCACCAGCCTTGTTACTCCCAACAGCCCGTCCAGTCCCAAGTCTACTAAGTTCTGTAACTGCCAGGCACCCTGACTTCCTCTCTGCTTGTCACCCCCCAAAGGTATGAACAGCCCCCAGTTATCAGTTCACTTTGGCATGCACACTCCACACAGATTGCACAGCAGAGACATGCTTGAGGTAAAAATAAAGTTCATTTAATAGAAAAATCACAGATGAACTAGTAAGGAAAGGCAAACACGAGTTACACAATACACATAGATACAACTTCAGGCTTTACACTCCTATATTGGATAAATTCCCTTTTCTAATAGTTACCCATTGCCTCGGAACAGTTTCCCACCATACTCCCTGTCACAGAGGGGATCCAGTGTTTCATGGACTGCTTCCTGCGTAGAGGCTGCCCCTCAGTTTCTGAAGCCTTTGTTCTCAACCCCCTTCCCTTTTTAACAGGGTTTGCAGCCTTTTTCTTTCTCTCAGATTATGGTTATTCAGAGTGTGGGGAATTCCCTTTCTGCTTGATAGCTGGGGCATCTCAGTCTCTTCCCATTAACTGTAATGGTTCTGTTTCTCTCTTCCTGGGCTGTATTATGGATCATCACTTGTGTTTGGTTCTGTGTAAACACTTGGCTCAATAGGAGCCCCTGCCTGTTGTGAAGTGTATTTGAAATTGTAGTACAGTGTATGAGCATAATACTCTATGTACATAGATTCATAACCACAGTCTGTATAAACATCTCCTAATGACCATCAAGTTCAGAACACTACAAGCTTTCATAAGACCTTACTTGATATATTTATTAACAACCTTGCATACAAAACCAGTTGATTCAGTTGCTAACTCCTTGAGATTCAGACTCTTGTGGTGTCTGTACCTGGATTGTCACAACCACTGGACACAACTAATAAGGAACACCCTCTCCAGGACAAGACTCTAGGTCATGATATCCCAGTTTGTACAGAAGAGGGTTTTGTATGTGTATGGGCAGGGGGAGGGTGTAGATAAAGAAATTATTCTGCCTAAAAGAAACTTGTTTGTGGTAACAACTTCACATAAAAGTGATATAAATGTCTGTCTTTTTCCAGTTCGGAGGAAATCTAATATTGTGAAAGAGATGGAGAAAATGAAAAGCAAGAGGGAAGAGAAGAGAGCCCAGATAAGTGAGATCAGAACAAAACGGGCACAGGTGCAGTATTTGATCAGGGAGTAACCCTTGGTTCCCCAGAATAAACTGGGATAAGAAAAATTCTATAGGATAGTGTGTTTATAATGGTCAAACTAAAACACATTTTGGACTAACATGCCCAGTGTTTGGTTTCAGTTTACACTTGCTGTGGATTTTGTTTTAAAGTGTCATGCATAAGGATGTAAACAAAACCTGTCTGCTCTCTCCAGACTGAATTTGTTTAGGGGTCTCCCGGGTAGCTGTTTCTGCAGTTGAAGGCTGTTAAACCCTAGACTTGCTCTTTCAGTTGTAGGTGGCATTTCTGAATCATAGAAATGTAGAACTGGAGGGGGATCTTAATAGGTCATCTAGACCAGCTCCCTGCACTGAGACAGAACCAAGTATTATCTAGACCAGTGTTTTTCAAACGGGGGTCTGTGGACCCCTGGGGGTCCCAGAGAGTACTCCAGGGGGTCCACTGGCCCCACTGATCAACTCCTCCCCCTCCCTCCCAGCGCCTCCTGCACACTGGGGAACAGCTATTCCCTGGCGTGCAGGAGACACTGGGAGGATGGGGGGAGGAGCGGGGACAGGGTGCACTCGAGGGAGGGAGCAGAATCATGTCCAGGGCCGCCAGCCCCGCTGATCAACTAGGGTTGCCAATCCTCCCAGTTTTGCCAGGAGTCTCCTGGAATCAGGCTCTATCTCCAGGGGGGCTACTGAAGGCAAACTGGGAGATTTTAGGCGCTAAAAGTCCAGTGGGGCTAAGGCATGCTTCCTGCCTGTCCTGCCTCCGTGTTGGTCCCAGAAGTGGCCGGCAGGGAGGATGAGGGGGCCAGGGGGTCTTTGCATGCTGCCCTTGCCCCAAGCTCCGATTCCACAACTCCTATTGGCCTCAGTTCCCAGCCAATGGGAGCTGCAGGGACAGTGCCTGCAGCCAAGGGCAGCACACGGAGATCCTCTGGCCCCCCTGCCTAGGAGCCACTGCCAGAGGGATGTGCCGGTTACTTTCGGGAGCCACCTGCAGTAAGTGCCACCTGTACGGAGCCCTCACCCCTTCCTGCACCCCAACTCCATGCCCCAGCCTGGTGAAAGTGAGTGAGGGTGCGGGAGAGTGAGCGATGGAGGGAGGGGGGAATGGAGTGAGTGGAGGGTGGGGCCAGAGTGGGGCCTTGGGGGAAGGGGTGGGGTGGGGCCTGAGGCTGAGTGGCAGGGCTTGAAGGTCCCTGAAAAAGTTTAAATAAAAATGGGGGTCCTCGGGTTGCTAAAGTTTGAGAACTACTGATCTAGACCATCCCTGACAGGTGTTTGTCTAACCTGCTCTTAAAAACCTCCAATGAGGGAGATTCCACAACCTCCCTTGGTAACTTTGTTGTACTGCTTAACTACCCTTACAGTTAGGAAGCTTTCCCTAATGTCTAACTCCCTTGCTTCAGCTGAAGCCCATTACTACTTGTCCTCTCCTCGGTGGACATGAAGAACAATTCCTCCTCCTCCTCTATAACAACCTTTTATGTAAAAAGAAAAAGGAGTACTTGTGGCACCTTAGAGACTAACCAATTTATTTGAGCATGAGCTTTCGTGAGCTACAGCTCACTTCATCGGATGCATACCGTGGAAACTCTGTGTATATAAAGTCTGCTGCAGTTTCCACGGTATGCATCCGTGAAGTGAGCTGTAGCTCACGAAAGCTCATGCTCAAATAAATTGGTTGGTCTCTAAGGTGCCACAAGTACTCAGTCTGTATTCGCAAAAAGAAAATAACACGGCTGTTACTCTGAAACCTTTTATGTAGTTGAAGACTTCTCCTGTTCCCCCTCAGTCGTCTTTTCTCCACACTGACAAAACTGGGTTTGTTTAATCTTTCCTCGTAGGTCATATTTTCTAGACCTTTAATCATTTTTGTTGTTTTCCTCTGAACTTTCTCCAATTTGTCGACATCTTTCCTGAAGCCCAGAAATGAACACAATGTTCTTGAAACTATTACAGTATTTTACTGAAACAGATTTCATCACTTTTTGGATAAGTGAACTAAGCATAAATTGAACAAAATGATTGGCCACTAGCAATGGAAAAGCAAAGTGGTGACAATTGCAATATTGAAACTCATTGACCAATGGCAGGGTATTGAATGTTCTCTTCTCTTCCCTGTCATGTGAATCTGCCTCAGGGAGTGCAGACATAATGCAGTATTCTTATCTCTTCTCACTACGCACAGGGAGGAATTTACCATGCATAAAACTTAATTCTCTTCTTACTGTTCTGCATTGTCAACAGTCTTAAAATTCATCGGTATGGCAGTCAGTGTAAACTTCCCAGTTTGTTTGAGGTGCTACAACGCAGACACAGCACACAGATTTGGTACTATGTAGAGGAAAACTGGGGTACAAATGGAGAAATACAGGGTGTTTTTTTGTGGGAGAAGGCAATGGATGGGTAGAGAGGAGGTGTGCTTATCAGCAGTTAAAATGAGTACTGAAAACTCCTTCAGCTCGGTTCCTTCTGCTGCATAGGAAGATTCCCCCTTCCAAGCAAAATGAGATTAGAAATCCTAATCATTCAGTCAGGTTATTTCTAGTTCCAGAGTCTTTCACATGTCTTTGCAGCATGAGGACAGAGTAACAATATACTGAGTTCTTTAGCTGCACACAGACTAGTGCCCTTTGTACTCCTAGGCAGCACCTTTTTCGGCGGTTTGCTAAAGCTAATGTCTGTCACTGCCCTGCAGGAATTTGATAGCAGCTGTCCAAACTGGGAGTTTGCACGGATGATCAAGGAATTCAGAGCTACTTTAGACTGCCAACCAATATCTATGAATGACCCAGTAAGTAAATATTTGGAATCATTGACTGCAATGTACCAATATCACCTGTGATTTTTTTTTCCGCTCATTGAACACTCGTGCTTCGATAGTCATTATCGAAGACTTAACCAGAAATACTTGAACTTGCCTAGTTTAACTTGGTGTACCATGGATAAGCAGGAACAGTGTGACATCATGGCTTAGTATTGAGCTCACACTGCAACATGGAAAATGTAAGTTAAATATTAGGAGTAACTTCAAAGCAGATCAGCAGAACAAGCTGTGAAGGTGGTGGTGGAAACTGCCACTTCTGGAGTTAAGACTACATTAAATGCCAGAATAACTGAAGTATCATCCTAGCCTCGGAAAAATATTACTCTGATCTGTCAATGACAAAACTTGAGTCCAGAGAAGTAAAATGCAACTTGCTAGCTGTTGACCCCTGTTCCAAACTCTTGACATGTTGGTCAAATGCCTCTAACATGAGGAGGCTAAAAACTAAGCGGTGATGTTGTAAATACCACCAAGCTGCAGAATAGAGATTTGCCCAGTCCACAAATTCTTTAAATACCTCTTTTGGTTAAGCTCAGCCAGTGACATGCAGAATGTGGTCTTTCCCCAACAAAATGATCCTGTAGCTGGACTGCAGCGATGCCTAAATTGACTGCAATGTGAAGAGCTCAGATCTAGTGAGGTCACTGTGAAGTTAACTTCGCAATATGCAAATCTGGTGATTACAGACTTAATAATTTTATTATGATGTTGAAGTAAAAAGAAAACGGTACAGGGTTTAAGCACAGAAGTTTCTGGTTATCAGGGAATAAGGTACAGATTATCAAGGGGTGCGAAATTTCGGTTTAGGAATGGGTGGTGTAAGAAATACATAATCTGCAATCTCCCCGATTGGGGGTTAAAGGTTAATGGGTCAAAAGTACAAACATTGAGATATGGGGGTATGTTGTTCATATAATGGATATGTTCAGGTGTGGAGTATAATGAGTGGATACGATGATGAGGATGGATTTACCCTCATTTGGTGAGATTTAATGTTCAGTGAGTTTATGGTTCCAGTTCGTATGGTCCAATGGAAAGTCTCTGTCCCTTTCCCATAGTGGATGCATGATGTCGTACCGGCTCACACCACCTGATACTGTCAGTGGCCGGTGATGTGTTCGATGTAGATGTCCCTGGACCATCGGATGGTGTCCGAGACAGAGGCACCGCATGAGCCATGCGTAGCGTCGACCAATCCCACAGGTCCGCAGCACACGCTCGTTGCAGGGGTCCCAAGCACCCAGGGCTCCGACGATCTGCACCTCGTAGCCCTTTGCTCTCAGGGTGTCGGCTGTGGGGGGGCGTATTTTTCCACGAGCTCGGGCTTTGCGGAAGGCCGGGGTCCTGTTCTCAAAGGAGACCGTGATGTCGACGAGGATGATCTTTTTCTGGGCCTCGTCGGTGACTACCACATCGGGTCACAACTGGCTGTCAGTACCGGGGATGGCGCAGTTCACGGCGACCTCCCCCAGGCATGGTGCGATGGCTTTCACCAGGCGGTTCTGGATGGCGTTGTGGCACACCTGCCAGGCTCTGGAGTGGGGCTTGCAGCTGCACAGGACGTGGGACAGGGTCTCGTTGGAGTAGCCACACTTCTTGCAACGCTCATCTCGGTTCCCATGGCGGACGGCTCCATTGAGAGCCGGGTACAGTGGATGAAATGCCAGTTGTGAAACGGGTGAAGCTGCCCTCAGCGGGGAAGTGGTTGCTGGTGTCCCATTTGCTGGTCAGTTCGAAGGCTTTACCCTGGTCCGGCTTATGCTTCAGGGTTTCCATGTACAGTGAGTGGATGGCTGCCTTCAGAGTCCTCTCCAGCATGCCCCTGGCGCTCGGGGTGACGATGGTGTTGTTGTCGGGCCTGATTTGCGGCACCAGGACTCCCAGCTCTTGGTGCTCCTCGCACCGCTCCCAGCGGCAGCCGATGCGCTTCCCCAGGCGATGCGTGGCATTGCGAGCACGGGACCACAGTGAAGCGATGTCGTGCCCATCCCATCCGAATTCGCCATCCAGGGAACCGCTCAGGAAGCTGGCGGTGTCTTGGTTGGAGGGGGCTCTGCCGATCTGCTTCTTTGTCGCGTCCTGGAGGGCGTTTGCTGCAATGTTCCTTACCGTAGCGTTGGGACATGTCAGCAGGCGGAAGGCGTGGGTGATCACCGCGATGTCACACAGGTCACCCATGTGGGGGACATTTGCACTGCCATGCCTGTGGGCGATATAGACCAGCTTGTTGCTGGCTCTCTGGGGAAGGAACAACCACTTCTTCACCAGCTGCCGGACGATCTTGTCTGCCTTGTTGAGGGGTACCTTCGCCATGGAGGATCCCCTTAGGACAAACGAGATGCGGGGAATCAGGAAGGTGTTCAGGGCGTTTATTTTCTGCCACGGTGCTAGCAGGGAGGCGTCGATCTTGGCGGCATCGTGCAAGATCTCCTGAATGGTGTCCTCAGGTGTCTGCCGGACACAGAAACCCGTCGGCGTGCCAAGATGCTGGTACGCCTGCCCCTCTGTAAGGGGGATGATGGGCTCGCCCTGGATCTGGAACCCTGTTGTCTGCACCGAGTCCCTTTTGCTGCTGTCGATGTGGAGAGTTGCGCACTTCTTTACGTTGAAGCGAAGCCCCATCCAATCGGCAGCTCGACTGGTGGCATCTAGCATACGTTGGAGGTTCTCTGGGTCATTCGTGGTCAGGACCAGGTCATCCGCGTAAGCCAGGACGCTCACCCTCTCATTGTGGAGGTTGAAGCCATCTGGGCCATTGGAGATCGCTCGCAGCAACGGCTCCATGGTAGAGGGCATGGTACCTATCAGGACTCTGGATGTGGAGCTCCCTGTCAGGCACAGCTGTGCTCCTGGTAGGGAGCAGGGGCCGAAACCCCAGGAGGGCAGCCAGGCTCCAGGCGGGGAGATCCATGCCTGGAGCCTGCTGTGGCTACCCTGTTTCTGTTAGGGAGCCGTGGGGGGCAGCCTGGCTTCCAGCAAGGAGATCTGCACCCAGTGTCCAGTTGGTTACTCCATTCCCAGAAAGGAATGGAGCCAGGAAGCCAGCTGTGGCTCCTTATGGGGAGCCTGGGTGGCAGCCTAGCTTGGAGCAGAGACCAGGCAGGAGCCTGGCTGCAGAGTATGGAGCCATGAAATTGACAAGAATGACAGCCAATAGATGCAAGTAACGCAGTTTTTACAGGGACACTGCGTCACCTGAACTACACTGACATAAGTCCTATGCCCCTTGTGGAGGTGGAGTTATGTTGGTGTAGTAGGGCACTTACGCTGGCAGGAGAAGGGCTGTATTGTGTACGCTGACATAATTAGATTGACGTAAGCTGCCTTACGTCAACCTAATGCTGTAGTGTAGACCAGGCCCTTGTATCCTTACAGCCTCCACTGCAACACTGATTTAGCACAGGTGTGGTTGGGGGCGGGGGGAGAATAGTGATACTCTGTATTCAGTCTCACTGTAACCTCTCCTTCTCTTAAAGATAGAAGAGCGCAGGATCTGTGTTTGTGTAAGGAAGCGCCCTTTAAATAAGCAAGGTAAGTGTGTGTCTGTATTGGCAAAATTTAACCAGGAATCAGATGCCAGTTTGACGTTACTCATTCATGTTACAAATATTTTTTTTCCATCAACAGAACTTCACAAGAAGGAATGTGATGTGATTACAGTTCCCAGCAAGTGTGTCCTGCTGGTGCATGAGCCAAAGTTGAAAGTGGACCTAACAAAATATCTCGAGACCCAGGCATTTAGATTTGATTTTTCATTTGATGAAACTGCTTCCAATGAAGTGGTTTATAGGTAATGTATCATCTTACATAGTGGGCCTGAGCAGCACAGGATTAACATGGTGGGAATGAAAACATAAAGGGTTACTATCTCAGATTGTCTTAGTTTAAAGGGATTGATATTTTACAATCCAGCTAACCATATTTGGTTTTGGTAAAGACCAGTGGACTGTGAAACATCTAACAGGAGCTCTTAGCTTAGTTTCTGTCTGATCTTAATGTTTACTACTGAATCCACTTCCATTTGTTGGATTCCTGGGAATTATTTGAAGATTCTAGAAGTATAGTGATGGCTGAAGCCAAGTATGGGCTAGTCAGGAGAGTGCCTCCTTTCTTTGTGCCTTATTCTTTTTATACTTCTAAATTCCTAGGTTCACTGCGAGGCCTCTTGTACAGACCATCTTTGAGGGTGGAAAGGCTACATGTTTTGCATACGGCCAAACAGGCAGCGGCAAAACACATGTAAGTGACTGACTGGCTGTCTTCTAAAAGCCTCCAATATCTCAGTTTAGATAAACTGATTAAAGCACATTTGGATATTTAAGGTAAATAGCCTTTCATCCAGCAATTGGATCTTGGTTTTTGATCGTCCTTTGAAATGATAATGGAGAGAGTTCACTTAACTTACCAAAAGGTGAGTTAGTAACCATTAAAACTTCAGCAAGCGAATAGCTGCTTCCTTTCATATTGCTGAGAAAGTAATGAGGCTGACTCTGGCAATGTTGTTTAGTGGTTGAAGACCAGGACCAGGCACTGCTGACTTGTAATCCTGGCTCTGTCACTAACCTCAGGCAAGTCTCAATCTCTCTGCCTTCATTCCCCAGCTTGTGAAATAGGGTACTAGCGCACTCAAGAGGTGTAAGGATTGTTTGTATCATATTTTGAAGATGTACACTTTAAAGGCTCTCTGAACTCTTCCAGAAATACTTAATACACTTACAAAAATAAGCCTCTTCTCATACATGGTGTAATGATGCTGGTTCTGGCAGGACCCAACTGAGAGTGCCAATTCAGGACAAATTGCTTAAAGCAGGGCAGTTACAACCCAAGGCTGGGGTTTCTATGCACACCAAGGCAAATCAAACCAGCCAAACAGGGAAGACTTTTGTTTTACCCCACTGGCTAACCACAAGTCACACAAGCAATTCCCGTAGACACTCCAGTTTCCCAGTATCACCACCAATGCCACTTGTTATGGGGACAAATGGTTATGAAAACCAATACCCTAATAAAAGAAAGTTTCTCTCGATCCCAAAGGACCAAGCCCCAGACCCAGGTCAATATACAAATCAGATCTTACCCACAAATCACGCTGTTGCCAATCCTTTAGAATCGAAAATCTAAAGGTTTATTCATAAAAGGAAAAAGATAGAGACGAGAGTTAGAATTGGTTAAATGGAATCAATGACACACAGTAATGGCCAGGTTCTTGGTTCAGGCTTGTAGCAGTGATGGAATAAACTCCAGAGACTTGATTTGAACCTGCCGAACATCCCCAGCTGGGAGGGGTCTTTCAGTCCTTGGTTCAAAGCTTCAGTGTAGCAAAGACCCTCCACAGGTACGAAGCAGGATTGAAGACAAGATGGAGGAGCTGCAGCAGCTTTTTATAGTCTCATGCCATGTGGTCTTTCTTTGTTCCAAAGACAAGCTGTCCATCCCATGGCCTGGAAAAACCTCAGAGTTCTGTCCATAGACATGTCCCTGCATACCTTGCTGAGTCACAAGGTGTGTCTGCCTTCTCTCAATGGGCCAATTGTATATCTGAGGGCCCTTAATGGGCCGTCAAGCAGGCTAGGGTAGAGCTGACACCAACTTGTCTGGGGGTGTCACCCAGAAGCATAGCACAAGTTTGAAATACAGACAATATAGAGCCAATACAAAAATGATACATGCATACAGATAGCATAATCATAATCATCAAACCATAACCTTGTCTTAGACACCTTATTTGACCCCCTTATTACAAGATTTGGTGCCACTACAGGACCTTGGTTGCAACCATGTTCTATATGGTCCTGGTTCAAGTCAATAACGTGACACATGGATACCCCCTGATCTGGATATTACTTGTGGAGTGGGCAGATCTTCACTGCTGTGAGTTAGGTATCTTAAGCTTTTCTCTTTCACTTCAGACTTTCTGCAGCTGTTCTGTGGTATCACACTCTGGTCCTGGTTCACTGCCTCCATCACACCAGCTTTTCGGTTGGGGAGACCTTACAAGTGTGGACATTTTTTTGCCTACAGGATACTCAATACTAGACTTTCAGTAACTGGAACCTGTTTTCTTCCCCTGTAGCTTTCCAATCACTGGAACGAAGTCTGAATTTCTCTCCCTTCAGCTCACCTATCAGAGTAGCCTAATACACCGCCTTGTGTGTGTTTTTTTGGTAATGATTTTCCCCAGGTCATGTAGCAAAGTGTTTTAACTCAAACCTCTGATTGGTTAGTGCCAGTTGATTAGACAAATGACTAATCCTGATGTAAAAGATGGATGCTAAGGGAGATAAAGGTCCAAAAAGTAGCCTAGGAATTGTCTTATGGCTTGTTATTTCCCATTGGTGTTACCCAGGCATGCAAAAGGAGTTGTTTTCTTTGCAACTTTTTTTATTACTATAATGGAGGTGATCCCTGGTTGTGGCCACTCCCTATATACCTTACTGATTGAATCCTATGGGCTCATAAATGTTTACACCTATAAAATATCAGGTTTATTTAGCTTCATCTAAAAACTTCCTGGTTATCAGTTTGATGCTGCTATGGTCCAGCAGCACTGTCTGATTTTACAGGCAAAACGCTTAGGCCACTTCCATTAGCATGGAATGGGCAGGTCTGTCCCAGTAGTGATGTTCAGCTAAGTAGATTCTACTCGGAGACCTAGATACAAATTATAGGTAGGAAAACTACATTTTTTCCATTTTTGATCACTGATCCAGGATCAGAACTAGTGCTAGAAAAGATGGCTGCTTGTGGAAGGACTTGTACTATACATTGAGCCCTGGCGGACTAAGATACTGGATCTTGTTAGGCTAATGGTTTATATTAAATAACTGCAGTTCCAGGCTTTAGAGGGTGTAGTGTTGATAACTGTTACAGCAATTAACATCAGCAGCTACCTTAGTTTTGTTGGAACTGAAAGCAGCGTGGACGGATGAGCAAGATAGTAGTCACAGTGACACTAACATAAGGTTCTGCCAGGTTTGGAAACACAGTGAATTCTGCCTTTTCAATGCCACATGGAAAATTTTGTTATCTTGGAGTGCAATTTTTTTGCTCTCTGAACAGAGGAAGCCAGGTTACTTTGCCAAGATCCCAAATTCTCGCTTGTAGATAAATAGTTGGCTGGAACTCATATGATTTCCCCTTACATTTCATAGCACCTAGAGGGTCCCTTTGTCCCTGGTCAGGGGTTTCCAAACTTCTTGCTGGTATGACCCCATTTTAATGAATTATTTCTTTCCAGGACCCCAGACAGCATGGAGGACACAATTTTGTAGAGCAAAATGGTGCCCTCCACACAGCGTGACCTCTCATGCATCGTATATGTGCGCTACATACATGCGTTACAAAATGGTGTCCTCTGCACAGTGTGACCTCACACACACTGTACATTTGTGAAGTCACTTGGTGCAGAGCAAATAGTGTCCTCCACACATTAGGGATTGCTATGACCCCATGTGCTGATGACATGACTGCACTTGGAGTGGGGTTACCATGTCTGGGTTTTCCCAACATTTCCTCTTTTTTGATCCTCAACCTTCTGTCCAGGCCGATTTTTCAAATAAAAGGAGAAACATCCAGGATCTTTTCACAGTAGACATTGCAGCTTAGAAAGAGCTGGCTCCGCGTCCCGAATGATCTTTCCCGCTGCATCCGCAGCTGCTGGATCCTACCCACCCTGGCTCTGACTTCCAGCCCTGGGAAGGGGGAGATGCAGGGAGGTGCTGACAGACAGCTGTCGCTGCATCCCAGTCTTGCTCCAGACACAATGACAGGGAGCAACATTGCCTCCCACCTCGAGAGTGAGGCCACAGGCATCCCCTCTACAGTGTCCTTTTTTTTTCGGGAACTTGAAAGATAACCCTAATTTGGAGTCGCAACCCACAGTTTGGTAACTACTGTCCTAGGTGCTGGAAAAAACGTGGTTGTCACACTGATTAGTTCCAAACATTCAGAATGAGTTAACACAATTACATCAAGCTTTTTATCCTGAATTACATGGCATAGCACCATGTCTAGTTAGTCCATTGAGATCACAGGCTGTTCATGTGGACTCTTTTTTTCCTAGAATATTGTTAGAACTACAGTTGAGTGATAACCTGACTTGCTTGGACTGCACCTCTATAATGGCTTTTTTTTTGTAGACTATGGGAGGAGACTTCTCTGGGAAAACTCAGAATGTCTCAAAGGGGATATATGCTTTTGCATGTAAGTTGACTCTTCAAGTTTTCTAATCCAAGTTGTATATAGTATTTTTCCTTCATAAAAGACTTTACTATATAGATGTATGAGAAGTTATTGAAGTCCATAAGGCCTTTATTTTAAAGTTCTTTATGAATAAATATTTAAAGAATTCCTATAAACCCTGATTATCATGTGTTGTTCCCAATAAGCAGTGATAAATTTAGTTGCAATAGTTATGTAAATCACCAACTATAGATATTACCCAATATATAGCTTCTGTATATAATGGTATTAACAGTAATTTTTATTAGAGCAAAAATAATTTAATCAAGATCAAAACACACTCTCTGAGGCAGAGTGGTTGGTTGGTTGCGTAGGGTATTGCTGGTTCCTAACAAATTAGTAGTAAGAGCTTGGCCCTAAAGGAAAGCTTTGTTTGTTTTTTTTCTTGGTTTTTTTTTGGGGGGGGGAGTGGTGGAAGGAGTTGGATTTACTTTTGAACTCTCCCTTTCAAAACTAGAATCTTCCTCTATTTGCTGAACTGTACCTGAAAGTTTCCTTGTCTAGGAATCCCAACTAACGCTTTTTTGTTTTTTAACAAGTGATTCAAAGCTACAGAGGATTGCAATGTTCTGCAAAGTTAAAACTTGACTGTATTAACCAAGCCAGAAAATAAAATCATTGCTCACTGATAACTTGAGAAGTAGAAGCTCACATAATCCCTTTCTTTTTTTCAGTCCTAATGAGGACACAGCTGAAATCAGATTCATTTGGAGGAGTCGTCTTGTACAGATAACTCCACTACTATCTGGCTGGGGCAATTGTCATTCCAGCTACTAGACACTATAACTGCCTTGCTGTGAAGAATTTTGGAAGGGGCAGAGTCCCAGAGGCAGCTGAAATTGTTGTTCTAAAATCTGGTTAGGTCATGTTTTTTTCTTCCTTTCCCCATCAGCACGAGATGTCTTCCTCCTTCAAAGCCAACCCAGGTACAGGAATCAAGACCTGGAGGTCTATGTGACATTCTTTGAAATATATAATGGAAAGGTGAGATCTTGTGTCTTGATTTTAGTCTGAGTTTTTTGACCATGCATTTGATACATGGTACGATTTTATTTAGCTATCTGCATGTCCTTGCTGGAACATGGGCCCTTTGTGCCTCTGGTATTGAATTGGAAAGTCTGGGATATGCATAATTCATGTTGTGTACCTCTCCTTTAAATGAGGAAACTGTGAAATAGGTGTAGGCAGTGGCTCTCAAACTTTTTTACTGGTGACCCTTTTCACATAGCAAGCCTCTGAGTGTGGACTCTTCTCTTCTCTCCCCCCCTTTATAAATTAAAAACACTTTTTAAAATATATTTAACACCATTATAAATGCTGGAGGCAAAGCGGGATTTGGGGTGCAGGTTGACAGCTCACGACCCCCCATGTAGTAACCTCAAGACCCCCTGAGCGGTCCCAACCACCAGTTTGAGAACCCCTGGTGTAGGGGATGGTTCTTTACTTGTGCATCTCCATCTCCTTGCTCAAATACAGGTGTTTGATCTCTTGAATAAGAAGGCAAAACTCCGAGTGCTTGAGGATGGAAAGCAGCAGGTCCAAGTAGTTGGCCTCCAAGAAAGACAAGTCAGCCGTGCAGATGACGTGATCAGAATGATCGAGATGGGCAGTGCCTGCAGGTTTGTCTCCCTGGGCTTCTGCTTCCTTAATGTGTGTGATGTGTTTTTTTTTAAGCTTTCCAGCCTTTTATTTCCTATTACAAGTCTCTATAGGGTATCTATAACCAGGCTTAAAATAAGGGGCAATGAACTTTGTCCCCCAATAACAAGCACATGCCTTGGCACCTTGACTTTAAGGAAAAGAAAGAGAATCAGCCAGTAGACCAAATCCCAGAGATGGGAAAGCATGGACATGGGTGTCTTGCAATAGGTTTTAAACATGGCTAGCTCATGCATAATATTCAAAACCTATCAAGGTAACTGTCTGGTTAACAGAACCACGGGATGTCTGTGGTGCAGCACCTGTGAACTACAGGATTCTGAGTGGGAGGCAAGGACTGTCTGATGCTATTTGCTGGTCACGTAACACATCCGAACTCTTGAAGGCTCTTCCCATATCACAGTTGAAAAACAGTGGTGGCAGCATGGTTGCGCCCTGCTGATTCCACACCATGTGGTGGCTTCTCTGTGAAGCTCCCCTCTCGTAACTAGTTTAGTTGAGTTTTTAGAGAAGTTTTTCCTCCAACTTATAAGAGTTCAGTAACAAGCAGTCTTGTCATGACTCTGAAGAGGCTAGAAGTGCAATACAAAATTTATTTTAGGGAAGGCCTTGTGTGTCACACTGAATGTCTGCATTGATCTACCCTAACCCTTTCTTAGTCTAGAACTCCCTAAGCACATTCAACTTACATTGACTATTTTTTTTTTAAACCTTTCCAAACTCTAATGCTTCCTACAGTAATATGTTATGAAGAGTTTTTGTCTCCCTAAAGGTGGGAGGGGAACTTTTCAGGCAGTAGATGGTAATGGAGATCAGGGGAGGGTGGGGTTATGAAGGTAGTTTATCTGCCATCATACTAAACGTCCACACCCATATGTGACACTTCCTTGGCATGCCCAGGATTGTATGTCACCTTTTTACCTCCGACCTCTGGCATGAGGGAGTTTATCTTGTGGTAGCTGGGTGTCAGCTCTTGAACACAACCAGCCTTTCAGCCATTCATGCTCTCCTCAGGACTCTACCAGTCCTGTTTTGCTTTACAGGCTATTACGTGCACCTCAGAAGCATCTGCCTGTAGTGTCTGGCCCCTGTCACTGGCCACACACAGTAGTTACCAAGTCTGCTGTCTCCCAAAGGGAACAGTTGTTTGATCTAATATAGGATTCACACTTTGCTTAATACTACAACGCTGAGATGTAGTTATAATACAAAAAAGAATCAGTTTATTTAATAAAGAACAGAGATTCAAATGAGTAGTTGAGTAAGAATATTAAGATCAGGTTACAAATAAAATATCAAATGCAATCCTAAGTCTACACTGATTGAATAGGAAAGGTAACCGTTAATCAACTAGAGGTCCTCTCCAGAATTCACTCTGACAGAGTTGCTGAGTTTTCAGTCATAATCAGGGTCCAGATTTTCATGAATCCTCCTTTGTCCTACAAAGGGGTTCTTTTCCCTTCTTCAGTAGTCCAGTAAATCTTTGAAATGTGTCCTTTTGAAATGCACCGCCCAAATAAGACTTCTTCCCAGTTGCTTGTTCTCTGGTATGCTAGTGCTATGTTGAGTTCATATCCCCTCCCCATCAGCCTGTTTTTCCTGTTGACTCTGCTCGCAAATGGGGCTTCCTTTATGTCAGCTTTACCATGCTTAATTTACATTGTACAGAGACTTTTCTTCCCTTCTGTCTGGAAGAGAATTTGTTTTTCCCTTTGTTTAGTTACAGACTTTATGGCATAGTATCAGTAGGCTCACACAATTTATCATATAGAGTGAGTGCATACATTTCACAACAATAGTGACAACCAGTGTGTCATCGGCTTTCATCTGATACTGCACAAGACACTTCTTGGATAAATGCTATGAAAGCAGTGTGTTAAGTGTAGTGGGTTTGTCAGGCCTGATAGGAGTTGCTGACAGAACAGAGAGCCCTTTGCTAGCTGGCATTGAGGGATTCTTAGGATCACATCATATACTTGCTGAAAACATGTATCGCTGCCCTGTAGCAAACCAAATCTGGACCTGTCAATCCTCCAGGGGTTAATAATTAACATATACTTAAAAAATCCTTTTAAGATTTCAGAGCATCTACAGTGCATCAGGCAGCAGTTTGGGAGAAGTTAACTGCTGGACTGACTTGACTGGATAGGTGGCAGGGGTCTGGTACCCAAGTGTAAATGGTACTAAACAATGGGTAAACTGTACCAAAATAAGGAACCTGTTTCATCTTACAGTGGAAACATGATATGGCATGAGGTGTGGTCTATTCCAGGATAAAAATGGTAGGGAAACTGAATGTGAGCTATAAGGCTTCAAGAGCGGGCAGGTATCATTCTAGGCATTAAATACCTGTAAGGAATCTGAGTAATCAGTCAGAGGCATTCTAGCTAGGAAAGCTGATTCTGTACCCTGAGACATCTCTAATTGCTGACAGTGAACCCTCAAACTACAAAACCTCAAGGTCAGACTTCTGAGGTACAGGGGTTGATGTATTTCCTGTTGCTAGCTGGGGTTGGTGGTAACACTGCTTTCTGAAGCATTTCTCTCCATGCAGTCTGCAAAAATATTCCTTAGTACTAGTGACAGACTCCATATACAGCTTCAGAGTCTCTTGAAGAGATAATGGGAGTGTCTGCAAAGGAGTATAGCAGAGAAGGATTAGGGCTTGATTAAATCAAGCTGTGGAAATAATGGAATTATTTTTTTAATTCAATTGGATTAATGTCTAACAGTGGGTTTTTTTGTTTTTGTTAATAAAACTGAGCAGATAAACTAGACTTTTTTACTGACTTCATTTGTGAATAGATTATGAATGTTCTTGCATAGTGCTGGGGGAGCTAGGCATGAAATATGCTTTGTGACATCTAAAATTGTAATAAACTTCATGTCTCTGCTACAGGACATCTGGACAGACCTTTGCAAACTCTAGCTCCTCACGATCACATGCCTGCTTCCAAATCATACTACGCAGAAGAGGGAAACTACATGGCAAATTTTCCTTGGTTGACTTAGCTGGAAATGAGAGAGGTGCAGATACTTCTAGTGCTGATCGGCAGACACGCATGGAAGGGGCAGAAATAAACAAGAGCCTTCTGGCTTTGAAGGTAGAGTAACTCAGAGCAACGTCAATGTTAATCAGCAAAGTTTGGATGGAAATGACCTATTGGATTATCTGATCCATCTTCTTGCAATGCAGGGCTGTTCCTTACAGGATGCTTTTTTAGTCTATATTTTTTAAAAATGGACCATCCTCAAAGGAGCCCAACTCTGTACATTGAAAGTTATGCTGCATGTATTTCCATTCAGAATCCTTTTGTCAGGAATCCAATCGCTTAAACCTTGTCAGCCCAGAGACTGCTATAACAATTCTCTGAAGCTCTACCCAAGAAGTCTATTTAAAAGTCTAAGCAGTTAGACAATCATAAGGTGTTCCTGAAGAGTCAAATAACTAAAAGTTCTGAGGCAGGGGCCATATCTTCCTTTGTGTCTGTATAGCACTTAGCAGAATGAGGCCTTGACCCTGCTTGAGTCCTCTAGGTGCTGCTACAATAGCTCATTATTAACTAGCTCTTCGAGCGCTTGCTCATGCCGATTCCATTCTAGGTGTGTGCACGCCTATGTGCATGGCTGTCGGAGATTTTTGCCTTGGAGGTATCCATAGGATCGACTGTGGTGCCCTCTTGAGTGCTGTGCTCGTGCATTGGTATATTAGGCGCTGTTGGCCCTACACCCCTTCAGTTCCTTCTTATCGCTCGTGGTGGTTAGTCAGAACCTTGTCCTTGGCTAGCAGTTTTGTCTTTTTCGACTTCGAGCCTTAGGGCCTTGCAAATAATTTTTTTATAGTAGTTTGTGTTAAGTAGTTAAGTGTAGTTAGAAGTTAGAGTCCCAACGGGGATTTCTGCTTGGACTACAGCAGGTCTGTGGCTGTTAGTGACCCCCAGAGCAGCTGCCTGAAGTGCTTGGGGAAGTCGCATTTGCAAAAGCTTTCGGCCCAGGACCAAGAAAGAGCACGACATCCATCTGAGGGCCCTCCTCATGGAGGCTGCTCTCCACCCGGCTTCTGAGCCTTCCCGGCCGGACTCTACCCCTAGTACCTCGATCTCAGTGTGCAGTCCTTCCTTCCTTTTTTGCGAGGAAAATTGATTCAACAGCTAGTCTTCAGTTCCATGTGGTGAACCACCAGGCTCTCTTGGGCAGATACAGTTTTAACTCATGGGACTCCCTTTGTAAGTTCAAGGAGTCCCTGCCCCAGGTCTTGGCCCAGGAGTTTGGCACCCTGGGGGGGAGAGGGTATGGCGGCGGGAAGGTACTCCCTTCAAATGGCGTGGGACACGGCTGACTCGGTGACTAGGGTGGCCGCATTGGCGGTGGTGATGAGGCGCAGCTCCTGGCTTCAGACCACTGGCCTGTCCCAAGAAATGCAGGCCGCAATTCAAGATCTCCCATTTGATGGGAATGGCCTCTTTGTGGAACAGACTGACTCATGGTTGCATGGCCTACAGGACACTCGGACCACCTTCGCTCCTTGGGTCTGCATATGCTGCAATTGTCGAGGAAGCAGTTCCGGCCGCTGCCACCAAGGCCTTGGCAGCCTCGACAGGGGCCTGCAAGGAGAAGGGATAGAGACACAAGCTTTAGTCATTGCCACCCTTCCTCTTCCCGCTCGCTCACACAGCCCGGCCCACCAAAGCATCCCAGGGGCCAGAAGCACTCATTTTGAAGGTGTGCTTGAGAGCGACGCCCCAGTCAACTCCCCTGGATCCACCTTGTTCTTTTCTTAACCATCTTCATCCCTACCATTCAGCCAGGTCACAGGTCACCTTGGACCACTGGGAGTTAGAGATAGTATCTCAGGACTATATCCTGCAATTCTTGGCCGTCCTTCAGCAACTATTTGTTCAAGAGATCGAGAACCTCCTGTATATGGGGGTGGTGGAGGAGGTCCCTTGGGACATGAAGGGACAGGAATTTTACTCCTGCTACTTCCTAATCCCGAAAGCAAAAGTGGGGCCTCAGACCCATTCTGGACCTGCGATGCCTCAACAAGTCTCTCAGGAAGTTGAAGTTTCACATGGTCTCCCTGGCCTCCATCATCCCCTCCCTGGTGTAGTAGGAAGAGAGCCTGAGACGTAACCCGTCGTATTAGAGGCCTGGTACGAGGCAGGACCTGCTCACAATCTGGCAAAAAGAGGGCTGGTATTGCAGAAATACACATTCCTAGAAGTGCTAGTCAGAGTACTCACGAAAAGACATCCCGACATTAAGTGGTACCAGAACATCCCAATATCAAGGATGGTACAAAAACATTCCTCAAGGATAACCAGAACACACTGACCCCTCCTAAAAGATAAGGTCAGGATGACAGTCCGTAAGGGAGACGTTTTGATCGAACCAACATGTACAAGATGATGGGTGATAACGAACGATGTCAGGGGGCAGTAACTATGTCAAAGGGGCCGTACTAACTTGTTTGTACTGGGGTGTAAAGATGTATCTCAGAGGGATTATCTTTGTCTGGCTTTAAGGAGGAACGGAAAGTCCCGCCATTCATTGAGCTGGTCCATTGTTATTAATGGTCTGGTAGAGTCTGCAGGATACTAATACCGTGCTTTGTCGACAATAAACCTGGCTGGGTGCCTTTGTCCCTTAATGGAACTTGTGGTCATTGGGCAGTTCACTTGAGGTCTGCTGTGCCAGCTGTCTGCATAGAGATGACCCTCCCCTCCTCTTCCCCCCCCCCCCCAACACTGGTGACCCCCCCCCCCCCGACTACTGATCTGGTAAGTAAACAAGCTGTCCTCTGTTGGAATTGTGATCTAACATATTAAAAAAAAACAAAACAAAACACAAGCTAGGGAATCCCTTTAACCTCTCTCCTACAAATCCCCTACAAAATGTTTTGGTTTTTTTTAAAGGTCAGGAGGCCTCCACCTGCATGTCAGGGATCCCGTCCCTCCCTGGGACCTGAACCTCGTGCTGTCACTGCTCATGGGTCCTCCTTCAAGCCTCTAGCTCCCTTTTCCTCCTCTCCTGGAAAGTTTCTTTCTTGGGCGTGATAACATCTGCCTGTAGGGTCTCTGAGATTAGGGCGCTTACTTTGGAGCCGCCCTGTATGGTGTTTTACAAGGACAAGGTCCAGCTGTGGTTGCACCCAGTGTTCCTGCCCAAGGTAGTTTCACAGTTTCATACTGGCCAACTTACCTGTCTTCTTCCCAAAGCCTCATAAATCGGAACAGGAGTGCAAATTGCCTGTCCTGGATGTCAGGAGGCACTTGTCTTCTACATCAACAGGACTAAGCAGTTTCGCAAGTCAAAACAGGTGTTCATTGCGGTGGTGGACAGGATGAAAGGTTGCCCAGTGTCTGCTCAGATGATTACATCCTGGATCATGGCCTGCATCCGCTACTGCTACGAGCTGGCAAAAGTGCCTCCATGGGTGACGGTGACTGCCCACTCGACTAGGATGCAGGCTTCAGCGGCGGCCTTCCTAGCCCAGGTGCCGATTCAGGATATCTGCAGGGCTACTTCCTGGTCGTCTGTCTACACTTTCACGTCTCATTATGCGCTTACCCAGCAAGCCTGAGACGATGCTGGCTTTGGCAGAGCAGTGTTGCAAACCGCAGGACCGTGAACTGAGCCCGCCTCCAGGGATACTGTTTGAGTCACCTAGAATGAAATTGACATGAGCAAGCACTCTGAGAAAAGCCGGTTACTTACCTTTTGTAGCTGTTGTTTTTCGAGATGTGGTGTTCATGTCCCTTCCATTACCTGCCCTCTTTACCCCTCTGTTGGAGTTGCCAGCAAGAAGGAATGGAGGGGGTGTAGGGCTGGCGGTACCTAGTATACAGACGTATGAACGTGGCACTCAAGAGGGCGCTACAGCCAACCCTGTGGAGACTGCTAAGGCAGAAATCTCCGACGGCAACACGTGGGCACACGCGCACCTAGAATGGAAATGACATGAGCAACGCATCTCTAAGAACAACAGTTACGAAAGGTAGATAACAGTTTGTTTGTTTTTCCTGGAACTATTCTGTGGAGACTTGTCAACCAAGATGGCAGACATTACATTAATGGGATCTATTTTGCCCCTCCAGGAATGTATCCGAGCACTAGGTCAGAACAAATCTCATACACCTTTCAGGGAAAGCAAGTTGACCCAGGTGCTGAGAGACTCATTCATAGGGGCAAACTCCAGGACTTGTATGGTAAGTGTAAATGCTTTATGGGCACCTTAAAATGCATGTTTTAATTCTCTATCAATTTATCAGCTTTGAGGTTCATAATACTTAAAGTGCAGGCTAACTCTGACAAGTGACTTCCTAGGTGACTGTGTGGTTTCATATTTGTCTTGGTGATTCCAGGTCAAATTGGATCATTTCATGAGTGAAAAGATGTTTTCCTTCCTTCCTTCCTTGCATCAGAAAGCTGGTTCTTGGCTGGTGATGGGCCAGGAAGGCGCTGCATTCAGGGTTTAGATATTGCTTTATAAATACATGAACCAGAAAGTCAGTGAAATCTGCTCCCCATCCCATAGCTTTACAATGAACTTTCTTGAGTCAAATCCGTGATGATTCTGAATAACTGTTAAGATCAGGTTTCAAAGTAGCAGCCGTATTAGTCTGTATTCGCAAAAAGAAAAGGAGTACTTGTGGCACCTTAGAGACTAAAAATGCTCAAATAAATTTGTTAGTCTCTAAGGTGCCGCAAGTACTCCTGTTCTTTTTGTTAAGATCAGGGCCAGAGTAAATTGCTGAGTAGACTTGCATTTACTACTGAACGTCGACTGATACAGCATTTTACTCTTCTAGAACGTATCGGTGCCCTTTCAATGGCCCAAGTGAGCCAGTGGCAGCACTGGGAATAGAAACCAAGTTCCCAGTTTTAAGACTTTCTGTAGCTGTCAAAACTTTGTGCAATGTTCTTGGAATATTTTTGCTTTCTAGAGAGCCTTTGCCTTAATCCGTCTTTTCAACAGTTTGGATGAGATGTCAGGCAAAGCATTTAGCAGTAAGCAAAAGCTTGACACATGCTTATTATCCATTTGTTTTCAGATTGCAATGATTTCCCCAGGTATGAGTTCGTGTGAGTACACCTTAAACACCCTGAGATATGCTGACAGGTAATGGCCTTTCTCACTTGTGAATTTCTCCCATTGCAATGGGGATCATGACTCGCTAACTCCTGAGCAAATGCTTTGTCGCCTGCCTTAGGTCACTCTTCAGAGCATCTTGGTTTTCTGTTTGTTCTGACTCCAGGTCAAATCTGCTCAATTAAAATGGGTTCTAAAAGTCAACTTGGAGCCTTCCTGGCTAGGGCATAATTACCAATAAGGAGAATGCATTGAAACCTTGGTTAATAGGTTTCCTACCTTTCAGGTTAGGATTGCACTTTAAAAATGACCTGAGAAGTGAAAACAGGATTTGTTCCCTCTTCTGCTTCTTGTAGTTGTATAAAAGCCAAAAGGGGAGGGTGGAGGAGTTTAAAAAATCTGCCTGCTTTTACCTTAAAAGAATCAGAAATGTGAAGTTTTGCCTTCCCTGGCCTGCTGTCAGCCTTGAAGAACTCAGATATGCCCAGGACATGCTTGACTATAGTTTTTCTTCCAGCTGTTTGTCAGGTATTAGTAAAATGAGTGTTTAATTTTAAGCTGCCTGGATACAAATTGCTTCACTTTGTATCCAATGTTGTACCAACTAGCACTTCAGGCTATTTTCAAGAGAAAAACCGTTTGGACAAGACCTGAATTTCCCTGGTAAGAAAATAAGCAAACTCTTTTGGAAAACCCAAACCTTTCAGGCCCTTTATGCTTTGTTGTAAAGAAACAAAAGGGCACAAACTGTTTCCTTGTTGCAAGTCATCAAAGGCAAACTGCAGAGTGAATATCTAATTTCAAGTTACATTAAATTTATGTACCAGCCAAGTTGTGTTGGGGTACTCTGGCAAATAATGCCAAATCTCCTATATGGTCCCTTTTCCCTACAAAGCTGGCTAAAGGTACGTGTATCCCATAAATCTATGTGTTAACTTGCCAGGCAGTTCAGAGGTTTTTTTAAGTTGTAATTGTTGGCTAAGGCATTAGGCAGCGTCAAATTTGGTTGGGAGATGTAGTTGGTAGAAGATCAGTAGCTGGTGATTGACGGCAAATCTGATCAAAGTACTTTTTAGGTCCTGAATGCTACTGACTCTTAAACAGTAGACACTATCCCACAGATTTGTTCATGCTGCAGGATTGACACTAACTTAAATATTTACGGCCCCCGTTACCATAGTATCTGAGTGCCTCACAATCTTTAATATAGTTGTCCTTACAATGTCCCATTGAGGTGGTCATATTCCCATTTCAGACAGGGGGAATGAGGCACAGAGACTGACTTGTCTGTGATCACACAGGAAGTCTGTTGCAGAGCAGAGAATTAAACCCAGATCTTTGTGGTCACAATCTAATCCTAGCCACTGGACTATCTTTCCTCTCTTCAGTGACTTGTTGAATTCTTATTTCTCTCTAGTCTGAGAAATGTAACAGTGCTGCATTCAATCTCATAAAGTGAGCACTGTACACTTTGTATTCTGTATTGTAATTGAAATCAATATATTTTAAAATGTAGAAAAACATCAGAACATTTATAATTTAAATTGGTATTCTATTTAACAGTGCGATTAAAACTGCGATAATCACGACTTTTAAAATCTAATTAATTTTTGTGTTAATCGCTTCAGTTAACTGTGGTTAATTGACAGCCCTATTAGGAGCCACTAGGAAAGGAATAAATAATGAGAGAAAAAATATCATAATACCACTACATAAATCCATAGTATGCCCACGCCTCAAGTATTGCATGCAGTTCTGGGCATCCCATCTCAAAAAGATGTTAGAATTGGAGAAGTTACAGAGAAGGGCAATACAAATGATTAGAGGTTTAGGACAGTTTCCATATGAAGGGACGGGTTAGCTTAGAAAAGAGATGACAACTGAGGGGGAGGATGTGATAGAGGACTATGAAATCATAAATGGTGTGGAGAAAGTGAATAGGAAAATGTGTTATGTGAAGGTGGGGGGGAAGCCAAGAGTCAAGGGTCACCCAACAAAATTAATAGCAAGTTGTGAAAGCCAAAAGTATGGGTTCAAAAATACTAGATATGTTCATGGAGGATAAGTCCATCAGTGGCCATTAGCCAAAATGGTCAGGGATGCAACCTCATGCTCTGGGTGTCCCTAAGCCTCTGAATGCCAGATGCTGGGACAGGATGATGGGATGGATCACTTGATAACTGATCTGTTCTGTTGATTCCCTCTGAAGCATCTGGCACTGGCTGCTGTCAGAAGACAGGATAGTGGGCTAGATGGATCATTGGTCTGACCCAGTTTGGCCAGTCTTATGTTAAACAGAAGCTACTAAAGTTGGACATGTTTAAATTAGTGGGTCCAAATAACCTGCAACAAGTTTTTGGTTTTGTGGGTTTTTTTTTTTGTTTTTGTTTTTGGTTTTTTTTGGGGGGGGGGTGTTGTTTTCCCCCGGAGCTTGCTGGTCTGACTTTTTTCAATAAGTCTTGGGGCAGTCCCAGAAAACGGGAAGAACGCTAATATTGTGCCAAGTTTTTAAAAGCATAAATGCGTTGACCTGGGTAACGATAGACCTGTCAGACTGATGAGGTGGCTAATAGGAGACTCCTATTTTTAAAGAATTAAAGGCAGGTAATATAACTAATGCAAATCAACATGGGTTTATGGAAAATAGATCCTGTCAAACTCACTTAATTTTTTTGAGATTACAAATTTGATTAGTAAAGGTAATAGTGTTGATGTAATATACTTAGATTTCCCTAAGGCTGTTTAAATGTCGTGCAGTATCAAGTAAGATTAAAAAAACAGAGCAGTACACATTAGCATGGTACACATTAAATAGATTAAAAACTGGCTAACTGATGGATCCCAATGTAATTTGTAAATGGGGAATGGTCTTTAAGCAGGTGTGTTTCCAGCAGGGTCCAACAGGCACCTGTTCTTGGCCCTATGCCATTTAACATTTTTTATCAATGACCTGGAAGAAAAAATAAAATCACTGAAAGTTTGCATATGACCCAGAAATTGGATTGAAGTGGTAAATAATGAAGAGAACAGTTGACTAATTCAGAACGATTAGAATCGCTTAGTTAACTGGGCACAAGCAAACAATATGCATTTTTAATATGGCTAAATGTTAATGCATAAATCTAGTAGCAAAGAATGCCATATTTACAGGATGTGGGTGACTCTCTACTGGGAAGCAGTGATCCTGAAAAAGTTTTGGAAGTAATGATGGATAATCAGCTGAACCTGACCTCCCAAGGTGACACCTGCCAAAATTGCTAATGGGATGTTGGGAAGCATAAACAGGAATCTCAAATAAGAACAGAGAGGTTATTTTACTTCTGTATCTGGCACTAGTGCAACCACTGCTGGAATATTGTGTCCAGTTTCTGATGCCCACAATTCAAGAAGGATGTCAATAAACTGAAGTTCAGAGAAGAGCCTTCAGAATGATTCAAGCAGCTCAAAGGATTAGAAAAAAATGCCTTAGTCTATCATTTTAACCTATTTAGTTTAACAAAAGGAAGGTTAAAAGGTTACTTGATTACAGACTGTAAATATCTATGGGGGAAAATGGGCTCTCCAATTTTTCATGGAAAGGTCTAACGTGATCCAGTGGCTGGAAGTTGAAGCTAGACACATTCAGACTGGAAAATAAGGTTACATTTTTTTTATTGGTGAGAGTAATTAACCATTGGCACAGTTTACCAAGGGTCGTGGTGGATTTCTCCATCACTGACTAATTTTAAATCAAAATTGGATCTTTTTAAAAAAAAAAAAAAACTGCTCTAGGAATTATTTGGGGGGAAGTTCTCTGGCCTGTGTTATACAGGAGGTCAGACTAGATGATCAGAATGGTCTCTTCAGGCCTTGGAATCTGGGGGTGGGGGAGAAATCCCACTGACGCAGAACTTATCACTTTTGGTTGATACCTGATGTTAAAGCTGAGGCACCTACTCTCCACAGGTTTCTATTCCTCTGCGGTCTTCCTTTCTGCAGCTTTCCCTAGTATCCCATGAAAGGCCATTAATTATCAAACCCTAACGAAGGGAGCTGTCTCTAGTTCATAGCTGTAGATCTGCTGCAATCATTTTCTACTGAGGTGTTAAATAGAATTTTCTTTTGTCTTGGATAATCTCTTTGGGTAGATTGTGACTATTGCTAATCCGGATACGTGTTCCTACATGCTTCCAAATCTGATGTTCCACTTTCTGGTCATTGATCATAATACTTGCGTTTCCCAGTCTCTAAATTCCTGTTTCATATATTGCGGATGGGAGGTGAGGATAACCACTATGGCTGCTCTGAGATGGAATACTCTTTCATACTGACCTTACTTGAGCCTGGTCTACACTACAGAGTTAGGTCACTGTAAGCTGCCTTACATTGACCTAATTACATCCGTGTCAACACTACAGCCTTGCTCCTGCCGATGAAAGTGCCCAACTACACTGACATCATAACTCTACCTCCACGAGAGGCGTAGTGCTTATATCAGTGTAGTTAGGGAGATGCAGTGTCTGTGTAGACACTGGGTTACAACAGCCCATGTCAATTCCACAGCTCTGCTCTCCTGCAGGAGCTCACAGCTGGAGCCACAAAATTGACAAGAAAGGCTGGTAGGCTCCCTACTATGAAACTGAGCCCTGCACTGAGCTCTCAGCTGCACTCCCCACCAGCTGTCAGCTGGGCTCCCAGCTGGAGTATCCACTCCCCCACCTTGAGGTGACCACCTCAGCTGTAAGACTGGTGCTGGGCTCAATTTCACAGCAGAGAGCCTACCAGCCTTTCTTGTCAATTTCACAGCTTCAGCTGTGAGCCCCCTGCCTCAAGCTCAGAGGAGTCAGCCATGAAATTGACAAGAACGGCTGGTAGGCTCCCTACTGTGAACCCTATGCTGGGCTCATAGCTCAGGCTGTCACCCTGACAGCTGTAGCCCGGCTGCCACGTGGGCTCTCAGCCCTCCGTGCCTGCCCACGGCCCCCCCCCCATTCTTAAGTCAATGCAAGCACGCCTAGTGAGGACGCACACCACCGACAGAAGGAGGGGAGTGTGGACATGAAAAACTGCAGTAATTACTGCAGTGGCTATATGTCAACTTAAGTTTGTAGTGTAGACATTCCCTTAGTCCAGTTTCCTTATGCCAGCGCCATTCAAACAACTTCTAAGTGTAACACTGGAGAAAGGTCACTGTTCTATAACCATCTAGTGTCCTTTGTGTGCCCAACTGCATACAGGGGTGAGGAGGGGAGTGCAGTATATGAAATATACCATGGCAGTTTTAACTGCTGTAGGTGGCTTTAAAGCTCTTCAAGGAAATACCTAGATCTGGATACTGACTGCATGGAGCTGAGAGAAGCAGAGTTGTTATGCCTTTCAGACTTCCGCCTCGGATCGATAACATTGGAATAAATGGTTCCAAAGATCACAAGTGTCCCTGGCTCAGATTATTCATCGTTCTGGGGAAAAAAACTGGTGGGTTTATTTAGTGACCATCCGCTGTTCCAGGTAAATTAAAGCTAATTTAGTACTTGAGTATTCAAGTCACAGCCTCTGTCTAGAAGCAGCTCATAAAGGAAATGTTTAGCATTTAGGTCAGCTAACCTCCATGACTGCTTAAAGTCCCAGGTGGTGATGACAGGTCAGTTTGGTGACCTGTGAGAAGTTAGTCTCCAGGTAAAGCTCAACTGACAGTTTTCAGTGTTGCCGACCACCTTGGCAGTTTGTCTGATAGAAACAGTGGCTTGATGAGACAGAAGTCCTAGAAGCCAGGTAGACCTACACTGATGAGGCACCTTGGGAGAAGCACCTCCCAGTTGTTAAGGAATTTAACCTCCCAACAACCCTAGGAGGGTTTTTGCTGCCCCTGTGTCTGCTGTGTGGTGAGAGAACATTCAGGGCTGTCAACATGGCACCTCTCTCAGAACTGAATAGTGACTTGGAGAAGTCTGGAAGTAGCAGTAGCTATTCAAGGTGACCCTTACCAAGTAACTGTTTGAGGCAAAACAGACTTTGTCATAACGCAGTCTTCCTCCTGTCCAGAGTGAAAGAGCTCAGTCCTTACAATGGCGGGAGTGGTGAGATGCAGAATTGTATGGAAACGGAGAATGAGGAACTGGACACCAGTGAAGAAGAGTCAAGTCTTCAGCATGACGTATGTTGATAAACTGTAGAGTTAATGGTTTCCCCACACTTTGGTTTGTTATGAAATATACTTCAGAGACCAAATAACCAATGCTAGGTACATACTATGCTACAAAAAGCTAGTAATGCACATTTTAAAGCAAAAACTATTGTCTTGATGCAAAATTGAAAAAGCATCTAAATGGGTATATTTGTGCTAAAAAATTGGAAATATAAAAACAACAAACCATAGATTGTAGTAAATGAAATGGTCTCTCTTACACTATAAATAAATTAAGTTCATCTGTGTATACATCTAGGTTACTAAAAACAAACTTTATCATGCGGGCATCACACAAACAAAAACACCAGAAAATATCAGTGCACAGATTAAAAAAAAAATCCTTGGGCATCTAAAGGAAAGTGTTTTTACAAATTACAAACTCATCAGCTGCATGCTAGTTGCCCATATAGGGAACTTCAACTATAGAGATGTTCTAAAGACTACTAGCCAAGCCAGGTCTAACAGTTACTAAACTGATTTTGCTTAATATACACCTGTGGTTTTAAATTTCCCATTAATATGACAGGTTTCAGGGTAGCAGCCGTGTTAGTCTGTATCTGGAAAAAGAACAGGAGGACTTGTGGCACCTTAGAGACTAACAAAAACGAAAGCTTATGCTCAAATAAATTTGTTAGTCTCTAAGGTGCCACAAATACTCCTTTCCATTAATATATGGCTAAACTTGGTTATTCTGTAAAAGCAAATCTATCCTTGCTGTATACTTTGTTAATATAATAGCATCTTATCAGGAATGTACACAAAATCCAATGGATGGGCAAAAATCTATTTTGCAGTCTAGTATCTTTCATACTAAACTTCAAAGTCTAAAATTATTGGTTACATTTCAGAATTATTTAAATTTGTAATATCTATTTAAAGCAGGGGTAATAATAATCCCTCACCACCACTATTTTAAGCATCAGACAGTGAACATAGCTAGGAGTAACCTGCTTTCGGAACAGAATTTGGAGAACATAAGAATGGCCATACAGGGTCAGACCAAAGGTCCATCCAGCCCAGTATCCTGTCCACTGACAGTGGCCAATGCCAGGTGCCCCAGAGGGAGTGAACCTAACCGATAATGATCAAGTGATCTCTCTCCTGCCATCCATCTCCACCCTCTGACAGACAGAGGCTAGGGACACCATTCCTTACCCTCCTGGCTAATATCCATTAATCGACTTAACCTCCATGGATTTATCTAGTTCTCTTTTAAACCCTGTTATAGTCCTAGCCTTCACAATCCCCTCAGGCAAGGAGTTCCACAGGTGGACTGTGCACTGTGTGAAGAACTTCCTCTTATTTGTTTTAAACCTGCTACTCATTAATTTCATTTGGTGGCCTCTAGTTCTTATATTATGGGAACAAGTAAGTAACTTTTCCTTTATTCACTTTCTCCACACCACTCATGATTTTATAGACCTCGCTCATATCCCCCCCTTAGTCTCCTCTTTTCCAAGCTGAAAAGTCCTAGCCTCTTTAATCTCTCCTTTGAGACCCGTTCCTAACCACTAATCATTTTAGTTGCTCTTCTCAGAACCTTTTCTAATGCCAGTATATCTTTTTTGAGATGAGGAGACCACATCTGTATGCAGTATTCAAGATGTGGGCGTACCATGGATTATATAAGGGCAATAAGATATTCTCCGTCTTATTCTCTATCCCTTTTTTAATGATTCCTAACATCCTGTTTGCTTTTTTGAGTGCCGCTGCGCACTGCATGGACATCTTCAGAGACCTATAACCGGATGATGCCAAGATCTTTTTCCTGATTAGTTGTAGCTAAATTAGCCCCCATCATATTGTATGTTTAGTTGGGGTTACTTTTTCCAATGTGCATTACTTTACATTTATCCACATTAAATTTAATTTGCTATTATATTGCCCAATCACTTAGTTTTGTGAGAGGCTCAAAGAACAATTTCTCTGTACTTATCGGGGATTTGTTTCTTCCCATGAACACTAGCTTTCCAAGGAGGAGGAAGAGGAGTTGTCTCCCCATATGTCCAGTTTCCGTGAAGCCATGACTCAGATTAGTGAGCTGGAGGAGAAGGCTGTAGAAGAACTTAAAGAAATGAGACAGGTATGTTTGAAGATTCAGGTGAGCCCAAGTTGTCTTCTGCATATTGATCTCAACTTGCCATATTTGAGTAAACTAATTGGGTGTTCTCGGAATTGTGATTGGAATGCACATGGTATTAACTGTTAAAGAATGTTCCTTTTGCTCATTAGTGACTTATTCTAGCTCTTTCTTTTCCAGCTTCTCAAGGTAAACTGGCTTGTGGTAATGCCTAGCCACTACCAGTTACAACCTTCAGATGGTTGGTGCTGGCATTGACAATGAACTGTCTTCAGACAATCTAATCTGCTTAACAGAAGCATAGGATGTGCCATGAAAACATTCCAAACTTGCACAAAGCCAGTTCCTAATCAATGTCACTTTTCTAAATCTAGAAGATGACTGAACTCAATGACCTGTTGGAAATGACAGAGCAACCAGACTATGATCTGGAGACATTTGTGAACAGAGCCAGATGCTTCATAAAGGAAGGATCAAGAAATTTCATCAGCATGGGAGGTAAGCTGGGACTACTTCAGAGCTTGCTGTCAATGCATACCTTCGAAGCCCTGTTAGTGGGAATTCCCGTGTGGGCTGAAAAGGCCACTGCCCCTTGTAAAATATTCTGGGATCATTCTGGATGCAACTCATCCTCTTCGATTGCCTCTTGTGGTGGGGACAGAGCTGAGGTGATTTGTCTAAGCAAATATGTCCTATTGCCTATTCTTTCCTAAGCAATATTCTGGCTGGCGTCATCCACTCACTAGCCAGTTAGCACAGAAAAATCCTTTCCAAGGGTACAGTGTAATTCAGTGAGCTACAATACCCAGCAAAGCCTAGCCAAGGATGCTGACAGTATCCTAGTTTGTGTCTAGTACATGATCATATGTTTTCCCTTGTCTGAGGGACCAGTGACTGTTTCAAGGTTTAGGAATGTATGCTGTATACCCCTGGAAAGCTTGGGATCTCTGCCTTCCATTGATGTATACCAATTATTTTGGTCACTCCCAGGAGAAGGAACATCAGTTTAGAATGGGTCTTAAGTCTAAGTTGTAACAGTTGCTGACATGCAGGTTCTAAACATGGCTTGTGGCTATCTACCACAAGGCAATATTTGTAGCCATTGCAGCGAATCATGTCTTGCCAGCACCCAGGTCTGGTGTGCACGCTTTTTTCCCTTTTTTAAAATCCAGGCCATAACACTTGCTGTAGGGACTCCCTTCCCCCCTACTATGCACATATAACCCAGCTTGCTGGCCCTTCTTCCCAGACCTGTGCAGAATGAATTGCCTTGTATGTTTCTGATACTGTTCTGTACATGTTCGCTAGGTGCCATCTCAGCTACCTTGATTTTTCCCAGAATGCAATAGTAGCAACAGTGACACAGGCAGCATAATGTGAATGTTCACGGTTGGCTGGTTGACACGCTATGATGTTGAGAAACTATTTACATTTCAGCTGTGTTTATACCCAGGTCAGATGAATGTCAGACTGGCTAAACAGTATTTGGAATACTCTTGTCTTTTTCCCCCACTTTGATATCAAGTTGGCTTTAATGGTCCCTATTTGGAAGTACTGGGGCTACACCAAACCCTGAATGCCTCCTGCAGGGCGGCCGCACTCTTCCAAAGGACAGGAAGCATTAATCTGTCCAGGAGCACATGGGAATACTAGCTGCTAAAAACATGAGGGACTTTGAAGAGAAATGTTTGGGGAGCAAGGTGGTTTCTGTACATAAATATCCTCCCCTCAGAGGCTCCACATCCTAGCTGCAGCCCTGTGATGTAGGGCAGGATCCTGTGAGTCGGCAAGTGGAACTGATGATTTGGAAGAGGATGACCTACAGCAGCTGATAGTAACTGCCCTTAGTCTAGCCTCCTCCAGACCCTGGCGAGGCCAGTGAGGCATGGCGTTCTGGGGGCTGCTTTGTGTGGCACAGGTAGAGGAAGTAATGTCAATTGCAGCTGGGAGATGAAGCTGCTGATGGACTGGGATCAGGAGCAGAGTGAAGGAGCTTTCTTGGGCCAGGCAGGGAGCCAGAGCAGGAGCTGAGGGAGTATGACATTTCACAGTGCAATCCAGATCAGTGAGGGCTGTGTCACCACTTGCCCTGCAACTTGGGGTGCCTCACAATGCCTTGCTGCTGTAGCTCCCACCTGGGCTCCTGCAGGTCACACCCTGAGTGTCTGTGTGAAGCCACACCCCGATCCAGCAGCCTGTCACAAACACCAGCCACACTCTGGCTTCCTCCAGCCTTGGTTACTATTTGCAGGGTGATCCCAACACACTCCTAGTCCCAGATTTCCTGCCCGAAATGTCTTGCACTGTACAGTCCTCTCCTTAACAGTGCAGATATACTAGGTCCATTGCCCTCTGTGGGGATCAATACACAACAGCTTGCCACCTTAAATGGCATTACCTCAATGAGTCACTACACTAGATTAATTTTGATTAAAGAACAAAACAAGTTTATTTAACTGCAAAAAGACCGAGTACAAGTAACAAGACAAAAGTTAGAAACGGTAACAAGAAAAATAAACAGAATGCTTTCTAAACCTGGTTCAAGGTGAAGTTCTTGCTACGTTTTCAGTGCTTTGCTGACAAAACTCTCAGACCAGGGTCTGCTCCCGAAGTCCACAGGCTGTTTCTTTTGTCATCTTAAGTGAAAGAGAAAGGCAGAGTATTTTTGCCCTTATTTTAATAGTTCAGTCACCCTTTGAACAACAATTTCCTGAGAGACCCCTATTTAAATTTCTTGCCAGCTGAGAGCAAGGAGACATGGAGTCTGGTGGAGGAAGGAGGCTTCCTGCTGTTTCTTTTCACCTGTGTATGTTGAAATGCAGATTTTTCTTTATATCCCCCTCTTCCCCCCCATAATGTCTGAGGACTCTGTTTATTGCTTATATGCAAACTGAGGTAAACACACACCCCTTTGTTTGACAGGCCTGTTTGACCAGTTCTACCTAATTGAGCCTGAGAGTTTGAACGTGTGCCCGTAACATTACACATAGTGTTGGGATGTACATTTCATCACGATATCATTGACCAGGGAGTTATTAGTTTTCAAACGATACCACACAAGGCATATTTACAAACGTGTGTGTATGTGTGGGAGAGAGGGTGAATACAGGGGTGCATTTCCTTGCAGGCAGGGATAGGACAGGAGTGAGGTACTCAGGCTCTCATCCACCACCCAAGTTCCTGCTGTATTCTTACTTCCCCACCTCCTCCCTGCTCAGCTCCTTGCTCTTCCTGCCCCCTTCAACCGCCGGGCCCAGAGACTGGTATCTGGGTTTTGTGAACAAATGTGAAATTGAAACTGTCTCAAACGCTGAAGTCACCATGTGTCCAAGTCAATCTGCCACCTAACTCCCAAACTTCATTGCAGATGTCGTGGAGTCCCTGGCTCTTGCCATGCAGCTGGAGGAGCAGGCCAGCAAGCAGATGAATAAGAGGCGGCCTCAGTAAATATACCAAAACCTGATTCACAAATACCATTTTTCTCTTCTCTGTGTGTGTCTATCACGTCAGTGGTTTCTATGTTAACTCTGCCTATTTTAAATGTGATACAATAAAGTATACTTAAGTCAGTCCTACCTGAAGACAAGAGGTCAGAATAGCAGCCTTTGACCATGCAGGCCCCATGTTGGGACTTGGTAGTAATTGTTCTAGAAATGCCCTCTTGGCAGTGACGGAGGGGAAACTTGTAGTTCTTCCTGTCATTAGATGCCTCTTCCCCTCATTTACTGACAGAATTATCTGCTCTGATGTAACTAGATAAACTCATGTATTCTAGTGTACATAAACTTTTTTGCTTCTAGATATATTGTGAAATGGTGAAAACCTGCAACTCTAGCTGCTTTACAAAGGAAATGGACTAAACTTAATTGTAAAAAGAATAAAATAAAGTCAGTATTTTTTTAAGACTTTGGCTGGTAGATAAATATTCCTGGATTTATTAACTTCTGACTTGTAGAAAATTTCTTGTCAACTGTCAGTTATTTAAGAAATTCTCTGAAGACCTTCCCCCCCAGAGCAGACTGGCCTTTATGGCAGAGACTGGCTTTTGGGACTGGTTGGTCATTAAAATCTTTTGAAGTTTGTAATGTTTGTATTTAAGTAAAAAATCAATTAAAGTATCTTGTCTCTTGGTTTTTGGAAGGGGAACAGGGGAAAAGTCTTCAGACTAGTGAATCTCCTAAGCAATAGGTGGCAACAGCCTAGAGTGCCTCAAATCCACTTTATAGCAAAAACTGTAAGTACATCAGAAGCAGGCACTGCTAAACAACCAAAGGGGCCACTGGCTGATTGAGATGCTAAAGCAGCACTCGAGGACAATAAGGCCATTGCGGAGAAACTAAATTAATTCTTTGCATGGGTCTTCATGGCAGAGGATGTGAGGGAAATTCCCAAACTTGAGCCATTCTTGTCAGGTGACAGATCTGAAGAACTGTCGCAGATTGAGGTGTCCTTAGAGGAGGTTTTGGAACAAATTGATACACTAAACAGTAATAAGTCACCAGGACCAGATGGTATCACCAAGAGTTCTGAAGGAACTCAAATATGAAATTGCAGAACTACTAATGTAACCTATCATTTAAATCTGCTTCAGTACCCAGTGACAGGAGGATAGCTAACGACACCAATTTTTAAAAAGGGCTTCAGAGATGATCCTGGCAATTACAGCCTGGTAAACCTGACTTCAGTACCGGGCAAACTGTTTGAAACTTCAGTAAAAGACAAAATTGTCAGACAGATGGATGCACATAATTTGTTGGGGAAGAGTCAACATGGTTTTTGTAAAGGGAAATCATGCCTCACCAATCTACTGGAATTCTTTGAGGGGGTCAACAAGCATGTGGACAAGGGGGATCCCGTGGATGAAATACACTTAGATTTTCAGAAAGCCTTTGATAAAGCCCCTCACCAAAGGCTCTTAAGCAAAGTAAGCTGTCACGGGATAAGACAGAAGATTCTCTCCTGGATTGATAACTGGCTAAAAGATTGGAAACAAAGGGTAGAAATAAATGGTCCATTTTCAGAATGGAGAGAAGTAAATAGTGGTGTCCCCCAGGGGCCCAGTCCCATTCAACATATTCATAAACTATCTGGAAAAAGGGGTAAACAGTGAGATGGTGAAACTTGCAGATGATACAAAACTACTCAAGATAGTTAAGTCCCAGGCAGACTGCAAATAGCTACAAAAGGATCTCTCAAAACTGGCAACTGTCTTAAACTCAGCAAAAAAGACATACATTTCAAAAGAAACTGGAAAACAATTTGACACTGATCCTGGGCAGGTGGCCTGGGGGGCAGGGACACTGGGCAAGGGGCTGCTTGGCTCCACGCCCAGGGCAGGTGGAGGGTCCTCCACGGCTCCCCACAGCTGCTCACCCAGCTTACTGTGGTCAGGCTGTATCTCCAAGCCACCCCCGCCGGGTTGGGGAGAGCCATGCTGGGAGCTACGGCGGACCCTCCACCTGCGCTGGGTGGGGGGCCCAAGCAGCCCCTGGCCTAGTGTCCCTGTCCCCCAGTTACCCTGCCCAGGGCAGGTGGAGGATCCATGCTGCGGTTCCTCACAGCTGCCTGCCCAGCTCTTACTATCAGAGCCCTGCGTGGATACAAAATTTGTATCTGCATCCACGCTGCTATCTGCAGAAATGGTCCACGGATGTAAAGCAGATACCTGCAGATTTGCAGGGCTCTAGAGAGGGGCACGGCCCAGGAGGAAGCGGGGGGGGAGGGAGGCAGAGGGTGTGGAAGAGGGAAGAGAGGTGGGGCAGAGGAGCTGACCTCATTCTGTTTGATGTTTTCATTCTGTGCTTCCTTCCTCTGAAAGAACAAAGGAGAACCATGAATCGCAGAGGGGCAGTGGTGCCAAGGAGCGCTGGCTGCCGTGGTGTTAATGCTAGGCAGGTTTGTGTGGGGAACTCTCCAGCATCCAGACTCTTACGAGGGACAACAGCACCTCAGCTCCTTGCAGGAGACCTGGGATTCACCCCCTGCTCTGGCCTCTTGCTCTCTGGGCTGCCCCCCAAACCCATCTGAAGCTCTGTTCTCCTCTCCCTTACACTAGGGTATCCCCACTGACTTAGAAGGGCTGACTCTTGATTTACACTTGTGTACGTGAGAGACGAATTGGGCCCTGGTATCTCAGAGTCTCTGAGTCAGCCTTTTCATGACCCCTACACACCTTCCATGTGCGGCATCCTTTCTGGGCTTGATAAACTTCCTGGGATGTTCACTTTATTTGATGCCAGAATATCAACCTGTACTGCATCCATGTTCATGTACAAGGTCTTGGCATCTCTCTAGGAGAACCAGCAAAAAAGGAAGGAGGTTAGCAGCTTACAGGGACTTGGAGTCATCAAGGGCACGAGAAGGGCTAGCTAGAGAAGGAGGAAGGTTCCTGACAAGCCCCCTCAACTGGGCAGTCCTGGAAATGACAAGTCAGTGGGAGTCCTGGCAAAGTTTTCTTTTGCTGGTCTCCACCCATCATTGCACTGAGCATAGCCTGGGGGCTGGTTGCTGTGACTGATTCCTGAGCAGAGAAACCAAGCTTTAAAATGTTCTCAGCGAAAGGACTGGGAGTGTGTGTTGGATAGTCTTAGCACTCCCTGGTAAATGACTCCTGCTCTTAATGTTCCCTCTAATTTTTACATCCCTGTGAGGAATGAATTTTGTTATGTGCACCAATATGGAGGTGATGTGTGGTGGGGGTGGGGCTGAGGGGTTTGGAGTGTGGGAGGGGGCTCAGGGCTGGGGCAGAGGGTGGAGTTGCAGGGGAGTGAGGGCTCTGGCTGGGGGTGCGAGCTCTGGGGTGGGGCCAGGCATGAGGGGTTTGGGGTGTGGGATGCCATGGGCCTGCGGCGGGGAGAGAGGACTTCCCCTAGCCCTCTTGCCGCAGCAGCCCGGGCCTGGGGGAGTGGTGTTTCTCCCCAACCACGGCAGCTCCGTGGCCGGGGCGCCTCTCCCCCCCTATGCATCTGTGTGGCCACAGCTTAGAGGGAACTTAGCTCTCCACTGCTGCAAGGCAGAGGCTGTCCACATTACAACAGCTTAAGGGCTAATTCCCTGGTGAGCGGTTGGCTGTAAGGGCAGACCCACTAATCAGGATGTAACCTGTGCTGCAGGGGAGACACCATGATCAGGAAGGTGGTTTTCCCAGGGCGAGGTTCATCCATTGCACTGCGGGTGTGCTGACCCCTGCGATTTCCGCAAATGCGGGAAACTCAACTGCATAATTTGTGGTAGTGGGGGACTGCATTCGCACTCTCCCCTGGCACTCGGTCAAGCAAAGGAAGACGAAGCTCAACAGCCATGCATGAGAGGTACATAGCAGTCCCAGACTCTCTTCCCTCCATACCCTCCTGAGGATGGGCCTGGGCTTTGAGCACTGTGCAATCAAACTTACAGAGCCAGACGCCCAGCTGGGGTAAGTCGGCACGGCCCTATTGAAGTAAACGGAACCAGCTGTCTCTCCTTATGCCAGCTGAGTTTGCCATCTAACGCTTCCCCTAAAAGGGAACTGGGAAAGTCTTATTAGGCCCCATTGAGTCCAGCACGGCCCAGGAATGTTGCCTGCAGGACATTTCCTATGGCTTTGTCCTGCTCAGGTTTAAAGGGTCCATGTGCTAGGGCTTCCATTGATTTACATGGTGTTCAGTCCTGAGGTACCTCCAGGCAGGAGAGCTCAGATTCAGACAGGGGCTCATGCCTATCTCCTCATTCTGGGACACTGCTAGCCCTGCATGTCTCACCACTTTTCCAACATCACCACGCAAATCTGAGTCCAGACATGTCCCTCAGTGTTACTCCATTTACACTAAAGACGGGCCCCAAGTCAGAAAAGAACCAGCGGCTCGCCCCAGACTTCAGAGCTCAGGCCCTGCTCTGATTTGCACCAATTGTTCTACCTCATTAGTACAGGGGGATAGTGCAAGTGTACATTGATATTCACGGCATGGAGTGAAGTCTTTGGGGGTGTTGGGCCTAAACCAAATAAATTCATTTAACTGAGGACATTGTGATCTGACCCCAGTGGTTTCCGGAGTCTGATCAGGAACTGGAGCTGCACTGCGGTTTTAGAGGGATGAAACCCAGTCTCCATTATCCCTGTAAAATGGACCCAGGTTCCACACCAGTAACAAGCCCTGGCAGTTAGAGAAGCCCATTTACCATAAAAAGCTGGAACAGTCTCTCTCCTGTTGCCTTCCTCACATGTTCCTCCACAATGGGAAATGTCCGGACAAAATACTGCAACAAAACACTCCCAATAAGTGCAAAAGGAGGGGTGGGGGTGGTGTCTGGCTCCATTGAAAAGCAGCACCCGCACAGGATGTTAAAGTGCTCCAGTTCAGTGCTCCTTCCCACCTGGGATTTATCCTTCCGTTGCTCCCATTCTGCTGTTCACTTTGAGCGCCCACGCTGCTGGAGGCTAGGGTTAAACAGGTGGGGAAGGGTTGGTACTCCACCCAAGCCCAACCATATTGCTAGAGCAGCTGGGTATTTCAGCTACTGCGATCGGCAGGGGTATAGTTAACCGTCGCACCACTGGGCTTTAGAGCCGGCGTCCCCTGTGGGCCGGAATGGAGGACCCTAACGCTGGATTTCTCTAGGTTGCAGGCTTTGGGTTGGGTTTGAAGCATGGCCTTTATGTTGAATTTCCTGATTTTGTATTATTCAAAACTGCAACCCATTCCATGACAGTTTCTTCTCATTTATTTACTGCCCTTAACTCCACCTCAGTGAAGGTTTTCTGCCTGGGAATCATGATTGTTAAGCAGAAGGAGAAGTGGGGTTGGGAAGGGACAAGCTCGTCCTCAAGCACTAACAGCAGAGGAGACAGAAACTGTGGGTACGTTGCTGTATCATCAATGCCCTTTTTCTCCAGCTTTGCCCCAGTGTGAATGATCCCCTTTATCTGAGTAACTCCCACTGCTCAGGAGCTTAGGGGGAGGAATCCACATTAAAATTCCCATTGCCCCACACAGAGATACTCACCTCTAGAGCGATGCTGGCCTGTCTCTGGCAGGTGGTATGATTCTCATTCCCCATAGCACACATAAGGCCGTGCACCACTCTCAGCTGGATCATCTCTTCGGCCAGTTTGGTGGAGTCCTTGGCTAGAATGCTGCAAGGAAATCAGCACAGTCAGGCTCCAAGGCTCTTTCGCATGAGAGAAGAATCCGTCAAGAACAGGAGCTTTCTGGGAATGAAATGAAAGAGCCACAGCTAGCAATTTGGAGGGACAGATTCTAGTCCTGTTGCCTTAGGTGTGGTGCTGATCCAAGTGCAAAGTGATGCCTCCATCTTTCCACGGTCACTCACAAATGACTAACACCAATGAACAAGGACGCATGCTATTCTTAAACTGAAGAGGAAGCCCATGGTTACATGTGAACAATTTAATATCTATGTTAGGAGATCTACATTTCTTTTAATGATTGACAATAAAAACACCTGATTTACATATTAAATCCTAGCAAATCCACCACGTTACCCCATAGAATCCAGGGTGGAAGAGTAAATTATATTATTTTATTATTGAGCACATCACTGGAGAAAGCAACATGGCCGGTGTTTTGCATCATCTTCTGCTTTTCAAGGAAGAAATTTGGCATAGGACCATCTTGTGGACTTTGCAGATATCGAACAGGAAGTGAGCTACAGAGAAGCGTGGAGACAGCCAGAGTTTAGGGATTCACTGAGTCAGACACTGAATTTGATTTCATGCACTCTGCTGTTGATGTAAAATTGTTAAGTAGACGCATTTCACTACAAGAGACTCTCTGCTTCCTTGAGAACACAACAGGCTCTGTACTGTTACGTAGCATGGTTTGGTCCAGCTATGTGGCAAGGTGCTAACACTGTCCCTCTCTATGCTGGCCTGGAAACAGAGGGAACATTCTGACTCTGTATTAATGGCCAGAGTAAAGGTTGATATTATATTTCTTCACCTATAATAAAAGCTTTGAATAATTTCAGGTGGTGTTAGTAACAGGGGAGTATCTGGATTTTGGTACCCAAGCAGAAGTGCTTCTCTCTAAGCTCCTGAGCACTTTTGTGAATGGATGAAAGCCCCCGAAGTCTATATAGAGGAGTTACAGAGCCACAGGGATATACTCAGACAGCAATGTCAGAGGGCTAAAGATTCCCTATGAAGAATAACGACTGGCCTTTTCTCTATAAAGGAAGCAGCTTCTCTAAATCCTGTATAAATCTCCCTTTGTATTTTGCTCTGAATTTTCTTACCCGATAGCTTTTGCTGCAGCGGCTTGCTGTATATACACCGACAAGGGCTCAGGAAGATGGAGTGTGGCTGGGTCTGAATGGGGGAACATTAGACAGGATGAAAACTACGGCTAGAGCCATACTTCTGCCATAAAGCTTTAGTAATAACCTGGGGAATTAGACCAGTAGTACCTGAAGAAAAGAGGATTTGTGAGATTAGAGCAACATCCCTAAGGGAATCTACCTACAAATGTACTGTAGCTCAGGGCTTCACAATGAGCTCTCACTGCTCAGCGACTGTGCCAGGCTAATGCAGCGACTCAAACATTCTGGGACATTACAGTCTGTTTCATTGAGACAGGATGTGGGTCAGAAACCAAGGTTTCCCCGACTCTTGAAAAGGTGTCCTGGGATCTTTAATTTCCTCTGGCCACATGCAGAAGGGAATTGAGTTTAAGATCTCCTCTGAAAGACAGCGCCGCATCCCCTGCTCTCCATTAATTTGGCTGCATTAACTGAACAAATCCACACAGTTCACAAATAGCATCAAGATTCCCATTCCTGCTCTGAGGGCTCCAACAAGCTGGATGTTTGCTGTTGCCTGGCAGTTTCCATTACCCAAAACAGACAAAGCTGAACTCTGCAACTCGCCAGAGGGTCACTGGAAAACAGGACTCAGGAGCCTGCATCAGAGGAAGCAGCATCAGAGGAAGCACTAACAGTGACAGCCACATGTGGAGGTATGTCTGTACAGCTGCAATGGGGATGGGAGCAGGGGATATGAAGGCATGGAGAGTGCAGTGCCAGCCTCCACTGCCATGGGGCCCTGCCTGCCATCTCCTCTCACCTTGTTGCAGGAAAGGGGAAGGGAAAAGAGAGGGCGGCCGCAATCCCAGGAAGGACACCCCACTTCCTGAGACTGCACCAACCTACCCATGGAGTTCAGCTGCTCTGATGAAGTGGGGAGGAGAAAGGGAGATTCCCTTCTACTTTGGCCTCTTGCAAGGCAGAGCTTAAAGGACACATGGTTTCTAGGTCCTGCTAGGAAGGGGATGTGGGCGCCTAGCCCCTTGCTATGTTTCCTGTGGCGGTGGGCATCAGCCTCCCAGCAGGACCCAGCCAGTTGTCCCCCCCTCTTCCCCCCGTCGCCTTCCATTGCAGGTGACCTCACTGCTCTCTGGAGAGGGGGTCCAGGCTGCAAGAGGAGCACTCAGAGCCCACTGCAGTGAGTACCATGCCCACTAGGAAGAGACTTCTGCATCTCCTCTTCTGAATAGCCGACACCATCTCAGATCAGCCAGGCGGTTGGCTGCAGCCTCTGACCTCTGCCAAGGTAGCGCAGGGATGGATTAGCGAGAGCCGGTTACACCAGGGGCTCTCAAACATTTGTCCTGGTGACCCCTTTCACACAGCAAGCCGCGGAGTGCCACCTCGCTTATAAATTAAAAACACTTTTTTTATATTTAACACTGTTAAAAATGCTGGAGGTGAACCGGGGTTTGGGGTGGAGGCTGACAGCTCGTGACCCCCCAGGTAATAACCTCGTGACCCCCGCGGGGTCACGACCCCCAGTTTGTGAACCCCTGGGTCACACCCAAGGAGACTAAAGTACCAAAGTTGCCCATTAGTGGCTGGTGAATCACCTGAGCAAGCAGAGCAAGAGCAACCCACTTTGCAGCATTCTGCAGCTTCCAAGCAGACATGAAGGGAACCTGTTGTGACCGCTTACCTTCCAGGGCTTTGCCTTTCACTTTAGCAGTCTCTTTCCCCGGTGATATAAGTAATTCAACCAGACCCTTCAGCAGCACTGGCCGGACTTCATAGGCCATGAGATCCTTTACCAGCTGAATGGCTAGAGACAAGGAAAGAGGCCAAAGTGCCACCTTGGTGCTCTAACAAGGCTGCACAGCAATCCCAGCAAAAGGTGAAACATCAGAGCCAGTGGTTTGAACGCTGGCTCCTGAGAGAGCTGCATTTTCCTTCTGCCTGTTTAAAGTAAACCTCCTTGACTAGGGTTGGATTCTGCGCTGTTCCCTTCTGGAAGCTGCTCGGAAACAGAACAGGAGGCCAAGATATGCTCTGCGCATCTGAGAGCAGAACCATGTTCTCCAGGGCTCGTAGATCCCAGGTGACATTATTACCCCATGGGCTGGCCAGCAAGTGTATGTGGATGGCAAAGAGTCCAGCCAAAACATGGCTGGCTTTCTATTAAGACGGACCTCTGTATTGCATGGAACTCTCTGGGACATAGTGGGAGGGTGCTGAGGTACTGGACATGTGAGGGTTACATTAACTTTACACATGTGCACCATGGAGAGCAGCGCTGGCCCACTGCAGGCTCCAGGTGGAAGGGGCAGGAGCAGCCCCTTTGCTGGAGCAGCTTCCCCACACACCTTTCAGGAGTTTCAGTCTGGGAATGTTGGAAATTTGGAAAGTGCTGGCACGTGGATGCAATGGCTCCTGCTGGGAACTCCCAGACCCTCCATCTGCAGGGGGCAGAATCAGGACTCCGGAGCACCTCAGAGAGTCATCAAGCTCCAGGATTAGTGCAAACATGAAACCTTTACCCAGTAACGTAGTAAAGATGCAAGCACCACACTCAATGCCCCCCTCAGCTTGCAGCCACCTGCTCTGATGCCTCCAATAGCCGGGCAGCAGAGCCAACCATCCCCAGGGCAGCTGCCGAGAGGCCAGAAGCAGCTTCCCACCAGCACGTCTCAGCTCAGCTCATAGCAGAAGGGAGAAGCTGGGGCTGGTCTGGGAGCAGGGCTCTGGGAGCACCAGCTCATTTGCATACCCATGATGCATTGCACATTGAAAAGCCTTTCTTTGAGCATTTCAGTGACTGTGGAAAGACGTGCTAATTTCTGTTCAACTTCATTTATGAGGATTGGCCTGCACAGAACACAGAGCTCAAAAATGAGAAGATTTGTGAAAACCCACAGTTCCCCTCCAAAAGTCATCCTACCTTTATATTCAGGATTTTTTTCTCCTCAGAGGGAATAAATCTTTTGCATTTTACTAAAAATTTCTGTGGCAATAAGCTTTTCTGAGTTTACATGCAATTTTTTAAATTGTTCTGTGAATAAGTCTAATTTTTGTGGAAAAAGTAGATACCATTTTTATTTGATGTCTATAAAATAATTCATAAAAGCTATGAGTCAAATGCTTTGTTTTCATAAGCCATTGAAAGTTTAAGTGCAATTGTTTTTTCTATGGGGGAAGAAAAAACCTAATTCTTTAGAAGTTGCATATATCCCCATCCTGTGTCCTTGCACCCCCTGTCCACATGTCCCTCCACCCCCATTCAGGCACCCACTCCCCTTATCCCCATGTGGCCCTGCCCCCTCTCCTCCTGTCCCTTTGTGGCTCTGTACCCCCTTCCCCTATCCCCCTGTGTCTCTGTGCCCCCATCCAGCCACTCCCCTGTCCCTATGTATCTCTGTCTCCCCTCCCCCTGTCCTCATGTGTGTCTGTGCCTCCACCCGGCCAGTCCTCTGTTCCTGTGTCCCTGAGCCTCCTCCCCCTGCCCCATGTGTCTGTGCCCCCACCCAGCCACCCCCTGTCCCTATGTAGCTCTGCACCCCCTCCCCATCACCATGTGGCCCTGCACCTCCCTCCCCTCTGTGACCCTGTGCCTCCACTCCCATTCAGCCCCTGTCCCAGTCTGTCTTCCCCCACTAGCCCTTGTAAGCCCATCTGACTCCCCGAGCACCCCAGACAGATGTTGTCTGTCTCCCCATAGCCCCTGTCTCCTGACCTGGCCTGACAGGTGCTGTGAAGAAGTCTGGCTTTCTCTTAGCTGGCTGGGAGCTGCTGCTTTGTTCGATCACCACAGCACCCTCTGGTGGGCAAAAGGCAGAACTGCAGCAAAATTTTGGCAGAAGCTTTTTCTGAGCAAAAAGTTTAAAAATATGTGGGGTTCATTAATTATGCATGCATGCAGTAGTGCAGAATTCCCCCAGGAGTAAAAGAGAAATGGAGTAACTCTGGGCCTTCACAAAGTTGCTCCACTAGGCAAGTAGATGAGCTGTTGCTTAAAAAGAACCTCAATAATATATTGAACTTTAAATGTATTTTACACAGTTGAATCTGTTCAATACAAAAAGCAAGTAACATTTTCCTCTCCAAAAAAAAAAAAAAATCATAAAGAAGAACATTTTTAAAATAAAAACATAAATTTATTTGTATGTAACTGTAGTGGGGTGGCTGCCCCACTCCTATCCTAGATGGGACTTCAGCAGGCCAGGGAGGTGGTGCAGGTGGGGGCCAATCAGAGGCTGCATTAGAGACAGCCAATCAGAGCCAGACTCAGCCATATATAAAGGCTGCCCAGGAAGGGCACAAGGAGTCTCTCCCTGGTGGTCAAAGGAGGAGAATAGGTGCCTCTGCTGGAAGGTAGCACCTTGGATAGAGCAGTGCTGGGGAAGGCCAGAAGGAGCTGGGGAGCTCCGGTCAAGGAAAACTGCAGGCTGCTGGCCTAGGCCAGGCAGGTCCATAGGGCTGAAGGGGAAGTGTCCCAGGGACAATAGCAGGGCAAGGGGAGAGAAGGAGAGCGGAGAGTCTCCTGCTAGAGGGTCCCTGGGTTGGGAAGGCCCCCCCTTCCCCTTGTGCTGCACTGGGCTGAAGAGGAGTGTGGCCCGATCCAGGCTGTGGCTGGGCCCTGCGATAAGGGGCTAGACTTAGAGGCTGCAGCTGGCCCCTACAACAGGTGCAGATTGTGGACTGCTGATAACGCCAAACCCCTGGAAGGGGGTGAGACTGGAGCAGTGGGCACTGCTGGAGGGCAGTGTCCTGAAAAGGACGCTGCCGAGCAGGGAGCAATGAGGGTCCCCAAAGCAGCAGAGCAGACAAGGGGCAAGGAAGGCACCATGTGGAAAAGGTGCTCCATGACTGGACAGAGCTAATTTCTGGAGGAACCAGTGGGAGGCGCTAGTGGTGGTGAGTTCTAACCCCATCACAATTAATTCCTTTCCTGCTTTTTTCACAACATCAAGTAGCTTCATTGAATTGAAGCCTCAAAAAATTGGGTAAAAACTCATAAATATTCCTTTCCATGGAGATCTTTAGTAAAAGGTGAAAGATTTATACAATCTGAAGAGAAACCAAAGCATACCTTCAGCTCTGCAGAAGTGCTGCCAGGGCAAGACCATCACTTTATTACATCACTGTGACTATACTGATGAATGGCTAAACCCCCTTGTGATGTTGCACTCCATATGATTTATAGAAATATGCTTATGAATATGACATAACTAGAATATGCTTTACACTAAATACTCCTTGTATGGTGATATTAGAAAGCTTGCACTCTACTGACTGTGTTCATACTATTTGTTTGTATGTGTGATGTTATTAGTGTAATATAATATCTCATTGAAAGGTGACAGGGCCAAAAGAGTTAATTAACTCACAGACTGATCTGACCCATGACCGAACTTTAGAGACTGGTTAGGAAGAGATGTAAATGAACAGCGCTTTGAAATGCAAGTCTGCATTGTTAGAGAGAGAAGGGGAGATGTTTGTTCAGGTCTTGTGATGTCAGCAAACAAGTCTTGTCTATGGCTATAGCTTTGATTCAAAGATCAAAAAAGGAATATTAACATTTAGGAAGACACTTGACTAAAATAGTATTGTTGTCTCTTTGAAGGTTGGGGTAACCTGTATCTGAACTGATCAATGGATAAATTACCTTGTGCTAATTGCCATGATGTTTGGGAGAAGGAAAGTGAAGCTGATTGTTTTCTCAGACCAAAAGGCTGCTGGAAATGTATAAAGACCTTGGGATATGATCCTTCTTCATCTCAGATCTGCTTTTGGCTTCAAGAAGGGGAAACCCTAAGCCACAAGGATTGAGATCCCCAGTCACTGACTAGAGTCACCCTGAATATGGATATTGGGCTATAACCTATGGACTATTGCCAAAAGGACTTTTGGCAACTACAAGCTCATCTCTGCTAGGTATTTGAACCTCAAGAATTGAATTCAAGTCTCTGTATATTGATCTTTTAACCAAAAAGAAAAGGAGTACTTGTGGCACCTTAGAGACTAACCAATTTATTTGAGCATAAGCTTTCGTGAGCTACAGCTCACTTCATCGGATGCATACTGTTAGTCTCTAAGGTGCCACAAGTACTCCTTTTCTTTTTGCGAATACAGACTAACACGGCTGTTACTCTGAAACCGATCTTTTAACTAACACTTTTCTTTTTTAATACATTTTAGTTTAGTTAATAAGAATAGACTATAAGCCTGTATTTGGGGTAAGATCCAGGTTATTTGACCTGGATCTGGGACTTGGCCCTTTGGGGTCAGGAGAACCTTTTCTTTTATATGATGAAATAAGGTTTTCAGAATTTATCACCATATGTTTGACGTGTGTCTGGATGGAGGCCTGAGGCTGGGTACTTTAAGGGAGCTGTGTTTGGAAGTCTGAGTACCCAGGGAGGTGCTGTAGAAGCTGTTTTGGGCTGGCTGGGTAAAGCTAAGTATTGGAATATCCACTAGTGTCTGGGGTTTGTCTGCCCTGTTCTGTTTGCAGTGCACCCTGATTGAGTGACCTCAGCAGGCTCCCACAGGCAGCATTGTCGCAGCACAGATTATTTCTATATCTGGAGTTAGAGTAAGATATGAACATGTATCACCGATGTGAATATATTAAGTGGAAGCCATTAAGGGTGCTTCAGAATCGGTGACCTGTCAATGGCTCTGTTTACTTGCAAACCTGCCTGTGTATGGTGGGCCAGCCCAGGAAGGATGGAGGCTGGGGTCTCTCAGGACTTGTGACCCTGTCACATGGTACTGGAATCCATCTTAAATCTCTTCTTTTTCCATTTAGAAGGAGGGCTGGGGACCCAGGAAGATTCCTGCCTGGTGCCAAAGCTATAAAAGGGGGTGGAACAGGACGCCAGGGGCCAGTCATGAGAGCCCCTGCTTACCACCTAAAGTTGTCGGCTGGAACTAACAAAGACGGTAGCAGAGGAAAGGATGGGGCCCAGACAAGGAGTCTCATCTGTGAAAGAAGCTTACTGGAACATCTCTGAGGGTGAGCGATTACCTGTAATCAGTTTTTTAATGTATTCAGCTTAGACTTGTGTGTTTTTGCTTTATTTTGCTTGGTGACATACTTTTCTGTCTGTTATTACTTGAAACAACTTAAATCCTACTTTTTATATTTAATAAAATTGCTTTTGTTTGTTAAACCCAGAGTAAGTGATTAATACCTGGGGGAAGCAAACAGCTGTGCATCTCTCTCTATCAGTGTCACAGAGGGTGGACAATTCATGAGTTTAACCTGTATAAACTTTATACAGAGTAAAACTGATTTATTTGGGGTTTGGATCCCATTGGAAATTGGGTGCTGGAGATAAGTGAAAACTGCTCAGCAGGTTACCTAAAGTCTGCAGCTTTGGGGGTGTGGTCCAGACCCAGGGTCTGTGTTGCAGCAGGTATGCATGTCTGGCTTAACAATGCAGGGTTCTGGAGTCCAAAGCTGGCAGGGAAAACAGACTCTGAGGTAATTTCAGCACATCAGGTGCCAGTCCCAAGGGGGTCTCTGTGACCGAACCTATCAAATCCCTGTTTCTACAGCCTATTGCTCTGGCCCAATTAAACTCCGAGTTTGCTCCTCGGAACTAGGGTCTCTGGGAGGAAACCCACTCCATGGACCAGGGAGTCGGGATGCAGGTCACAATGCGCAATGCATTATGGGCATGCAAATGAGCATCCCAGGTAGGTCTGAGAGCACAGGGGAGCCCCGGCCTCCGAGCTGAGGCCACAGCCCCTGGAATGCAGCTCTGGGAGGGGCGGTGGCTCCCGGGGTCTCCACAGCTGCTCTGGGCACAGCTCCACACACCAGTTACCCGGGGCCGCACAGGAGATGCCCCCAGGCTGGGACCCCGCAGGTGCTGGACTCTGAACCTCGGGCGGAGCAGGCGGGCTCGGGCTGCTGGTCGCTCCTGTTTGCCTGCAGGAAAGGGCCAGTGAAAGGGCTGCTGAGCTGCCCCAGGTGGGCTGCGGGGGCCAGATCGGCCTTTGCCTGGAGCCTGCAGGGGATCCTGCCCCACCCCCTGTGGTCAGTACAGCCTGCCCAGGGGCAGCAGAGAGCACGTGGTTTTGTCCCCAGCCCTTGCCGTCCCCAGCCCTTGCCGCCAGGGCTTGGCTTTGCCAGCCTGCAGCCACCGCATAGCTCGTTAACCTGCCTGTGGAGACCCACGTCCCCAGCCCCACTCCTGCAAACCAGTGACGGGAGCCATCGGCCCTCCTTGGTAGGACGGGAAAAGCCAGAGACACGCACAGCCTTTGCACAAGCAACACCCCCGGGCCGGGCCCGGCAAGGAGGCTGGAGCTGGGGGGCAGCGTGCTGACAACACACAGCTGGGTTACAAACCACCCACCCCTCATCAGAGGGTAGCCCGGGGTGTGACCTGGTATTGCACCCAACTGCTTGGCCTGTGCAGTAACAGGCACTCCGCCTTCAGCCCTTGTGACTTGCCTGTCTTCTTTCCAAAGGCAGGGACCTGTTGCCAGGTCCGTTAAATTCCTTAGAGCTCAGTGAGCAGCCGAAAGGCAAATCCACCCAGCCCAGTGCTCACACACTCTGCTTGAGCTGAGCTCTGAGGACACTGCGGCTGCTGCCTTGAAGTGACTCTTCACAGGCTCACTGAGAACCTCCCCAGAAATGACTCAAACGTCTGCTTTCCTCCTCAGCAGACAGCATAAGGGATGTGGTTCCTACCTTCATACTGAACTTCCAAGTGCATAGAGCTCAGCACGCCCAACACAGCATCCACAATGCTGGGATGGGCTGCTCCCACGATCACCTGACAAGGAAAGGAACAAGCAGGGTGTTATTCCTCACAGCTCTCCCCTCTGCAGCCCACTGAAATATTCACATGTGTTTGATCCTCAGGATACAGAGAACTGCACACAGCACTGTGCTCTGAAACTCAAGGAAATGGCCTCTTGGGGCTGATTCTGCAACCATCATTCAGGATAGTGAGCACTTATTCTTGAATAGGACTCCTCATGTAAGTGCTCACCAGTGTAGTGGTGGTTGCCCAGTCTAGCCCTATGGTTCTCAGACTAAGGACTGCAGTTATTGGGGCAGCAAACTATTAATTACCATTATTTAATATTTGTAATATGGCAGTACCCAGAGACTCCAATCAGGATCAGGGCCCCACTGCTCTGGGGCTAGACAAAGAGGTAGAAAAGTCCCCTGCCCCAAGAGCTTACAGTGAAAGAAGACAAGTGTTATACAAAGTGTGGGGGGAAAAGGGAGACAAACTCTTTAAAAATCCCCATAAAATCCTTTCCTCCTCTCAGGACTCCTCAAACCTGAGCATGAGGTTCATTGATCTCCAGCTAACTGAGGCATTAGAATAGCTTTGAGATTTTAACAGGGTGTGTGTCTCTGTCTCTCTCATATATATATGGTATGTAACAGGAGAGATCGAGAGAGACATTTTATGTTCAAAAGTCAAGGATCTGTGGTCCTGCAGATTTGGGGGGGGGGTGGCAACCCCCCCTTCCTTGATGACAAGGGACTGAAATTTCAAATGGGAGATTGTCAGAATTAAATTCAAGAGCAGCAGACTGCATCAGAGCTGCTACCTACCTCACAGCTTAGCTCTTAGTCTGGGTAATTAACATATAGCTAAAACGTTTTATGTAAGTGCATATTTCCAGGCCAGAGAGAATTTAAGAAGGGTCAGAAGACCAGAACCCCATTCCCTCAATTTAAAAAAAAAAAAGGCACACCAAAGTGCAGGATTGAAAACAGTAGCACTAAAGACTATATAGTTCATTCTAAAACAAAAAGGCGTACTAGTGGCACCTTAGACTAACAAATTTATTTGAGCATAAGCTTTCATGAGCTACAGCTTACTTCGTCAGATGCACAATGTAGCTCACAAAAGCTTATGCTCAAATAAATTGGTTAGTCTCTAAGGTGCCACAAGTCCTCCCTTTCTTTTTGCAAATACAGACTAACACAGCTGCTACTCTGAAACCTATAGTTAATCCTGTATGCCATTCCCTTTGGAGTTCCCCGGAGTAAGGGCAGGACACGTCTTTAGAGGCATGTCCTCTCCTACAGCTGAGGTCACACTTTCATACTAGGCTTTCACAATAAGTAACAGACTGGAGGAGAAGGGGAATTATAAAATATCTTTCATACTCAATTTATTTAAAAGCAGCATATTAGATCCTGATGGAGCAGGGACTATGTAAACAACAGTAGCAGCCTTTATACACTCAGCACTTGCTCACACACAGCCTTGGAGTTTAGCATCTGTGTTACTGAGAGGGAAAAGTCTAAGGGGAGAATTGTTCATGATTTCGTTATCCAAATCAGACAGAAAACAGCTCTGTGCACCTCATTCCTTTTCAGTGTGTTCTCAGACTCAGGAACTGCTGGGGAACTTGAAGAGCACACACTATGCTGATGACATGCAACTGGGCACAAAAGGAGCCTAGCTTCAGAATTCTCTTATCCAGTACTACCTCAACAAGGAACTTTCAAATTGGCTTATCCACACAGGGTATGCAGCCTTAGACATGTTAGGACACATCAGCTGAGTATATACTGGGTGTGCTTGTGGATGCAATAAGCTCTTCTCTGGGCTCCTTAATAAGGCAAGAACTGTAGCAGGATTTCCACTCACCTTTAGCCTCCAGCTTATGATAGATTCATTATGAAACAGTGTTCTGATAAAACTAAAGCATAGGCTAAAGTTTGATTACATCCCGTTCTGCTCACCTGCACAGTCCTGAGTGTCTGCAGAGACAGCTGTTGGGCTTTGGGGGATGTGCATGGCAGCAAAGCAATCAGGCCTTTGTATACCTGGTTCTGATACTTTGGATTGCCATGGCCTAAAGAGTCCAACAGAATTTGCACTTGTTCTTGAGTCTCTTCGGACTTGGAATTGGCCAAAAACTCAGCTATTGATCGCACACCTGTGTATAAGAAGATTTACTGAGTTGCATAGTTGGAAAGCCCAAGTGGTTACACATCTGAGGTTAGACAGAAACTTGGAAATTTTATTGAAATCCAGACAATCAAAAACACTGTCCCATTTTAATCAGTGCTGCTGGAGAGGTAGAGATGGGGAGTAATCTTCATTCTTGTGAGTTTATCAGTAGCTATTACACGGATTTTAAAATATAATAGGCCAAATTCTCAGCTGGTATAGAAGGGCAAAATGCTGCTGAAGTCAATTGAATGACATACATTTACACCAATAAAGAATCTGGCCCCCTGAGGTAAATGGTGCATAGAGAGTATCACTTTACTGATTCCATCCCACTCCTCTCACTGCTGAGGAAGTTGTCCAAACCTTGAGCATCTGTCACTGATTTTAGTGGTGGGTTCCCTTTTACAATGGGAAAAGCATTTATTTTTTTCCAGTCTTCAAAAACATCTGAAGAGATCTAGCTTTTCCTTTTCAGAAAAATTCCTGATTTCTCAATAGATATCAATTAAAAAAAAATTTAGGCCCAAGAGGGAAAGTTTGGAGAGGTAGCAGTGGGTGAACACAGCAGGTTATAATGAAAACTCTTTTGCAACCTTAGCCACAGTAGTTGCCACCAGCATGACTGCTGTAATACATCAAAGGAAAAATACTGTACAAAAAGTATGCTCATTAAAAATGAGAAGGGGGATGAAATGTAACCACTCAGCAACGGCTGAGACTCTGAACTCCTTTCAACAAGAGAAAAAATAAAATAATCTTCCATCACTAGGACTCTCATAGAGTGAAAGGAAAAGGTTCAGTTCTGTAAGGAGCCCTTGACGTTTGGAGGTCAGAGAGTACAGACTCGCCTAAATGGATGTAACCCCATTCCTTTGATAAAGAATGCGGATGGCATGGCACTTACCATAACTTTCACAAATGAGCTCCTTATACTTCCTGCCAGCGTTTGCTACGAGTTGGAGTAGCTTTATTGACTCCCTTTTGTCCTCTTCCTTCAGTTGGTTCAGCCCTAGTATTTCCAGGAGAGTCAGCACACCTCCAACCTCCAGAAATTCAATAAGATACTTGTGGCTACAGAGATGAGGGGAACAAAGCAAAAAATATAGCACTTGGAACAAAATCTTCCTTCCTCGGATCTCCATATTACTGGGAACCTTCTTCCTACCTCCTTGCCTCCAGTTTGTGTCTAAGCTCCCGGACGGAGACAACAGCTACCAGAAGCTTGACTTGGAACCCAAATGTGAAGGCCCCACATGTCAGTATGATGTGCTCCCAATAGGCTACCAGGTGAGATATTTACCTCTGATTGTCTACATTTGGATACTGACCTACATGCACAGAGAACTTTGGGTCTCCATACACAGGGTGCTCACTGGATCCCTAACTAGTGTGTTAGCAATCAGACCACTCCTGGGAAACGGGGGACTCACTGAGCAATTGCATAGCATAGGCAACATCATAAAATATTTACAGTATTCTTGGGAAGCACAAAGAGTCCTGGCTTTGCCCAGCCTTGTGTGAAGTAACATATGCAGCACCTCCCACCTGCCCATGACTGATTTATCCATTTCTACAGAGCGCTGATCACCATGGTATCTGACCTCCCAAAACTGGGCTCTGCTGCCCAGGGGACACAATTCAAAACAGGTCCAACTGCACAGCCCACTAAGAGTGTGTGTGGGAGTCTCCAGGCATGAAGGAGGCTCACTGACTGTGGGGATCCAGAGACCTGCAGAGGAGATAGGAGAGGCTTGGCCAGTTATGGGTACATGCTGACAGCAGGGTGTTCAAAAGCACAGATCATGGACTGTTGCCCTTTCCCAGACCATCCTTGTAGTAAAATATTAAGACTGGCCCCTCACCTCACAATCCTCACCCTGGGCTGGCACAACTCTGGGATGTTAAAGCCACCCAAATAATTCTTGTTGAAGTGACATAGAAATACTCACCTGCTTGCAGCTGACAAAAAGATGCCAATGGACTTTAGCTGCTGATCTAGGTATATTCCATACATGTAGCTGTTTGACAATGTTAAGGAACAAATACTGAGACAATTTTTCACATTAAACCTGGTCACTGCATCTGGTCTGGCTGGTAGCTTGGTGGCAATGTGTGGCATTGCACCTGGGGAACCTGTCTTTGGGAAAGGGCTAGGGTGACCAGATGTCCCGATTTTATAGGGACAGTCCTGATTTTTGGGTCTTTTTCACACATAGGCACCTATTACCCCCCACCTCCTGTCCCGATTTTTGACACTTGCTATCTGGTCAGCCTAGAAATGGCACAGGCCTTAATTTTCCAGGCTAGCTGGGTTGCAAACCACTAAGGAGGCAGCATGCTCATCCCCAGAGTGGGTGTGAAGTGACTCCCTGCCTGTAGCATTGATGGGCTTGGCAGGGAGCTTACATTTTGTCCTCAACTAGAAGGATGGGATGTCCTGATATAGGACCTGTGAGAGGGGAAGGAGAAAACAAGGGGAATCTTGTGTAATTTAAAACCCAATAATACCCTTGGTGTGGAACTTCCCTCAGATTCCAGCTTTTATGGGTCAAGCTCTTCTCCCTGAACGACTGGACTCAGGTATTTCCACAGAGAGGGGCTACCTTAAATCATATTGGGGGGAAAAGAACATTTGGAAGAGAATCTTCCCCTCGATTGCCCCACCACCTCTTCTGGCATCCCAAAGAAGTAGATACGTGAGCCTCAGCCATGCTGTTAGGCGGGTCAGAAACAAGCTGGCTCCCTGTGAGAATTCCAGCTCCAACTCTGGTCCTGTCTTTCCTTGATTTGCCTTAATGAAATTGCCCAGAATGTGGCTACGAGCAGCTTTGCTAGCATTGTCCCATTCCTGCAAGAACCCCATCAGTCTGCTGATGGCTGCCTGCTCCTTTGTGGAAGTCATGATCAATACTGTCCTACAGGGGAGAGAGAGAGGTTATAGAAACCCTTAAAGATAAATGTAGGCTGTACAAATGAGTAACACCAGCCCTAATTATATTTTCTCCTTGTCTAATGCTTTCCAGCTAAAGATCATAAAGCACTTGACAAACATTGATTAATGTAATCTTAATCTTCCTTTATTCCCATTATCTTCATTTTACATCTGGAGAAACTGAGGCATAAAGAAATTAACTGATTTACCCAAGGCCACATAGTAAATCTGGGGCAGAGCTGGGATTAGAATCCAGATCTCCTGATTGAGCCACAAGATCATCTCCCCAAGGGCAGTCTCCCTCCCAGATATGAATAAAGCACTTTAATGTTACAAATTTTCTTAATCTCAGATTCTTGCTAGCTTGAATATTTGATCACATGACAGGCCCTGCCAGAGGGTAAGTAGGATGAAATAAGAGCAGAGATGCACAGGATCTTGACGATGAAAGGGTGGATTTGGGAAGCTTTTGCATTTTGAACCTTTTTGTCCTAGGTCATGTCGTATTATTTAATTTCTCTTCAAGTGCCGAGAGCTTTCAACGGCATATTTTTAAATAAATTCGGGGGGAGAAATGAAATAATAATCCAAGGAATAGGGCAGCTACAGAAAATCCCAACTGACTTTGTGACCTTCAATACAGTGATACCCATTTTGCCGAATTTCTTTGGCATATTTGGGCATTCTCTGTCTCCCCCTTCCCCCCAAAATTTACAAATTTTCTGGTGTAATTAGTTCTGGTAAAAAGTGCAGAGTGACAGCTCTGGAAGATAAAGATGGTTTAATCACATCGGTCCCAATCTTGCAAACACACATGCTTAACTTAAACTTGTGAGTAGTCCCAATGTGGGGCTTAAAGTTAAGCAAGTGCATGGGTGTTTGTAGAATCGGAGCCAAAGGAGGTACAAGACAGGCAGAAATACTGCAAGCTTCTCTCCACAGTCCTGTCAACACGCTTCATCTGTGTGGATGACAGAGAGTTCAGTCCTTGCCTCTTTCCGTTCTTGGCCCCTCTGCTGAGATTGAGGCCTTGTCTACGTGAGAAAGCTGCAATGGTTTAATTTAAAGTGTAATTTAAAAGCAAATGAGTTAAACCAATGCAAACCCTGTCTGGACACTTATCTCAGGGCTTCTCTCAGTTTAGTTTAAATCTATTAGGTCTGTTTGGGTCCATGCCTATTTCCTATCAGTAAAGTGCCTAGCACTTGTCTACTAGGAACTTGACTGCACAAAAGGCACCGGATTGAAACCAATGACCTAAAGGTGAAATGCTCTGTAGTTAAGTGTATTAAAAAAATTAAAAACAAAAAAAACAATCACCCTAGAAAGTTGGATAAAGAAACAATTCTGCTGGGTTAAGAGGAGTTGGGATTTCATTAGGGAATTAACAGTCTGTGGTTTGTAGGAGTCTGTGTCCTTGGCAGAGTGTATTCAGGATCTCCTTTGAGGGAGGACAAGGTTTAAAATAAATCAGTTTTCCCAAAATAGTTGTGATTGGAAGTGTTATTAGCCATAACAAATGTTAGTGCTGATGGGAGACTGGCCTGTTAGGAGCCCTTTGTCGAAAGTCATATTTCACAGTCTCATGAGCTTTTTCCAGTGATTTACAGAATATTTGTGAAACATTATGTGCAAGGCTCAAGACTGACACTGAGAGAACAACTAGTGTGTTGAGGGAATGAGTATTTCACAGAGACGGTTTGCATCAAATTTACAGGCCCATAAAGAGCTCCTATGTCCTCTACAGAAATCTAGTTAAAAGAACTTAACAGTCTGAAGCATCCCAAAATTGATTCTAAATTAACATTTCCATATTTATGTTTGAGATGCTGATGGTGTGCTCTTATCCTGCTTTTATTAGGAAGCAGCAATAATCCTCACTGTTCAGAAACACCATCACCAGCCTCTGGACAGGAGGATTTGAGGAATAAAGGGTGCTTTCCTATTATCCAGCTGGGGAGAAGAGTTGGTCTGAAAATGATCACACAATACAACTAACTGAGGACATAATGGTACCAGACTGACTGTTATAATATTATGCACCTATATGGTGCTCTTCATCCAAAGATCTCCAAGTGCCCTATAAATAGGGGTAAGTATTCTTATTATCCTCATTTTACAGATACAGAAACAAATTCACAGAGAGGGGGAAAGACTTGCCCCAAGCTCACACAGTAACTCAGTGGCAGAGTGAGAACAGAACCAAGTCTCCTCACTCCAAATTGTCCGGTCCAGCTACTCAATGAGCTGCCTCACTCATCTCGCTAGATCAGATAAGCTTAGAGGATTGGACACCAAGTCAGTACTTTGTTGGGAGGACTCTAAGGAAAACCCAGGTGATTTAGGAACTGTTGGCTATTCACTAGGTAGCTGTGAGTGGCACCTTGAGTTTAGGAGGTGCAGCCCTGGATGAGTTGGGAGATGGGAAGGAAAAAGTGGTTTTAAGATATCTTTGCACCCACCAGATTCCAAGCCTTGCCCAGCCCCTGGCACAAGTTAGAGCCTGCTTGGCCCATCCACTTTTCGCCATGATCCCCACCCCTGCTCGTATCTCTTCCCTCCGAGGTTCTGCCCCCCGGCCAGGCCGGCAGCTAGAGCCTGGCCCCAGTAGCCCAGGCAGCTGTGGAGAGCCATGGATCCTCCAGCTGCCCGGGGTAGCGGTGCCTGCCCAAGAGTTGCCCCTGGCCCATGGCCCCACTCCCCAGGCCCTCCGCCCAGGGCAGGTGGAGGGTCCGCGGCTCCCCACAGCTGTCTGGGCGGCTCTTACCATGGCACAGCTCCAAGGCCCTGCCCTCAGGCTGGAGCTGGGTCGGAGCAAGAGCCACGCAGGCAGCTATGGGGAGCCGCAGACCCACCACCTGCCCTGGGCAGCGGGCCAAGGAGGCGGGGATACAGGCCAGGGTCTGCTCTTGGGACCCCCTGACCCTGGGTAGGTAGAGGGTCCCAGGCTCCCTGGCCCTGCTCTGGCTTAGCTGTGGGTGGGGCTTTGGGGGGAAGAGATGGGGCAGGGACGGGACCGGGGGGGCGGGCCTTTGCCCCTCCACTTTTGGGAAGACTCTGCTGCCCCCCCACCAAACCCACAATCCTCACTGATCCAGCAGGCCCCTTCCTTCCTGCCTCCCTCCCTAAAGCTCTATGACTGTTGCTCCTTCTCCAGACCCCCTGCTGAAGAAGCCCCCTACTATTCTCTCTCCTTGGTCCCACTGACACCCCCAGCACCCTTTTACCCCCAAACCTGGTACCTACTCTCCCTCTAACCCAGTTGGCGCCCAAATCTGTAGCCGCTGACTTCGTGGGTGCTCCGGGGCTGGAGCACCCATGGGGAAAAATTGGTGGGTGCAGAGATCCCCGCCCTGCGCCCCCACCCCAGCTCACCTCTGCTCCGCCTCCTCCCCTGAGCGCACCGCGTCCCTGCTTCTCCCCCTAGCTCCCAGTGCTTGGCACTGCGAAACAGCTGTTTCGTGGCATCAAGTGCTGGGAGGAATGGGGGAGGAGGGGGAACGCAGCATGCTCTGGGAAGAGGCGGGGTGGGGCAGGAATTTGGGGAAGGGGTTGGAATGGGGGCAGGGCAGGGGTGGAGTTGGGGTGGGGGAGGGCCGGGGGCGAGCACCCATCGGCACCTGGAAAAGTTGGCGCCTATGCCCAAATCCATCTAATACTAGTCCCCTTGCTAGCTCTGCGAAACTCCATTTCCTCCAATGCTCACCCCACCCCAGCTGGGATGCCCCTACACCCTCTTCAGTTCCCCCATGGCTCCCAATAGCTCTTTGAGGAAGGGGCTGTGTGAGATCCTGGTCATTTCCTTTACCCGTGGTTGTCTTCTGGGGGTGATTGGCTGGCTCTCGCACCATGCTCGTTATTCCATGAAGCACTGTGTCTCCTCCAGTCCTAAAAGAATCTCTCTGCCTTACTCCTACATAGCCAGGCCAATAGCAAACTAAGCCAGCAGGTCTCCGGCTTATTGGAATGGTTTGGCAGCACTTCCTTTCCCAGTGGGGAGGATGTCCCAAACATGGACAGAGTTGCCAGACTTCTGTTACCCTATCTGCCATGAACCCAGCCCTCATCCCACCCTCCCTTGCTGCCACCCAGCGAGCCCCAGCTCCATCCATCCACCCAGTCCTCACCCAACCCCACCCTGCCCACCTACCACCCACTCCTATTGACTCAGTCCTCCCCGCATCTGCCTGCACCCACCTACCCAACCCATCCTCACCTCCCCCACTCCATCCTTCCCCTACCCACCCCTATCTATGAAGAGAAATTCCATGTTTGAATAATAAGAGTATAGCAGTAGGGATGTATTACTGACCAGGATGGTGATGGTGATTGTGAAATGCTCAGGGAGATTAGATAGGGTATAAAAATAGGAAAATTCACTAATAATGGGGGATTTCAACTATCCCCATATTGACTGGGTACATGTCACCTCAGGGTGGAATGCACAGTTGAAGTTTCTAGAGACCATTAATGACTGCTTCTGGAGCAACTAGTTCTGGGACCCACAAGGGGAGAGGAAATTCTTGAGTTAGTCTTAAGTGGAGCACAGGATCTGGGCCAAGAGATGAATAGCGACCATAATGTAATTAAATTTAACATCCTTGTGGGGGGAAATTACCAAAGAAGCCCACCACAGTAGTATTCAACTTCAGAAAAGTGTACTACATAAAAATGAGGAAGCTAGTTAAATGGAAATGAAAAGCAACAGTCACAAGAGTGAAATGCTTGCAAGCTGCATTGAAACTTTAAAAAAACCCACCCCACCATAATAGAGGCTCAAATTAAATGTATAACCTACATTAAAAAAAGTAGTGAGAGTATCAAAAATATACCAGCATGGCTAAACAACAGAGTAAAAGAGGCAGAGGCAAAAAGGCATCCTTTAAAAATCAGAAGTCAGATACTACTGAGGAAAATAGAAAGGAGCGTTAACTCTGGCAAGTCAAGTGTCAAAGTATAATTAGGCAGGCCAAAAAAGAATTTGAAGAGCAACTACCAAAAGGCTCACAAACTAATAGCAAATAATTTTTAAGTACATCAGAAGCAGGAAGCCTGCCAATCTAGGGATCATTGGACAATCAAGGTGCTGAAGGAGCTTTCAAGGAAGACAAGGTAATTGGAGAGAAGCTAAATGAATTATTTGCATCAGCTTTCACTGCAGAGGATGTCAGGGAGATTCCCAAACCTGACCCATTCTTTTTAGGTGACAAATCTGAGGAACCGTCCTAGATTGAGGTGTCAATAGAGGAGGTTCTGGAACAAATTGATAAATTTAACAGTGATAAGTCACCAGGACCAGATGGTATTCACCCAAGAGTTCTGAAGGAACTCAAATATGAAATTGCAAAACTACTAACTGTGTTTTGTAACGTATCATTTAAATCGGCGTCTAGACAACTGAAAGGTAGGTAATGTAATGCTGAGTTTTAAAAGGCTTCAGAGGCGATCCTGGCAATTACAGGCCAGTAAGCCTAACTTCAGTACCAGGCAAACCTGATTGAAACTATAGTAAAGAATAGAATTATCAGAAACTTAGATGAACACAATTTGTTGCGGAAGAGTCAACACTGCTTTTGTGAAGGGAAATCATGACTTAACAATCTATTAGAGTTATTTGAGAGGGTCAACAAACACGTGGACAAGGGTGATCCACTGGGTATAGTGTACTTGGACTTTCAGAAAGCCTTTGACAAGCTCCCTCACCAAAGGCTTGCAAGCAAACTAAGCAGCTATTTGATAAAAGGGAAGGTTCTCTCATGGGTCTGTAACTGGTTAAAAGACAGGAAACAATGGGTAAGAATAAATGGTCAGTTTTCAGAATGGAGAGATGTAAATAGCGGTGCCCCCCAGGAGTCTGTAATGGGACCAGTACTGTTCAACATATTCATAAATGATCTGGAAAAAGGGGTAAACAGTGAGTTAGCAAAATTTGCAGACAATATAAAATTACTCAGGAAAGTTAAATCCAAAGCAGACTGCGAGGAGTTACAGAGGGATTTCACAAAACTGGGTGACTGGACAACAAAAAGGCAGATGAAATTCAATGTTGATAAAAGCAAAGTAATGCACATTGGAAAACATAATCCCAACTATACTTATAAAATGATGGGGTCTAAATTAGCTGTTATCACTCAAGAAAGAGATCATTGTGGATAGTTCTCTGAAAACATCTGCTCAATGTGCATCAGCAGTCAAAAAAGCGAACAGAATGCTAGAAACCATTACGAGAGGGATAGATCATAAGACAGTAAATATCATAATGACACTATATACATCCACAGTACCCCCCCACACCTTGAAAACTGTGTGCAGTGCTAGTTGCCCCATCTCAAAAAAAGATATATTAGAAAGGGAAAAGGTGCAGAGAAGAGCAACAAAATGATTAAGGGCATGGAACATTCTCCATACAGGACACATTAAAAAGACAGGGACTGTTCAGCTTGGCCAAGAGACAACGAAGGGAAGTTACAATAGAGGTCTACAAAATCATGATTTGTGTTGGGAAAGTGAATAAGGACGTGTTATGTACCCTTTAACATAACACAAGAATCAGGGGTCACTCAATGAAATTAATAGGCAGCAGGTCTAAAACACACAAAAGGAATTACTTCTTCACACAACGCAGTCAACTTGTGGAACTCATTGCAGGGGATGTTGTGATGACCAAAACTGTAACTGGATTGAAACAAGAATTAGATAAATTCATGGAGGACAGGTCCATCAATGGTAATGAGCCAAGATAGTCAGGGATGCAACCCCATGCCTGGGGTGTCCCAAAGCCTCTGATTGCCAGAAGCTGGCAGTGGATGACAGGGGGTGGATCACCTGATAACTGCTCTGTTCTGTTCATTCCCTCTGAAGCATTTGGCATTGGCCACCGTAAGGAGACAGGATACTGGGCTAGATGGATCATTGGGTCTGACCCAGTATGGCCATTCTTATATATCGAGCAACCCGCGCTGCCCTCCCCCACTGCCTGCATCCACCCCATCCTTGCCCTACTCCATTCCATCCTGCCACTCCCACCCCTACCTACCAACCCTCAGCCCTGCATCTGCCTGCACCGACCCACCCCGCCTACCACCCCCCAGCCCTTCCCTCCCTGCCTGTACCCCCCACCTATCAACCCCCAGCCCTTCCCCCCCCACCACTCAGCAGCCCTTCCCTCCCTGCCTGCACCCTGCCACCCACCAGCCCTTCCCTCCCTGCCTGCACCCCCCCACCCCTTCCCTCCCTGCCTGCACCCCCCCGCCTACCACCCCCAGCCCTTCCCTCCCTGCCTGTACCCCCCACCTACCAACCCCCAGCCCTCCCCCCCCACCTCCCACCCACAGCTCTTCCCTCCCTGCCTGCACCCCCCCAACCCACCACCCACAGCTCTTCCCTCCCTGTACCCCCCCACCCACCAGCCCTTCCCTCTCTGCCAGCACCCCCCCACCTACCACCCCCAGCCCTTCCCTCCCTGCCCGTACCCCCCCCACCTACCACCCCCCAGCCCTTCCCTCCCTGCCCGTACCCCCTGCCCACTACCCCCCCACCTTCCACCCCCGCCCTTCCCCCCGCCTACCACCCCCCAGCCTTTCCCTCCCTGCCTGTACCCCCCGCCCACTACTCCCCCACCTTCCACCCCCGCCCTTCCCTCCCCCGCCTGCCTGCACCCCCCGCCTACCACCCGCCAGCCCTTCCCTGGCTGCCGGCACCCCCCACCTACCACCCCCACCCTGCACCCCCCGCCTACCACCCCCCAGCCCGTCCCTCCCTGCCTGCCCGCCCCCCCAGCCTGCCCCCTGGCCGCCCAGCGCTGGTGCGCCCTATAGAGGGGGTGTCGATTGGACGCCACTCCGTCTCACCTCCCCGCCAGCTCTTCAGATTGATTAACATCCTGACGAACAAACCACAGGCCGTCCTCACCCAGCCTTCGACCAATGGAGAGCCTCATTCCGATCCGGTGGGCGGGGCGCTGGAGAGAGAGCGGTTGCTAGGGGCGCGGGTTCTCTTTGCCCGTGAGAGGCGCGTTGCTAGGATGTGAGGTCACAGGGCGTGGACCTTGAGCGCTCCGATTGGCTGGCGTCGCAGCAGAGGGCCGTCACTTCCGCTGTGGGGAGGCGGGCGCTTCGGTCCGAGGGTGGGGCTGCGATCTCCTCAGCGCGTCCGAGCATGGGGGCCAGGGAGCTGGACTATACCATCGAGCTGCCGCCGGGGGGCTGGCCGGGTACGGGGCTGGCCGGGGGGTGGGGTCCCCAGGGTCCTCGCGGGCGCGGCGGGTCCGGGGGGCGGCGCGTGTCCGAGGCCCTGCGGGGAGGAGTGAGGTCGGGGGGGGACAGGGCGAGGTCGGGGGGGGGGGCGGGTGTCTGATGCCCCGGGGGGAAGAGGTCGGGGGGGACAGGGTGAGGTCGGGGGGGGGGTGGGTGTCTGATGCCCCGGGGGGAAGAGGTCGGGGGGGACAGGGTGAGGTCGGGGGGGGGTGTCTGATGCCCCGGGGGGAAGAGGTGGGGGGGGACAGGGTGAGGTGAGGGAGGTGGGTGTCTGATGCCCCGGGGGGAAGAGGTGGGGGGGGACAGGGTGAGGTCGGGGGGGTGGGTGTCTGATGCCCTGGGGGGAAGAGGTGGGGGGGCAGGGCGAGGTGGGGGAGGTGGGTGTCTGATGCCCCGGGGGGAAGAGGTGGGGGGACAGGGCAAAGTGGAGGGGGTCTGATGCCAGGGGGGAGAGGGTGAGGTGAGGGGGGGGTCTGATGTCCCAGGAGGAAGAGGTGAGGGGAGGCAGGTGTCTGATGCCCCGGGGGGAAGAGGTGGGGGGGGACAGGGTGAGGTGAGGGGCGTGGGTGTCTGATGCCCTGGGGGGAAGAGGTGGGGGGGACAGGGTGAGGTCGGGGGGTGGGGTGTCTGATGCCCTGGGGGGAAGAGGTGGGGGTGGACAGGGCGAGGTCGGGGGGGTGGGTGTCTGATGCCCCGGGGGAAGAGGTGGGGGGGGACAGGGTGAGGTGAGGGGCGTGGGTGTCTGATGCCCTGGGGGGAAGAGGTGGGGGGGACAGGGTGAGGTCGGGGGGGTGGGTGTCTGATGCCCTGGGGGGAAGAGGTGGGGGGGCAGGGCGAGGTGGGGGAGGTGGGTGTCTGATGCCCCGGGGGGAAGAGGTGGGGGGGACAGGGCAAAGTGGAGGGGGTCTGATGCCAGGGGGGAGAGGGTGAGGTGAGGGGGGGGTCTGATGTCCCAGGAGGAAGAGGTGAGGGGAGGCAGGTGTCTGATGCCCCGGGAGGAGGGGTGCGAGTGTTTGATGTCCCCAGGGGCTGTGCAGTGTTGTCCCTAGTAGCCTAGGGGGCTTAGCGTCAGGGGTGTTGCTGTTGCAGGATTTGCCCTTAACCCTTCTATCTTACATTCCTGTTAGCAAAATAATCCTGTTTGGATACTGGGCTGTGCTCCCTGGTGGCTTCAGGGAGAGCTGGGTTTACACAGGGCTCCCGCCTCCTTTAAATCACTTCCTCCGTTGTGCCTTATCACTTTAGATAAGCTATTACCAGCAGGACAGTGGGGTGGGAGGAGGTATTGTTTCATATTCTCTGTATATAAAGTCTGCTGCAGTTTCCACGGTATGCATCCGATGAAGTAAGCTGTAGCTCACGAAATCTCATGCTCAAATAAATTGGTTAGTCTCTAAGGTGCCACAAGTACTCCTTTTCTTTGTGCCTGGGAGTGTTAATCAGAAACAGTTATTTGTGGCAGAATGGTCTGTGTATGGAAACAACACTGGGCAGGGCCAGACTGTCACCCTGTAAGCTTATTGCCATAGCCCAGGTCCTTCTCCAGCTGGTGTCTGTCACTCTCATTCCACTGCATCTGATATTAGGTTGGAAAATCTTTGCGGCAACTACCATCTCTTTTTATGTCTCTTTAAAGGACCGAGAGCTCTATTGGGGTAGCTTAAAAACAAGACAAAACTAATATCTTTGGGGCTTGTCTACACATAGAGTTATTCCTGATTAACTCCTCATGTAAACACTCTTACTTTGTTCCTTGTTCCTGTTCCTGTTTAGTTTAACGCACTTTCAAAGGATCAGAGCTAACTCCATGTGTAGACAAGCCTTAAGTAACCAACTGAGCTGGAAAGTTCTTTTTTAATGCAAATGTAAACTTGTCCAAAAATCAGTGAGCCTGTTTCCCTCCACATACGGTGATGGAAAAACCTGCCATTTGCCACTGGTAAATGGATTTTTTTGAACCCTGAATTTTAGAAACATTTATAATGTGAGCTTCTAGTTTTTAGCATCTTTACCCCCTTATTTGTGTCCCACCTTGGCCTGTAGCCTTTTGTCTTTCTTTACACTAGAAGTTGTTCGGGGCAAGATTTGTCATTTATTTTTTGTACTGTGCCCAGTACAGTAGGGCCCCAGTCTTGATTGTATTGTACCACAAATAATATGGCAATAATAGCTGATAGGCTACGGAAGGAATCCAGTTACCAGCACAATAGTTGCACTACAGGCTCGGGGGTGGGTTAAACCCACTATCCTTATTAACTAGTTTGGTTGCAATTTCGCTCTGACGCTAGTGGACTGAAGGGCAGTTTCATTTTTAAAAATCTTCTGGTTTATTTCAGACACTAGTCCAGAGAGGGGAAACACAAATAACCTGCCTGTGGTAATTCTGCTGGGGTGGGCTGGCTGCCGTGATAGACACCTGGCGAAATACAGCACCATCTACCATCAGAAGGTGAGTGCATCATTCATCTTTCTATGCCAATATAAAGCTGTAGCAAGGCTACCTGAGGAATTTTCTCCCCTGCACTCTGGTGAAAAGACCTTACCCCTTCTTATGACTCCAGAGAAGCCCTAGAAGAAAGTGTTGGGCTTATTTTTGTGTGAAAGCTCCTTGGATGTTCAAGTAGCATGTTGACATTCTCTGCACGCTGTCTTTAAGACCCTGGTTATGTGTACAACAAAGAGGCAGGAAGTGCTTCCTAAAAGGAATTATTTTTTGCCTTTTTTCAAAGTTTCTGAAGTCTTAAAGATTTGAAAACCAGTATAAATCTTTGTCCTCCGTTTATCCACAGAACATGTATAACATGGGCAGTGAGTACAGGCTGCATACATCTGTACAGACCTGGCAGGGCCAACTTTAAGGGTCAAAGGCAAGTTCAACCATGGCTTATTCAGCCTCTGGCCTTTCTTCTGAGACTAACAAGTGTGCTGGTTATTGATAGCTTTTGTGATCAGGTTGCCTGGCTACTGGGGATTGATTTAATGCCCCTAACTCATTTCACACAATTTATGGAACAGCCATCAGATGGTAACAATGTTCAGTCATTACCAACCTGGACAGGATTTGGTATAGTGACCTAGAAATGGAAGTTTCTGACAGTGTCTGTCTCATTTTCAGTCCCCTTTTAAAATATGTTGCTTTGCTGGTCTATGGAATGATGGAAAATGCATGGCTTTTGGACCTAATGGAATCTAGGCCCATTATTTCTCATCTCTTTCGCAATATGTGAGAATGGACTTTGTTTTGGTTCCACATTTTTTACAAAGATAGATGCCAAAGTTCTACTTGGAATACTACCCAGCATGACTGCCTCACATGCCCTCCTCTGAACTGTTAATGTTTAACCTGACATGAGATCATATATTAAAGTGTGTTCTAGTACAGAATGACTTGTGACTGGATGTCTCAGGATTGGTAACAGCATTTCACTGCTCAGTTGCAACTGGCCACAGCATTCCGCAACTGCTCAGTATCCTATATGAAATGCATTTGGTGTCTCAGTCCCGTTGCCAGAAAGGTAGGTGTCTGCATTCTAAAATACACAGTTTCATTTAGTCCTACCTAGTTCCCTTTTTAGCAATCCTAACAGAGACTCTAAGGATGGAATGAGCCATGGAGAATGAACGCCCTTCTGACCCTTATATGATTAATATTTAGCACTTTACAAGGATTAAGCCACACAACTGTGTCTGGGAGAAAAATTTCCATTGCCATTTTAATGGAAAATTGGGTTTTTGACTAATTTTTTACTCTCTGTGGATTTTTTTTATTACATCAAACACCCAAAACCAGAACATTTGATTTGCAAGTGGTGCCATATGAGGGTTGTAGTTTTTATGTCATGTACTTATTTTCCTCTGTGGGCTGAACTCCCCAGCTAGACTGCACCTGCCGCATGCTGCTTTCCAGATAGATAGTTTCAGTGAAACCACTATCCCAGCTGTATTTATTCAGACAATGAGTAAAAGTTTCAAATCATAAGGTGTTGGAGGGTTGACGAGATGCGGGAGGGTTTGGGAGGGTTTGTTTTCTGGTGTGCTTAGCTGCAATTACTTGAGTGATTATGTTACCTTGGCTTTTTTATTATTATTGGTTTTTATTTCCCTAATTCCAAGATCTCTTAAATGAACTTTTTGAATCTTTACAAATGAAGCTGAAGCCATAGGGTGGTTATGGACTCAGAAACTGAAGGGGGAGGGTACACCTGATAATTATCATGGTTTTGTGTTCTGCGATGCCAAGTGGGAGACCCCAGCTCCCCTGCCAGCCTCATGCTTTGTGTGGGTGGGAAGCCCAGTGGAGGCAGCATGCTCAGCCAGTGGGAAAAGATGGATAATGCGGTACTTTTTGTTGCCATGGGGCCATCAGGCACCCCTGCTGGTCTACTGAGGATTGTTGACATGCTGCCGTGGGACACTTGGCAAGTCCTCCTTGGCCAGGAGGAGGATGGGCAGGATGCAGACCCTTGAGGGTAGGAAATCCAGGGGAAGTGAAGGGATGTGTAGGGTTCTAATAGGGATGTGGGTGGACCTTCCTTCCTCTAGGAAGTATGAATGCAAAACCCAGATGATTTTAAATCTATTAGAATAGGTGAAGATTTCTTCCTCCCTTCTCCCCAATCTCCTCTGAACATAGCTGTTTTAATGCCTTTTCTCTGCATTTCTCAAGCAGAAATGCCAATAAATGCCTTTGCTGAGCTAATGTAAAAGATGGAGTGCTACTACAACTAGCATTTATATAGAAACTTCTGTGGGGGCCCATTGCTTCAGCACCTGGGTGCCTGACATCATTAAAACCTACCATTAGTAAAGAGAATAGTCAGAGTAATACAGTGCATATATCTAAATGTGGGGGCTTCACTATGTAGCCAAGCGCCCTAAGCTCTTTGGTACATGGTTCTGCTTATTAACAGTTCCTCAGTTACCAGCAAAAGCTGCCGTTATCCGTCAGTTGGTAATAAGTGGAAAGCAACTTTGCAGGGTTGCAGCCAGGGAATGAAACACTGGGATAGATCTTCCCTGCATGTGGGCAGGGCAGCAGCAGAGAGGGGGCTGCAGCACAGATGTGGGGGCTTTCTACAGGGAATGGGGCACGGAGGGTCTCTCTCCTTGAATTCCCTGTGGGTTGGGGTTCAGCATGTCCTAGTGCTTCCTTCCCTGGGTGCAGGGAGAGGTACTGTGCAGCTCTGGTGTCTGGGCTGCATCCCCCACTCCTTCCCTGCCCACAGCCCCTTACCTCCTGTGCTGACCCTGGACACAGGTAGGTTTTCAGGGCACTGCCCTAGAAGGAAGCACAAGGACAGGGTGAGTGCTGGCTGGAGGCAGGTTTGCAGGGCTGCAGTGAGGGAAGGTATGTCCCAGCACTTCCTTCCCTGGCTGCAACCTTGCAAACCTGCCTCCAGTTGGGGTCGGTCTTCTAAAACATGTTGTTAATAATCAGCATGGTATTACCAATATCCAAATCCCATTAACATTAAAGTCAATGGAACGCGATTGGTTCTTGGCCAAATGTTGCTATTAACCAGAAGTTGTCAATATCAAGGTGGCTTTTAAGTGGAATCTACTGTGACACCCCCATCCCTCCCCCATCTGATCAAATAGTTATAGGTTAGCAAGCTTCAAAAAAGGCCACCCATAAAAATGGCTTCTACAGAGGATCTTGGCTGGGATAAGTATTACCGGGTCCTGATGCTACTGGGCCCAAATGATCACCAGCCAGGGACGGGAGGAAATTCCTTCTCCTTCACCAATGTTGTGGATGATGTTATACTAAAGATACACTAATGGTGAGCCAGCCCTGGCCAATTCCTAATTCAGGAAGAGGGGACCATTGCTCTTTCCTATAGGGCAAGTGCTATGAACACAGTGGCAGATTAGGATCCTGAAGGAGCTTGCCTTTCTATGTAACATACAGCCCTTGATGGGTGTCTCTCTCTGTTCCTCCCAGGGGTGCACAGTTATCCGCTACACAGCTCCATGGAAGATGGTGTTTTTCGCAGACAGCTTTGGCATCAGGTCCCTCCAGACCCAAGCTAGAAAGCTCCTGGAGCTGCTCTTTGACTATAAAATTGAAAAGAAACCCCTGCTGTTTCATGTGTTCAGCAATGGCGGGGTCATGCTTTACCGCTACATCCTAGAGCTTATCCACATGCACGGGCAATTCAGCAACCTCAAGGTGGTGGGCACCATTTTTGATAGCTCCCCGGGCAGAAGAAACTTGACGGGGACTCTGCGTGCCTTGGCAGTTGTCTTGGGATCAACTAACGTGCTGCTCAAGTATTGCCTCCTGCTTCTCTTCGCCATCCTGGTGGTGGTGCTGCGGATCCTGATGTATCCAGTGACTCGCTTCTTCCATGAGATCCATTATGACGCCCTGCTGAAGGGGCCTTCGAGGTGGCCCGAGCTCTACCTCTACTCCAAGGGTGACAGAATCATCCTGGCCAGTGACATAGAGCACATGATCGAGGCCCGGCGGCAGCACAATGTTGCAGTGAGAGCTGTGGACTTCTCAGACTCTGCTCATGTGAGTCACTTGCTGGCATATCCCTCCTATTACATGAGCCTCTGCACCTCTTTCATGTATGACTGCGCTGGATGCGCGTAGGGTTCACCAAGGCAGAGATAGCAAGTGCCTGTGTAAAGACCCCCAGCAGATGCTCCCTCTTCACTGGGATCACACCAGAAACAAACTGTGCTCTCTGTCTCTTTCTTCAGCATCTCTCTGCTCATAATAAAATCCTGATTCACCAAGGGCAAGTCATGCCTGACTAATCTAATTGCCTTCTATGACAAGATAACTAGCCCTGTGGAAGAGGGGAAAGCGGTGGACGTGTTGTTCCTTGACTTTAGCAAAGCTTTTGACACAGTCTCCCATAGTATTCTTGCCAGCAAGTTAAAGTAGTATGGGCTGGATGAATGGACTATAAGGTGGATAGAAAGTTGGCTAGATTGTCAGACTCAACGGGTAGTGATCAATGGCTCCATGTCTAGTTGGCAGCCAGTATCAAGTGGAGTGCCTCAAGGGTCGGTCCTCGGGCTGGTTTTGTTCAATATCTTCATAAATGATCTGGAGGATGGTGTGGATTGCACCCTCAGCAAGTTTGCAGGTGACACTAAACTGGGAGGAGAGGTAGATATGCTGGAGAGTAGGGATAGGATACAGAGGGCCCTAGACAAATTAGAGGACTGGGCCAAAAGTAATCTGATGAGGTTCAACAAGGACAAGTGCAGAGTCCTGCACTTAGGACGGAAGAACCCCATGCACCGCTACAGACTAGGGACCGAATGGCTAGGCAGCAATCCTACAGAAAAGGACCTAAGGGTTACAGTGGACGAGAAGCTGGATATGAGTCAACAGTGTGCCCTTGTTGCCAAGAAGGCCAATGGCATTTTGGGATGTATATGTAGGGGCATTGCCAGCAGATCGAGGGACGTGATCGTTCCCCTCTATTCAACATTGTTGAGGCCTCATCTGGAGTACTGTGTCCAGTTTTGGGCCCCACACTACAAGAAGGATGTGGATAAATTGGAAAGAGTCCTGCGGAGGGCAACAAAAATGATTAGGAGACTGGAACACATGACGTATGAGGAGAGGCTGAGGGAACTGGGATTGTTTAGTCTGCGGAAGAGAAGAATGAGGGGGGATTTGATAGCTGCTTTCAACTACCTGAAAGGGGGTTCCAAAGAGGATGGCTCTAGACTGTTCTCAGCGGTAGCAGATGACAGAACAAGCAGTAATGGTCTCAAGTTGCATTGGGGGAGATTTAGGTTGGATATTAGGAAAAACTTTTTCACTAGGAGGGTGGTGAAACACTGGAATGCGTTACCTAGAGAGGTGGTAGAATCTCCTTCCTTAGAAGTTTTTAAGGTCAGGCTTGACAAAGCCTTGGCTGGGATGATTTAGTTGGGGATTGGTCCTGCTTTGATGAGGGGGTTGGACTAGATGACCTCCTGAGGTCTCTTCCAACCCTGATATTCTGTGATTCCACCACCCTTCTCCAGAGCTTGGAGACACAGAATTGCTGATTTCTAGGCATCTAGTACACAGCTGGATGTCTGAAGCCTCCAAATCGGTTGTTGGGCTGGTCGGAGGTGATGGTGCTAAGTAGAGTCAAGAGAGTCTAAATGAATATAACTTACATAATAGGGGTAAAATCCTGTCCCTGCTGAAGACAATGGGAGGGTTGCCAGGAGCTTTCATGGGGGTGGGTTTTCACCATAGGAGGCCAGAGAAAGGAGTGAATTAATGTGACTGGGGAGCACTACATCCCCCTTCTTATACGCTCTTTCCCCTTTCCCTGCTGCCCTCCACTTCGTAGTTCTGGGCGTGTAACTTACGTCACCATCCATGCTCCATCTTGTTACACTGGAGCAATTCTGTGATGTCCCTAGCAGCCAGGGCTCTCCGCTTAGCCTAGGTTTTGTTTTTTTTTTCTCTGCTGCTTCCTCCAGCCCACCGTTGAGTCAGCTGAAGCTCTGCAGTGTCACCTCATTCTCCCACTCCCCCCACTCTTCTATTTACACCCCTCTGCTCTCAGCTGTGCATATAGTCACATTGACGAGGACAGAATGAGACTCTTGGCAGAGTCTTTAATAGGGCAGACCAATGCAGGTCCCTCCCTGTCTGCGCCCTCAAGGCACTGCACCTCAGCCCTACTCCTAGCTGGAGATCAGCTACAGCAATCAAACACAGTGTCTCCGAAAGCCCAATGTAGGTAACTGCACCCCAATGTGTCAGCCTGGTTCTATTTAATAGGGGCTGGGGCAGAATGGCCAAGGGGCTGCTCCCTTGCTGGATGGCTCAAATCCCTGTAGCTGAGTTAATTTAAAGCTTTATCTGTGAAATATCTAACATGTCTCAGTGTCTGGTCTTTGTTCCTCTCCCCTGACGCTTCCCTCTCATTGTTGAAATCATTGGGTGAGTAGCTGTGTGTTGCTGTGTAGATTTACCAGTCTGTTAAGGTGTGTGCCCAGGAGTGCAGGGCGGTCACTTTGAGTATCTGTAACCCCGAGTTCTATCTCACCTCCTGTGCCCAAATTTCCTGGGTCTTTCAGAAACTGCTTTCTCTTTGATCCTCTAGGGGAGAGCCTTCATTACCAACTAGCATCATTGCTCACATTCCAGAAGATTTGTAGACTAATCTACACACGCGAACACTTCAGAGTGTGTTGCTTACTCCCTGTACAGACATGTTTGATGGGATGAGCCAAGCTAGAAAACATCCTGTTCGGGTTTTCTTCTGTGGAGGGGGAATGAGGGGTTAAAGTAGGGGAAGGACTATACTACAATCTACGAAGGTTGAATTGGTTGAATTCTAACTGATCTGACTTTCTGTGTGTTTATGGATCTTGGCTTTTTGGGAGGGTAGGGGGTAGATTGAATTATAACCCTGGAAAAGCCTGCCACTTTCCAGCACAGCATGATCTAATCTGGGGCCTCTGAAATGATGCTTGTCCCGCGAAGGATCCAGTGCCCTGTGAACACCTGTACAGCTGCCTGAAGACACAGTTCGTCCCTGTATGCATACAGCAATCATACAGCAATCATGCTGACTATGGGATGTTCATGAGTTGTTCCCCCAGCAAGAGTCGCTTTGTAATGTCATTACTTTCCTCCTCTGCAACCCCACAAATGTGAATCAGAGCAGAGTAGTACCCTGTCATTTCACTGACGGTCCAGTAGCAGGGTTGGGAGGAAATGCTTATTCAAATGCACTTGAAATGGGGATTTAGAAATGTATTAATACCGTTTATAATGTATTTTACAATCTGCCTCAGTTTGCAAGCAGAAACAACAGTCCAACTGCAGCTATTTTCAGCTTCCCAAACAGCTCAGAGAGGCCGTACAGTAGAACTGGGGAGTCCTTCTAAGTCTTCTTTTGACATGTACATGACTGTTTGCATGTTTCCTGAATCTCCTCTGTTAAACTGACCCCAAAAGCCTAATACTGTGATGAGGAATTAAAGATGAGAGAGGAAAATAAAATATCAAACTTACAATGACTTTTAAGAGAGTCACCATTTCTGCCTGTCACCATGCTCTAGAGCAGGGGTCGGCAACCTGCTGCACGTGTGCTGATTTTACTGGCCCGCTTCTGCCAGCCAGGGTTCCGGCCGCTGCCCCTGCTCAGCCTGCTGCTAGCCTGGGTGAATGGAACCCCAGGCCGGCAGCAGGCTGAGCGGGGCCGGCGGCCAGGACCCCAGCTGGCAGGAGCTGGCGGACGGAACCCCAGACCGGCGGTGGGCTGAGCTGCTCAGCTCGCCATCTGGGGTTTTGTCTGCCGATGTAGTGTATTAAATTTCTTCCTGTAGGAATGTGTTACTTGCGAAACACCAGGACTGTCAGCCGTAAGTAGTACACTGTAAGTAACGCATTCCTATGGGGAGAAATTTAATACAGTACACCAGGGAAGGGAAGGCTGTGCCTCCCCAAACAGCCTGCCCCCTATCCGCCCCCTCCTACTTCCCGCCCGCTGACCCATCCAAACCCCCCCCCCACTCCTTGTCCCCTGACCACCCCTCCCGGGACCCCCTGCCCCTGACTGCCTGCCTCAGAATCCTCCACCCATCCAACCCCCCGCTCCTTGTCTCTTGGCTGCCCGTGACTGCCCCGACCCCTACCCACGCCCCTGAGCAGCCCCCCGGCACTCCCACGCCTATCCAACCATCCCTGTTCCCCATCCCCTTACCATGCCACTCAGAGCACCTGGACTGTCCGCCCTGTAATTAGTACACCATAAGTAGCGCATTCCTATGGGGAGCAATTTAATACACTACACCTGTCCCCGCTCATCCCGCTGACAGTCTGGAGTTCTCAAAATATGTTCTCTCCCCCCTTATCAAAAATTACACTACAATTAGCTTGAAAACTTGAAAACTTTGTATATTACAGTAATTGTTAAAAAATGTATAATAAAGACATAGGTTTTGATGAAGCAAAGTAGTTGTACTTATGTGCCTGTGCTTAATTTGTGTTTTTGATGATTTACCTTCTAAAAAAATCTCGCGTCTTGCACCCCCACAAAGGGCGTCTCGCACCCCAGGTTAAGAACCACTGCGCTAAACTGATCTTAATTTTAATTTAATTTTAAATGACACTTCTTAAACATTTTTAAAACCTTGTTTACTTTACAAAGGACAATAGTTTAGTTACATAATATAGACTTAGAGAGAGAGACCTTCTAAAAATGTTAAAATGTATGACTGGCACGCGAAACCTTAAATTAGAGTGAATAAATGAAGATTAGGCACGCCGCTTCTGAAAGGTTGCTGACCCCTAATGTAGAGTCTGTCCAGTGAATCCAGTCTAACACAAATACTAAAAACTCATTCCTTCTTCCTAATGGAGAAGCAGATTGTAGCATCACGTTTCCAGCTGTTGAGCTATGGTGGAGATAAAAGCAGGGCCTGTCAGTACATTTTTCCCCTCTTCCCCCCTCTCCCTCCCCCCAGCATTGCAAACAAACTACAGGTGCAATGGGAAGGAAGAATGCAGGGTCCAGTAGCAATGGAACACTCTAAAATCAATCTGGAGAGAGCAACTTGCACTTTTAAAAAAGTATCAATATATCATGGGTTGTTACCAATCCCTGAGACGGTAGGAGGGAAAATGAGGTTGC